TAATTCTTATTATACACTTTGGTGAGCCCCCTTGGATATGTAATCTACTTATTTGTGTTTCACATAGGTCGGTGTAGGAATGTGCATGGAAGGAATAGAGCACAACCCAGTGGTTTACGAGCTAATGTCTGAAATGGCATTTAGAGATGAGAAAGTTGATGTGCAGGTAATGCATACATAAAAACACACAGCCTTGATACGACACTTGTAAAGGTTTTCACTGTCAGTTTCATGCATTTTTTAATATTTGGTTTTGTAGAAGTGGCTGAAGAGCTATGCACGCAGAAGATACATGAAAGAAAATCATCACATCGAGGCCGCTTGGGAGATTCTATATCACACTGTCTACAATTGCACTGATGGAATTGCAGTAAGTTTTCTTTTGGTCATTACCGCATCATCTCTCTTTAGATCTGATCTAGATCATAAGAAACTTGCTTTTTTCTCCGTGTTAGGATCATAACACAGATTTCATAGTCAAACTTCCGGACTGGGATCCATCTAGTTCTGTTCAAGGAGAAACCAAAAAAACAGATCCATATATGATCTCCACTGACCCATATGAAACAAAAAGAAGATTCTTGTTTCAAGATGATAGCTCTGGTTTGCCTAAGGCACATTTATGGTATTCTACAAAGGAGGTCATCAAAGCTCTCCAACTTTTCCTGGAAGCTGGGGATGATCTGTTTGGGAGCTTAACATATAGGTAGGAGTAAGTGAGAAACAGAGTATCTACCATTTTAATGGTTACAGATTCCTATGGTTTATGCTTGCAGATACGACATGGTTGATTTGACGCGTCAAGTTTTATCTAAGCTGGCAAACAAGGTGTACATTGAAGCAGTGACGGCTTTTGTAAAGAAAGATATTGGAAGCTTAAGACGACTGAGTAAGAAGTTTCTTGAGCTTATTAAGGACATTGATGTTTTGCTTGCTTCGGATGATAATTTCCTTCTGGGTACATGGCTTGAGAGTGCAAAGAAATTGGCCAGAAACGATGATGAACGGAAACAGGTGTAACATCAATTTTGTTCTTGGAACGTGCATGTAGAAAGAGTACATTGATTGCTTATGGCTGAGTTTTTTGTCTGTACAGTATGAGTGGAACGCGAGAACGCAAGTGACGATGTGGTACGACTCGAAAGATGTGAACCAAAGCAAGCTTCATGATTATGGTGAGAAATTAAAATTTAAAAGTATTTTCAGTAGATAGAGCTTCTAATAAAACTGTTATCTTTTGTGATCATTATCATCATCAGCAAACAAGTTCTGGAGTGGGTTGCTTGAAGACTACTACTTACCCCGGGCGAAGTTGTATTTCAATGAATTGCTGAAAAGCTTACGAGATAAGAAGAAACTTGAGATAGAGAAATGGCGAAGAGAATGGATAATGAAGTCACACAAATGGCAGCAAAGTTCATCAGAGGTTTATCAGGTTAAGGCAAAAGGGGACGCCTTAGCGATTTCAAGGCATCTGTTGCGTAAGTACTTCACATGAGTTGCTCAAAAAGAATGAAAAAATAATAACAAAAAAATAATGGGTTGGGTGGTGTCTAGCTTCTGCCAGAGATAAAATTGTCACTAGTGTAGATTTGAGAGTTAGGCGTCTGGTGTTTTAGTGTTAGAGACTCGGTGAAGTCGAGTAAAGGCTGTAACAACAAACTCTGCTTCATCTCTTCCAACAGAGACTTACTTGTGTCCATACCTGCAAGGTATCCTCCATGTACATATCCACTGAACTTTTCACTTGTGTGCTCTCCCGTGAAGAATACCCGTCCAACTGGGGCCTGAGTCTCAAACCAAACCAAAACTGTCTTAGATTCCTGACATGTGTGTTATGTGCTAAAAAACAACAACAAAAAAAGAGGAGTGTTTTTTACCTTGATATTTTGAAGAAGCTGATTATCAGATATCATAGGGTAATTGCTGTAGCTACCACGTTGAAACCGGTTGTTCCACCATCTCGGGACAAGAATATCAGTTGCGTTAGGAACAGTGGGACCAAACATGTCCCTGAGAACACTCATTGCCTCTTTCAGCGTCTCCTCGTCTGATTGAGCTTCCACGCGCTTTGACTGCTCGTTAGTCAACGTCACTACCAGAATATTTGAGCCCGGGTACGCATTTTCCATGTGCTGATAAACAGAGCAACAATTAGATTACAGACACGCTGGAGGGGAGAGAGCAAGCAAGTTGTACTAATATTATAAAAGCTACAAGATTTTTAATCGTGGTATTGCATACACATCACGCAGTGATATAATATTGTGTGAATCTTGACCACTTGGACCATGCCGCTAGTTAGACACTGAAGGATAATTAAAGCAATGATAATAATCAAAGGGACCCTTTAAAATTAGAGAGTGCATTTGCCACGTTTCGCCCGTAGGTGAAACGACCAAAAAGATGCATTTAGATTAACAAACTATAATATTTCAAGATTAAGGAAATCAACCTGCCAAAAGGTGAAGTAGCCGCGTTGTTCGTGCGCATAGATGAAAAACTCTTGACCAGGACCACATGTCCAGAAACAATTAGGGAATTTGAGGAAGATCTTTGTGTACACCATCACATCGCATTTTTGTATAGCTTCTGTTTTCCATCTCTGTCACCAAGAAATGAAATTGGATATAAAATCTCATCACATCACATCACCATGAATTTTAACTAATGACTAGTGCATGTACATTGAATGATTAAACATCTCCCCCTTTTTTTTATACAGGAACTGCTAGTATCTTTTTAATGTTAAATAAGCATAAAAGATAAGACCAAGGAGTAGTTGATTATAAAATTAAAGTAAATTTATAGGAGAAGAGGAGAAAGAAAGCTAACGGGTAAAGGAGGCTGGAAGGAGAGAAGATTGGATTGGAGAACACCGATACTCGCAGACACGATCACATAATTGGCCTCATATTCAGAACCATCCTCTGTCTTCACCAGTACCCCATTCCTCGACTGTTGTATCTCCCTAACCACCTGCCATTAATTACCACAGCTTCAAATATCACACTATAGCTCGATTATAGATTACTTGAATACTAATATAACAACAGCTCCCAAAGTTAAGCCAGCTGGTCTATGAGAGGCAATAAATAAAACATGCTCACTCATGCAGACCCCACAACTCTCACAATAATGCTTCCCAAGAACTATTAACTTAAGACACCATTTGAAGCTGAAAAACTCTGTGGATAGTAAACAAAATAAAATATAGCTACAATGACCTGGAGCGTAACAAATTCCACTAGAAACCAAAGGCTGAGAGAAGTTTGCAGCAGTGTAAGTTCAAAACTTAGCAGAAAAAAACAAAACAAAAAAGGAAAACGCATAACAAATTAACCGAATAGAGTCAATAACAACAGCAAAAAGGAAATAGTAGCTTTTGCAAATAACGTCATAATATATTCTTTAAAGTCAAGTAAAAAAAAAGTCAATCAACCTCATGAATATCAGGAAATATAATTGAAAGATAGTCTTTTGTGCACCAATGTTGATGAAGAAAGAGTTAAAGATATTAATTTACCTTGTTTAGTTTGAGGCGGTTGTCCAAGATTTCTCCATTAGAGGTAAAGAGGAATTCCTCGGCCATTTTATAGAGTAAACATTCGTAACCTCTTTCATCAGCAACCAGAAATTCCCTTTCACCGAAGTCCACATAAGTCGATATTGGCTCAACCTCTGAACACACAGTAAATAAAACAGAACGTGATCAAATGATCAATCAGCAATTTAAACATTATCATCATGTGATTTCTTCTCCTACTTTCACTCACCTGCCATCTCGAAATCATGCAGGATGAAGTCAATGGCGAGTTCTATAGGCGTCTTTGGTGACCTGAACCAAAGGAAAACACGCATCAGAATCGATGGATTTCAAGAAATATCCAAAACCAGTGAAAAAAAAACAGAGAGGAGACGCACGAAGGAGCTTCTTCGGCTACTTGGCCAGCACAATCAGCTTCTTCGAGGCTCTTTAGCTTCAGAATCGCCGAGTCAACAGCTTTCTTATACGAGTCAGAAGCGAACCCAGTCGGGAAGATTTGTCCACTGCAATTTCAACGGAATACGATTGGATCATGATGAGGAGAAAAGCAAACGAGTGAGTTTAATTAATAATCATGGATTGATTTTTTCACCTTCTATCATAGATGTTGTAACGGGCATTGGTGTAGTCGGAGAAGCAGGTACGGAGGTTAAAACGCGAGGCGAGCTCCCACACAGGATTAGACTCCTTACCACCGACGCCGGCAATCCAACCGGCACCGAGCTCCACCGACACGTCACCGAAATTCTGCTTGTGTATTCTTCCGCCGATCCGGTCCGTCGCCTCGAGAATCAAAACGTCTTCTACTCCGTTCTCGGCGAGCTCCTTGGCCGCCGATATTCCTGAATTTTCGGATAAAACTCCGTTAGTAATCAAGTCAACGATATGCACACAAGTATGAAGTATACGAGTTTGTTAGATTCGAACCGGAAATTCCGGCGCCGATGACGATTACGGAGGTGGTCGACATAGATAATAGGGAGAAGAAAGGTGGTTGTTTGTTGGGTGAGAGGGGAGGGGTTTGTTACGTTTTCGTTTTGTGTGGCTTTTATATATATATAGAGGCCAGGAGGTTTTTTGCTTCTAGTCTTCAACTCCAACTCAAACTACAAATAGAATCCAGTGGAACGCGTGTGGTAGACGCGCTTGTGTACACGGTATCGAGCGAGTGGGTTTGATGTCTTTTGTCAGGTATATAAATGGGCTGAATGGAATTTCTATCCTAGTAACTTCAGGTGTGTATCTTATCAGGCCTGCTCTTCAATTTGCTAAGGCCCGAAGTCGAATTAAACAACAAAAACTATCATGACCCCACTATTTCATCTTTCTTAAAATGAAAAAAAAAAACAAAATTTAATTTGTGTGACTAAGTCCAGCTCGTAAACATGCATGTTTTAAGAAACATTGACGTTCGTGTTGCAAAAATTTCTAAGAAACAAGGTTATTTTACTCATGTAACTTACTCTTTTTTTTTTTACGGCACTCATGTAGCTTACTCATTATTTGTATCAACTATTAACCGAGGTTATTTTCCATGCACATCCAAAATTCCAGATCACATATGCTAATATGCGTTGTTAGCCAATGGGGACCAGTATTATCGTTTCTGGATTTGAGCAATAAGTACCTTTTTTTACTTTGGTTAAAATGCGTATAACAGCGGACTACAGTAATTTAATCCATGGACCATGAAAGAAGAATGCATTTTTCCAGAGAGAAAAACTATTATAATTAGATGATCCATGGAGGAAAAACATAGAATCTTTCTATCCAAAAAGAATCCAAAGTCCACGTCCGTTCGTGGAAGTGGTCCCACTTTTGGATCATGGCAGAAGACGACAAAAAGTTTTCTGAGATCTACAAGAGAAAAAGATTGGGATTCCAAGTTCTTTTGCGCATGGCACGTGATTCAGTGACAGAGTGCACACCAACACGTGACATGTTAAGAGATTGGTGAATAAGATTGCAAAAAGGTTTTCTTTTTAAAAACATAAAGAGACATCAAATTGGGTTTCTTGATCCAAACATAAAAAGACATCAAATTGAGAAATTAACAAAAAAAAGAAAAGCAAATTGATAAATTTGTCAACTTCACTCGACCTACGATGAGCGTCTCACATTTCCGCTCACTCTGGCTTCCGGGCCAAGAAGAAATACATTGGCGTGAAAATCTCTCTCCTGTGGTGAAACAGAAATTTAGAATTCTGACATTAGTAAAACAGGTTTACTTTAATCTTGAAGGGGAATAATTATAAGTTGTTCTCTTACCTTCCACCGTCGACTAATCCTTCCGCAGCCTTCTCCAGGAAATCTGAAACCCTTTGGCTTCCTTTAGGTGCGAGTTTTATGTATTCAAGGACCTTGACCTAAAACAACCATGACAAGTTCGGATAAATGAACAACTAATAGTTTATGAGATTTGACAGATGAGTCAGAGCATGTGTCTTTTTTACCATGTTTTTGGTTATGAATCGTCCAACAGCTGTTAGGCGGAAGCTACTGAGCGAAAAGTGATTTTTGTCCAGAGGTAAGTACCAAGGGACCGGCGAGTCCTTGGCCAAATCCTTCTCCCATATTACCTATATCCAACGCAGATGAGCATAGTGTGTTTACATATTGAAATGTCTGATGCGTTGGAAATATAAACAATCTGTAATTTGGTACTTACTTCAAAACCGGCCTGCTTCAGAGCTTCAAGGCATTTTGAAGTCAGCCTAATGTCAGGCAGACCATCTCCAATCTCTATCTCTGCCTGCACAGTCAATGAGTCTTTGTTTGTGTTCATGTCGATCATAGATCACAAACAATATAAATAGATGCAACATGCAGGGACCACACTAAACCTTTATTTTCTGATGCTGGGCGTTATCAGGGTCGAATGCATCAGTCATGCACCACTCATAGGCAGCAAAACATTGCCCGGGCTTTAGCACTCTGTAGATCTCTTTGTAGCATCCATACTGTTGATGATATCATAATGATGAGTCACAATGCTACAAATGCAGCGAAGAGAACAAACAAATAAGTTTTTAAGAATTTCACATACTGCATCAGGTGCGTGGCAGGTTGCTTCTATTGCATAAACTGCATCAAAACTGTTTTCAGGAAATGGCATCTTCATGAAGTCAGCCTGCAAGATTAACGAATAACAACCTTCATCATGTTGCCCTTTACAAGGTGTTTTCCTATCAAAGCCAGGATTTCACAACTTATGTAGTTAATACAAGAAGTACGAATTCAACTGACCTTAACAAAGTCACATGTCTTGTCGACACCTGCAAGTCGGTTTAGTTCCTGCAAAGAAGAGGATCACCAATATGAATTGTAAAAGACACCAACGAAAAAGCCAAGAAATCAGATTATGGAATTTATAAAGTAATATAATCCACATTCCTGAATGAACCAAAATAAAGTTCAAAGACAGGAAATAACACTTCCAAGAACCGATTACATGACATGAAATGCATCATCTTTCACAAAAATAGGTAACTTACCTTGCCTCTGGTGATCTGGTATTCGTTATTGTTGAGCCCGGTAACAGATGACTTGCTGTAGCAGAGCAAACACAAACACAATTTATAAATTGAAAGATCTCCCTAACCATGACATTTACTTCAAAAATAATGTAAGAAAGACGTAGAGGATGTAAAGAGTGCGTGCTATAATTAGTATATGTGTACCTGAATCGTGCAATTTCTCTCAGCGGTCCACCAATTCCACATCCTACATCCAGTACCTGTTCAGAGAACGGAAATGAAAATCTGATGGCCAAGGGTCCAATTTCGAGAGCTCAGCTAAGGTTATCAAACCTTTTGTCCTGGTTTTACGCCAAGCTGAAGAGCAAGAAAGTGCTCGTGACGTTTAATACTCTCTCGGAGTGATTCTCCGTTCCATCTGCAAACCCAATACCCATGCTAATTAAGTATCACTACTCACTAGAGTATCAGAGTCTGTGGCTGCATGAAAGAAAAGTTTATCGTAGAACCTCAAACAGACTTGTAGAGAAGTGGAAAGCCTAGAATTACCTGTGTGCAAAGTGGAAGGATTCTCCCCATCCGTACTCATAAAAGCTAGTAGCAAGGTCATAATACTTATTAACCTGAGAGATCAATTAAGATTATTCAGTCCAATATGCAGTGATTAACTTCAATATTTGGCCTAATGAAGTTATATAGGTTTTTAATTGTGTTCAAAGTGGTCAAAACTTTTTTTAAAGGAGGAGAAACATTCTGAAATTACCATGTCTGTGTAATTAGCTTTTCTCTCTTCCTCGTCTCCTCCATGGAAGACATGATATTGTTCATACCTGAAATCGCCGAATCACTAAAGTTAATAACAATGTTTAGCAAAAAAAAAAAAAAAAAAAGAATGCATGCCTTCCTACATGTTCGAGAGGTGATATTAGAAGAAACCAAAAAAAGAAAAGAAAACAAATGAGTCGGGGCCCTCGAGAACGTGACGGTAAGTGAAATACACGTCAAAAGTGTATATTAATAGAAGCAAGCAACAAAAGAACGAACAGGGACCATCACAATCTGCTGTTTTGAAAGCTAAGTGCCAAGCAGAGTCGAAAATTCAATGAAATTGGGAGATAATATCTCATAACACCCAATGCTGAATTTTTAGGATTCATTTCGGAAAAACAAAAGAAGAAAAAATAGTTAAATATAAGTATAACGAGATAATGGATCAATATGCATGAGAAGAGAACGCGAAATTGTAAGTGAATCGGACAAGGAAACGACGATCGAAGAAGTTTCCACGATGCGTTTTGAGAAACGAGAAAAAAGAAAAAGCGGTGGAAACAAATACTTTTCGACGGCGGTGAGAACATCGGATTTATCGATCTTTCCACCAAGATTCGAGGCGAGATCCAGAGCACCAGACTTCGACATTATGCGAGGAACGAGATCTACAACTGCGGATCACAGGAGAAAAAAAATTGGAATATGATGAATCAAGAAGGAGAAGAGGAGGAATCTGTAGAGATCATAGGGAGGAGGGAACGTACACTTACAAAACTCTTACGGAGGCAGAGAGAGATGATGAATCGGAGTAGTGGGGAAGAGCTCATTGGCACCTGACTGGCTTAATTATAGGAGAAGTAGAGAGAGAAAGAGGTGACAAAAAAAAGGCGTCTACACTCACCCAGCGTGGCAAAAGTGTGACATAGGTTAAGTTACCATAATGTCCTCTCAAGTGGCAAAATTAATTATAATTCTATTTGTTTATTAAAAATTAAGTAGTCTAGTCTATATAATCTTTTTTTTTCTCGTTCAAAAGTCTAGTCTATATACAGAACATGAAATTGTAAGTATATTCTCCACTTATCCACCATCTTATTCCTATATCTCATAGTTTATTAATCCTATTCCTATCTTATTATAATTTGATTCTCTTCTGTACAACTCAGATCAAGAGCCCCACCCAACAACTTTAGAGGTACGGAGTTTATTTTTGAAAGATTTCCCTGTGACTAAAATGAAATATCCAAATGATTTGAAGCCATCAACAGTGAACTTGAACTTCCACTATTCGTTCATTTTTTTTTGCCATTCATAGACTACTTTGGTGATCGGAAAATTCATCTAAACTTCACCCAAAGGTATTCGATATTAGTAAAGTTTATCAAAATTCTAACTCCAAACAAATTTTACTCCCAGTAAATTTCCGACGTAACTTCCTATATGGCTATATCGTTTGGTTGGTATATTGATTTAGGTGTTGATTGGTTGGTACAGTAAAGATTTTAAATTCTTTAAGGTTTTTGTTGAAACAAAAAAAAAATCTTTCAACATATTACGTAATCCTATCCTATTTTAAGTATATTGAAGTCCTAGAGATATATTCCTAATTTTTTCTCCTTTTTTTTTTCACAGCCCATAATCTTTCTTTTTTCAATATAAGATGATTTTCTGACAGAAATATCTATTGTCTCCAGCCATTCATGAATCAACCCCTTAAGACTTTTTTTTCTAAACTAGTTTATCGATATAATTCTGGTTAAAATACTCTAATGTGTGTGCAAATTAGCATGGGTAATTAGTTGGTTTATATATGACTATGTATTTTTCATTTGGTAAAAAAAAAAATGGCTGTTTTCATAAGTGATTTCATAGAGAACGATCAACTTCCTACACACACCACATATTTCTCTCCCGCCTAATCCTCCGCGTTTCCAAGCCCACGCGCCGATCTTTCCTTCCTCCTACTTGTCCTCCGGCAATACTTAGAGTAACTCAAAACTAATAAGAAGCTCCTCGCCATCTCTCTCTCCTCTTTCAAATAATTAGTTGTCTATGGCTTCTCTCTACAAGTTCATCTCAGCCACTCCGCTCTCCGTTTCGCTGCCGAATCATCACATGCCACCCACGCGCCGCCGTTTCCGATTACCGTTAGCAACGCTTGCCTCATCGTCTCCGGAGTCATCAGCATCATCGACCTCTAACTCGATTCCTGTTAACGGGAACACGTTGCCCAATTCTTATGGAACAGCTCGCGGTAAAGGTGTGGATGATAACAGCCCATTTGCTCGCTTCTTTCGTTCCACCGAATCCAACGTTGAAAGGGTAAAAAACTAAATCAAAATTTTACTCTGTTTCTCTTCTTCTTCTTCTTCTTCTTCCTGTTGGACCAAAATTCCTACATATGGTCTCTGTTTGTTTGCTTTGGCTTTTGAGCTGTGACATGACTCGGGGAGATCAGTTCATCATGAATTTAACTTGTCCGAAAACTGTTATGTTTAAGAATGGTGTATGATTGTTTTTTGATGTATTTTGTTGATGGAGCAGATCATATTTGATTTCCGGTTCTTGGCGCTCTTGGCAGTTGGAGGTTCCCTGGCTGGTTCGCTACTCTGTTTCCTCAATGTAACTTCTTTGTTTGGTTTTAAGTCTGCAAATGCTTTGCACATACACCGTTATAGAAGTAATGTAATTAACTCACTATATGTAGGGGTGTGTCTACATCATGGAAGCATATAAAGTCTATTGGACTAACTGTGTCAAAGGCATCCACACCGGCCCAAATGGTTTTACGCCTGGTCGAAGCTATAGGTTAAAATGCTATGTATATGCATGTGTAAGACCTATACAAGCCCGGTTTGTTTCGTTATAATACTCATTCTCTGTAGAAAATTGATGTGCAGATGTTTATCTGGCTGGGACTGTGATGCTAATATTTAGTATGGGTTTGTATGGACTCTTCATCAGCAACTCGCCTTCTGATGTCCCTACGGAATCAGACCGTGCCCTTAAAGCCTCTTCTCTCTTTGGAATGTTTGCCATGAAGGAGAGACCGAAATGGATGAAGATCAGCTCACTGGATGAGCTGAAAACCAAAGTTGGACATGTTATTGTCATGATTCTTCTAGTGAAGATGTTTGAAAGAAGCAAGATGGTTACTATCGCCACCGGATTGGATTTGCTTAGTTATTCCGTTTGCATTTTCTTGTCCTCTGCTTCTCTCTATATCCTCCATAATCTCAACAGAGGAGAGCACTGAGTGAAACCCATTTTTATCTTCTCCATTTGTACATACCCGTATCCAATAATAATATTAATGATTGTAAGAACAACCCAACTTTCTTATTTATTTATTTTTCATTCACTAGAGGAATAGTATAATCTCAAGTCATTCACATTATGTACATTTCGTAGCTTCGTCAAAGCAATGCCATTGATTTGCCTCACCCTCTCTCTTGAAAGCTTCAACGACTTACCTATCTCTTCAAACGACATAGGAGTCTCTCCGTTGAGCCCAAAGTAGAGTCCCAATACTCGAGATTCTCTCGCCGTAAGACTCCCCAAAAGCTGCTCAATCTCATGCTTCATGTGTTCCCTTTTCACCATCTCCTCTGGCCTTGTTTCATCAGGTCCCCGTACAATCTCCTGAACATGATAAACCAGTCCAAAGTTACTCATTGTTCTGTCTCTAGTTGGCATTTTCATGGCAAATTGAAGAGAACCTGCAATGTCATGCGGCCATTAAGAGACGCGACTCGGTCCAACGAAACAGGGGATCTTCCCCGCTCCACAGCAAGTCTAACCGCTGATACGTGGATGTTGAGGTGCTCTGCAATCTCTTCACAGCTCGGTATCCGTTTAAGTTTCCTGGTCAACACATTACTAGCCTCTGCAACTTTTGCCGTCAACTCCCACATGCTTCCCTACACACAACAAGCTAAAACGATGCATTCACTAATTACTTACCACTTCAGAGGAACCCCATTGTTAGTTTCTTTTCTATGTTAATACAATTGCAATAGAGATAACATAACATGGTTGTTGCATATAGTTAACATCTAAAATATGGTACCAACTTTAGTTTTTGCAAATAAACCTCCAAGATTGTTTCCTTTTTCTTGAAAGATTTGAATGTCTTGTTCAATCAAAATGTCATAATATGGTGATAGAGATGCAAGGCTCACCGGCAATTTGACTAGTCTAGACTTGTGCGCAATAGCCCTTAGGATGGCTTGTTTGATCCACCAGTATACGTAAGTTGATAGTTTGTAGCCTCGTTCTGGATCAAATCTCTCAGCTCCTCGGAGAAGCCCTATGCTTCCTTCCTGAATAAGGTCTTGCAAATTCAAACCTTTGCCTTGGTAGCCTGTTGCAATGGAGACAACGAGCCTCCGGTAACAACGAGTAATCTTTTCTCTGGCTTCTCTTCTTCGGCATAATATTTCATTAGCACTACGCTTCTTCTTCCCTTTGCCACTGGACAACAAAACTGATACAATTTCATTCTCTTCAACACTTGTTCCCACATTTTCAAGTTTTGCTCCTTCCTGTTTGTTACCAGAAGAAAAAAAAAAAGAGTTTTCATTATGTTATCTACACACATACAATGAGTTAGGACTAACAAGGATAAATAGTTTGAATCTTCCATAGATGGGCCATTTGGGATATTCGGAAAACTTTCCATAAATGATGTAGAACCATATACCTTGAGGTACAAGCAAAGCTGAACCTCTTCTAAACGACTCAAAAACCCAGATCGTGAAGCTGCAACAGGAACACTGATTGCTTCTGCCTCTGCTTCAGCTTCTACTTCTGGGCCAACATTTTCATCTTCTTCCGGCTCCAAACGCTCGAAACCTACTCTTCTTCTCCTTCTCCTCTTCCTCCTCTTCTCTAATTGAAATGCCCATTTCTCAGGTTTGATCATCACGGAGCTCTCAGCCGCTCTGTCCACCGTGGCCTCACCGGAAACCAAAGCCGCACCAAGCTTTATGGAAGATGGAGATGTTGACGAAGAAGATGGTTGACATTGGTGAGTTGTTCTGAGTAAGGGAGAAATTGTTGGGATAGGAGGAGACGGACACATGGTGGCGGTGGCTGTGGTCGGTATCCTCGCCATGGATGAGCTGCAGAGCTTCCTCACCTTTGATTTCTTTTTTTTATCTTCTTTTTGGTCCAATGGATGAAAGCAGAAGATAATTCGCTCTCTCTATCATAGAGCGGCCTCTGTGTCATCAGTTATTTATCCCCAATTATAATTGGTGGACAGTTGGTTTCTTTCCTATCTTTTTTTTTCTTTGTTTGTTAATATTTGGAACTAGTAGTAACTAACATTTGAACTCTCTCATTTATAATCGTGCTTTAGTTCTCTTCATCATTTTTACAGCCAAAATTTATCTTTATAGTTTTCCTATTTTGTTTCTAGTTTGCATTCTAAACACACTCGCAAACTAAACTAAATTGTTGGAAATGACAACTTTTGCTTTAAATTTTGGTTTTATAACTCACTGCATCATCCAATCAAAATTTTAAAGATTTTTTTTTTCTAAAAAACTTAGTTTTGACTTAAGTTTGCATTCTGGTGGAGAAAATCCATGAACTTTTTCTTTTAATTTCATTTCGGAAAACCACAATCTAAATTTTAAAATTCTAAACTAAGGCCAAAATAAAAAGAATTTTTGACAGAGGATTAAGCCGTCTATGGTAATTATGAAGATTACCACGCATCGAAAAGAAAAAGAATTTTTGACAGAGGATTAAGCCGTCTATCAAACTTTTACGCAAACCCAATAATTTTGTTTTCTGACCCAATAAAGGCCCAACAGAATTGGATCCCAAGAGTATTGTACGTATATTATTACATTCACAACTGATGGATGTGCTGGGCATGTTTGTAGAAAAGACATGGACTCGAGTATCACTGTCTTTGACCCCACGTGCTGGAGGGTGGGAGCCACGCGCTGTCGTCAAGCTTGCCTGTGGTGTACTGTGTGGGGAACACGCGTAGCTCTGTGACTCCTCGTGATTTCATGGTGGGCTCCACTAATACTGCTGACGTGGAATTGTCCACACACCCGTTACTCTCGGCAGCACAAGGAGTCAATTTATGTACCGCCACTACTATATACATGGAATTGGTAAAAGCATTATATCTTTTTTTTGGCTAACAATTAAAGCGGCATATTCGTACTACCTTTTATCAGAGTATACAAAATATCTACCTTTTTGTTTATAATGAATTCAAGTTTTAATACTATTGTTTTGCTTTCAACATTAAAGTTCTTTTTATTGTTTATCGAGTATATCGTAGAAGAAGAACTCAGCTCTGCTTTCGTTTTCGGCGATGCCTCTTTCCCTAACAAGACAAGCGATAATATTAAAATAACATAAGCTTTCAAAAATTAAAAAATTAAAATAGCATTATAATATACACACGTGAAGGAGCTGGATTTGCTAATTGAGATAACCATTCCAAGTCTTAAAAAGATAGATCAGGTCGACAACATTGTTTAGCTCTATTTTATATCTCTCCACAGACTTTCAATTTGACCTTTTCTTCCTGTCTGCATTATCCCATGTGACCTCAAAAAACATTCCTAAACAATTACTCTCTCAGACTATATGAATTTTAAATGAACAGATTGTTTTACAATTTGAAAAATTAATTTGTATTTTTCTGTGAGAGAGAAACGAGTGAAATAAAAAAATTTTGTATTTTTGGAGGAGCTTTAGGTCCGTGAACATGTGAAGATGAGATTATGGTAACAGTTGTGTGACCACAATTTTTGCCTTTTAGCTTCACTATATATATATATATATACACACACATTAGTACATATATATCCACTACGTGACCGACTCTTCGTCTTTCTGCTCCAGCGTCGAGAGAGAGAGAGAATCTGTGTGGTACTCATTGATTCTCCTTTACGATTTTGAAAGATTCCGTTACTGTTTTGAAATTTTCCTCTAGATTCTTTCCTTTAACTCAGGATTTCTTCCACGATTTGTTCAATTCGTTTCCTTTGTTTTTTGGGAATTTGTAGGATTATATTTTGGCTGAATTATATTTTCTGGAGTCGAATCTGAAAGTGGGAAAATGACGGACGAATACAAGGAGGCGTTGTTGGAGAAGCAGAATTACCACGAAGGATGTCCGGGATGTAAGGTGGAGCAGATGAAGCAGCAACGGCGAGGATATCCTTACCTCGAGCTTTCCTTCGTTTGGATCATCGTCCTCTCCACTTGTAACATCTCATTTGCCTTCTTTTATTCTCTTATACATTTTTTTTATATATTCTTTTAATTTTTTTTTTTAATCTCCTCTACGATTTTGGTGGGTTTGTGAGAAATAATTGGTTTTGCTGCTAATGCTTTGGATTAGACTTGGCTAATTGTGAGAAAGCTTTCTTGTGTTGAACGTTATGATTCCTTGTGCAAATTCTCATGCCTTCTCGTCTGAATTCTTGTGTTTGCAGCTCTGCCGATTTCCTCGCTCTATCCCTTCCTCTATTATATGGTGAGTAATTGTGAGTTCAGTGCTACCATTTTATGGATTCATAATCATTCGCATGGTTTTTGGGGGGCTTTAAACTGATGAAGATGTATACTATATTGCATACAATACTGTTGTTTTATCACAGGCTCTCAAATTTCATGTCTCCCCTTTGTTTTCATAGATTGAGGATTTTGGTGTTGCAAAGACGGAGAAAGATATTGGATTTTATGCTGGATTTGTGGGTGAGAAGACATTGCCTCAGTCACTTGTAATTCTGCATTGTATCTCTACTGTCTGTTCTAACTGGTCTCTTACTACTTCGAAAGGTTGCTCATTTATGCTTGGCAGAGCATTGACGTCAGTGTTCTGGGGAATTGTGGCTGATCGTTATGGAAGAAAACCAATTATACTCTTGGGAACTATCTCAATGTTAGTATCCTCAAAGATTATTTTGATTATTAAATCTCTGTTAGTGGTTAGATGACTGATTACCTGGTTACTGCAGTGCCATTTTCAATGCTCTTTTTGGCTTAAGCTTAAACTTCTGGATGGCAATTGGCACGAGGTTTCTTCTTGGGAGTTTCAACTGTTTGCTTGGAACAATGAAGGTGGCCTCTTTGTTGCCATTATTACTCTTGGTTTATGTTTTTGTCCTGCACAGTAGATTGTCATTTGCCTTTTCTAATATCGTCTTGTTAATGTAAAATTTTTCAGGCATATGCGTCAGAGATCTTTCGTGATGAATATCAAGCTACAGCAATGTCAGCTGTGAGCTTCTCCGTCACGTGTTTTTTACATGTTTTGGCTGATTGGTGTCGTGACCCTCGTAACTTTACTCTTTTCAGGTTAGTACTGCTTGGGGCATTGGACTGATCATTGGCCCTGCTCTAGGTGGTTTCTTAGCACAGGTAGGTTGATCACATCCAAATTTTTAAGTTTTCTTAGTTTTTCATACGTTTCCATTTCTTATGTTCTAAGTGCCTGAAGCTTATCACGTGTCCATCTCGCCTTGCTGCAAGTTTCCTGCGTATTGATTCATATTTGTTTTCTACCGTGTCTAATTGATGTCTTTCAATGTTCTCCAATTTCAGCCGGCAGACAAATATCCAAATGTGTTCTCCCAAGAATCCATCTTTGGAAGGTGTATATTCTCACTCCTGTTAAGAGTTTAGTGGAATGGATATTATGGAACTTTCTGAAGTATATGTGAATTGCAACGCAGATTCCGGTACGCGCTGCCTTGCTTTACGATATCAGCTTTTGCATTGGTTGTGACAGTACTATGCTGCTTCATTCCGGTAATCTATTTTTTCTGCCAGAGGCTACTGAGAACCTTTGTCTTCATTATCGAGTGTTCTTAATTAATATATTTCGCACAGAGTTCACCAACTAGTCTCTTATGTCTCTGTCCGAGTAGGAAACACTGCACAATCATAAGCAGGACAGGACATCACATGATGACTCATACGAAATACTTGAAGCTGCATCTCGTGATTCTGCTGCTTCTGCCGGGAAGGCAGAAAAAGACGAAAGAAAGGGTTCTCAAGGGTCTCTCTTGAAGAATTGGCCACTAATGTCATCTATCATTGTGTATTGTGTTCTGTGTCTACATGATACCGCATACTCTGAGGTAAGTAGTTGACACTTGAATTTTTTGCATACCCTCACCTGGTGTAATCTCATTTAGTTGGGCTCAATTAAAAAGTAGTTTTCTACTGCTGAAATTTCAAGTTTGTTTTCTTGATGATATTGAAGATCTTTAATTGCGGTACGAAGCTTTACATGTGTTTGTGGAAGAATAAAAGTGAAGTGGAGTATCTGTCCTTGTTTTTCTCTAGTGCTGTCTGTTCTATCTAGCCTAGTCATTACTCAGGAATTTGTAGCTGGTTGACATTCATGGTCCCAGCTGACAGCTATGGGTTAAATAGGGAGTGAGCAGAATGTGGAGGCATTAAGACTTTTCTAGTTGGGTCGCAATCCCTTGGTTGTATATTTTGTACGAGGTTACGTTGAAGATATAGAACAGCATTAAGACTTCATGTTTGTGAAATTAGATCGTTTGCCACTTCATAGTCTTATGCTTTTCGTCTGAACAAAAATCTTCATCCACTTGGAATCTGGCTATGCAGATATTTGCATTATGGGCTAATAGTCCTAGGAAATATGGAGGTCTGAGCTATTCAACCAATGATGTTGGTACAGTTCTTGCGATCTCAGGTATGCAGAACATCCATGCTCTTCAACCAATGTTGTGTTTCTGTGATAATGATGATTAGAGTCTGCTTTGATTTGAATCAGTACGAGAGTTAAGCAATCATGACTACGTCAGAATTCTTACTAATGAAATTGAGACTCTGTCATTACTCAACTCATCAACACTTCTGCTTTAGGTCTCGGCCTATTCTCCTTTCAGGTTTTTGTTTATCCTTTGGCCGAGAGACTGCTAGGACCTGTTCTGGTCACCCGTTTTGCTGGGGTCAGTTGATATTTCTTTTGATTCTTCTCCGTAGATTATATGTAGCGTATCAACAAGATAGAAATCGATCTTCTGATAATTTCTTTGATTTCAGGCACTGATGATACCAATACAAATGAGTTATCCATTTATAGCAAGTTTATCAGGTCTCAGTCTAAGTTTAATGTTGAATTGTGCATCAATCCTCATAAATGTGCTAAGTGTAAGTCCAAAAGCAAAAGCTAATCCTTTTCTTTTGTTCTCCTTTGTGTTTTCGTAGTTTACATAAGTACACAAAATAAGGTCACGTTAATATATATCTCGGCTGCTTAACAGATTTAGTTTTTTTTTGTGAATACAGGTGTCTGCCATAACCGGCTTGTTGATCCTGCAAAACAAAGCTGTGGTAAGCGACATTCTTCTATCTTTTGTAAACTGTGGACCAAATTTCTTTTCTATTATAAACTTTATATTCTTTGTATGGAACAACAAAAACAAAACAGGATCAGAGCCAAAGAGGGGCGGCTAATGGAATTGCTATGACTGCAATGTCTCTCTTTAAGACCGTTGGACCAGCTGGAGCCGGCATCTTGTAAGTGACTTTTTGAACGAACACGTAAGTAAAATTCAAAGACGCAGTAATGTCCTAAACACAAATATCTATTCCTGGCAGATTTTCTTGGAGCGAGAGGCGAGTAGACGCCGCATTTCTACCAGGTATTTGCATTAGTTCCCTTTGGCCATTATGTATATGATGTTAATACTAGTTATGCCTAACACGAATAAGTTTGAAAACATATATTGCAGGATCGCATATGGTGTTCTTCGTCTTGAATGTGATAGTCGTAGTCGGAGTAGCTCTCACTTTCAAGCCATTTCTAACCACGGGGCGAAGGTGAAATTCATTTGATTTGGTGATAGGAAAGTGTATGGACTCATCGATTCTTTTTAATTTCAGATTCGAAAGAAAACGTAATCAATTTTCGCTAACCTTAGGATTTCAGCTTCTTCTTTTTTTGTTGTCTGCTTTTGTACCAAGGTTATAGAAATATCAATGACAATAATAAGGTTTTGTACACCAGAAATATAACATCACGTTTTCATCAGCGACAGCGTTAGTGTTGTCGGTGGAATAGAAGTGGATTTCATCCTCAAGTAATCGGTTAACAAATCGTTTCTCCTAAGGGTCGATTAATAAGGATAGTTTTATATTTAACTGAACGAGATTAGACGCTGAGTTTGAGAGAAATTTACATAAGCCATTAGCGTTTTCTTTAATGCAAAACGAGACCGGTCCATCGCCTATGGGAAGTGAGTTTTGACGGTCAAATTATTCCGGTTAGCTTTTTAGGATATATTTCGTCGGATGGTTGAGTCATGATGGTAGAGTTCGGCAGCCGCTTTAAAGCTTCTGATGATCTGAATTAACTAATTTTTGAATTAAGAATCTGAAAAACGTTGTTAGTCATAAAAGAACAAAGTTTACTTTTACCGAAAAAATATAAAACACCCTTCCCTTGATAACAAGTCAAAAGCTATATAAATTACTAAATTTTTCTGGTCCACCGCTTAAAGGCCATCGGAAAAAGTAAAGAATCCTTTTTAGTTCAATTTCTAAATACGGACTTCGAACCACTTTAACCATTGTCATTTTGTCATCACCTAATTCATACTATTATTTGATAGAAATAATATCTGAACGTGGTGGAGAAACCTTTGTACATCTTCCCCATATCTTTGCATGAGAGACTCTACCAAAACTACCACCAAATTGTGGGCCTTCTTGTCATAATATATAGTATTTTTTGGCTAAAAGGTTTACCCTCTTGTCAAGTTGTCATATTAGAAAATTATTATCAAAATGGTACTTTGATTTGTAACGGAGGTAGGTAGTAGTAAGTAATAGACAATTTCACGGGCAACACATAAAACTACAAGTACAATTATATTATACATCACGTTGAAAAATTCTGATACAAATTATTGTGTCTTTTTGTTGGTAACAACATATTTTATTACTACGATTGATAGGTGACGAGGAGATAAATACATCTTTCAGCATCAACAATTAATTAGAGAGAAGAGGAAAAACAATAAATGTGAAACAGATTAGCACGGGGGTGACATTTTAAATACATTACTGACATGTCCTTAGCGACTGGAGAGGAGAAAAGCCAAAGTTGTTTTCCTCCTCTCTCTCTCTCTCTCTCTCTCTCTCTCTATGTCTCTCGATTATTATTAAATAGAGAGTACGTACGTGACAATCTTGTGTTAGCTAGCTCCCTCCCATAGAATCACATCTCATCCTCGCTCCCCAATCTTCCCCTATTCTTTGGATCGATTCGATTTCGAGGTCTGTGTTTTTTTTTTATAAAAAAAATGGCGGAAGAGTATACAGAGTGTTTGTTGGAGAAAAACTTCCATGAGAATTGCCCTGGCTGCAAGGTTGACCAGATGAAGAGGCTTCGCCGAGGTTTCCCTTTCTCCGAGCTTTGTTCCGTTTGGATCATCGTCCTCTGCACCGGTAAAATCTAATTTTATTATTCATACTGCTGTTAAGATTCGACGATGGAGATTGAAGAAGACGAATATGTTTTCTTTTGTCTTAAAAAAGATTTTTTTTTTGTTGTTTGTCATTGAATCAGCTCTGCCCATTTCATCTCTTTTCCCCTTTCTTTACTTTATGGTGAGTAACCCCACATAACTCAAAAGTAGTTTACTTTATTCGAACTTTTACGAGGTTGCGCATGTTTTGTGCCACCCAAATATATCAGTCTCTTAACATACTGTTGGATTTTGAAGTGATTATCAAAACTTGTAACAGTATAGAATCTTGTGTTGGTAGATTGATGATTTTAACATAGCAAAGAAGGAAGAGGACATTGGGTTCTATGCTGGATTTGTTGGTGAGTCCTTGGTCATATTAATCTCTTGTTTTTTTTATACATAACCAACAAAGTTTCAGTTCACATTTGTCCTTTGAAGGTTGCTCTTTCATGCTCGGTCGAACATTGACATCTGTCTTCTGGGGAATTGTGGCTGATCGTTATGGTAGAAAACCAGTAATCCTCATAGGAACTGCTTCAGTGTTAGTATAATCTTACATCTGTTTCTTCATCTCTCCCTCACATTTTTGTTTTATATTTCTTTTATTGAAAAACAACGTTTCAAATTCTGCCACAGGGTCGTTTTCAATACTCTGTTTGGCCTAAGTGTAAATTTCTGGATGGCCATCATCACAAGGTTTTGTCTCGGTAGTTTCAACGGTTTGCTTGGTCCTATTAAGGTCCTCCTCTTCACATTTTCTTTTACATAGTTATTCCATGAATTTCTCGAACCTCATTAACCCGAAAATGTTGATGAATTCAGGCATTCGCAATGGAAACATTCCGTGATGAATATCAAGGTTTAGCACTCTCAGCTGTAAGCTCTTGATCCAAAGTTTACATCTTTATTTTTGCTAACTGAGTAGAGCAATTGAGAATCTTATCAAATCGCCTAGGTTAGTACAGCATGGGGCATTGGACTCATCATTGGCCCTGCTTTGGGAGGTTTCCTTGCTCAGGTCTTCTTTAACAAAAAGCCTTTCAATCTTGTTTTTATTTTACTCTAACTCGCGCTCCCTTCTTGATTGATTCTTGTTTGATCTCCCAACCTTGCAGCCTGCAAAGCAATATCCAAGCTTATTCTCAGAGGAATCAGTTTTTGGGAAGTAAGTATTACTTTCTTCACCTCTTCTTCACTCTCATTGAACTAATATATATATACAGCAGTCTCATTGGTCTATAAATCATAATGCAGATTTCCCTACTTTTTGCCGTGCTTAGCCATATCTTGTTTTGCATTTTTGGTGACCATAATTTCATTACGGATTCCGGTACGCTCTTTACTTTTCATGCTCCATGAAATCCCTAGTTACTGTGTGTTAGCTTAAGGTTAGAGATGGTTGTTTCTCCTCTCCAGGAAACATTGCACAATCACAAGATTGATGATGATTCAAAGTCTTTTGATGCTCTCAAAGTTTTGTCTCATGACCCTGAATCTCATAAAGTCACAGAGAGAAATGAAAAAAGCTCTCTCCTGAAGAACTGGCCACTACTTTCATCTATTATCGTCTACTGCATCTTTTCACTTCATGATATGGCTTACACAGAGGTCTGACTCTTCTTCCCCCACCCCCTCATTCATGATTGTTTATTGGCCCAAAAAATGAAACCTTTCAGTTTTTTTTTCTCGGATAGATCTTTTCACTGTGGGCAAACAGCCCGAGGAAGTATGGAGGTTTGGGATACTCGTCTGCAGATGTTGGAACTGTTCTTGCAATTTCAGGTGTGTCCATACTTGTCCATTTTTAATAGAGATGAACTGTTCTGACCTCAAACATTGCTACTTCTTTCTAGGTTTTGGTCTCCTTATCTTTCAGCTTTCACTCTACTCTTATGCGGAGAGGCTTCTAGGACCCATCATAGTTACACGTATATCTGGGGTAACCACTATCTTATGTTGTTCTTACTGGAAACCTTAATCTTTTGAGCAGGAAAGTTCTAATCTTGTGCTTGTTTTCGATACTCAACAGAGTCTGGCTATAGTTCTCTTAGCAAGTTACCCTCTGATAGCAAAGTTATCTGGTTTCTCCCTTACTCTGGCGCTAAATTGTGCATCCGTAGCAAAGAATGTCTTAGGCGTAAGTCTCTCATGACCTTGGAAGAATGTATATAATTCGATATTAGTTTCAAATTCTCAACACTTGTGTGTATGTGTGTGCAGGTGTCTGCTATAACTGGCTTATTCATTCTTCAAAACAGGGCTGTAGTAAGTATTTTCAGAACATTGATCCATTTTACTATTTAGGAGGTGAAATCGAAACCCTCTTTAATTCTGTATATATAAAAAAAAAACAGAGACAAGACCAAAGAGGAGCAGCTAATGGGATTGCCATGACAGGGATGTCTCTGTTTAAAGCAATAGGTCCAGCAGCAGCAGGCATCATGTATTCAACTTTTTCTACCTCATTTTCTCACATTATGCTTCAACTCTACACAACTTCTCATCATTATCGATCGTTTCTTACTTATATTCTCTCCTTTTTTTCCGGTTTGTTGGCAGTTTTTCTTGGAGTGAGAAACGTCAGGATGCTGCTTTTCTCCCTGGTAATGTGAATTCTTCATACTCATATCCATATTTTGATCATTAGCTTATATCAATTTCGAAATCAAGCATGACCAAGTGAGACTAAGTAGAAGAAAATGTTGTAATGTGAATGTGCAGGCACACAAATAGTATTCTTTATCTTGAATGCGGTCTTGGCACTCGGAGTTGTAATGACGTTCAAACCGTTTTTAGCTGAAACACAACAGTAGAAATCGATGGTATTCAATTTTCATTGGATTTGTATCTTATTTTAGATTGTAATTGTCTGATGTCAAGTTAGAGCAGAGATGTGTTTTTTTATAAGATTGTATTGGTAACAACTTGTTAGAATGTTTTAGCATACACATTATTATTATACAGTGAAATAAAAATTACAGTAACTCTCTTAGCTTTGTCATTGTCACGGTTCTGAGCCTTAATGTTTTTTCCGGTTTTATTTGTGTCACAAATTGTGGAAAAAGGATTACAGAAATTTTGTAATGATGCAAAGTGGGATCCATACGAACACTTTTATCCGTAATTTGCATTCGTGAGCTTAATCAAATCAAATATTGGAATCGTTTTCGAGAAAACGACTTAGATTTAAAAATGTTGTTTTTATACATACAGTATGATGTTTTCGCGAATAATATCTTCTGAGTTCTGACTCTTCTGACTCAAAAACAACAAACTTATAATACGGAACTCAATCTCCATGAAAAGAACAAATCGCAACCGTCCATCTTCGGTCAAAACTTAGACGTGGCGATTCATTTTCCTTGATGTAGCGTACACGTCAACACACAAGATAACGATCTCCTTCTCCACCATCTTCACGTGTGTGTTTTTTTTCCCAGCAAACATGCAATCGAACTAAATGGAGAGTGTGTCTCACGCGCGTAATTCAGCACATGACACATAACTCTTGGTGGAGTCTGCTTTCGTACCATTGAGGCTCCTAATAATAAAAAACGTTACTCGTTGATGGGTACGACCAAAATTTGCAAAAGTAAATGCACAAGAACAAATCGGAAATAGTGACAAGTGAAAATAAAAAAGAAACAGTAACATTTTACACCAATCACACAAATAACGTAATCAGAAATTATCTCACTTTGAGAAGAAGACTTTGGGCAAACATTCTCTCTTAAGACGAGATACGACCGCCGTCGCCGGGAAGTGACGTCACCAAAAAGCTGTCAATGGGTGCCACAGACCCCGTACGATTACTCAACTCGATTCCTGCATTTTCGTTACCAATTACTCTTTTTAAAAAGAAAAAAATTATTTCCTTTCTTAACGATCAGGTTTTTTTTTGGAAGGCGGTGGAGGAGAGAGAGAACAAAGGAGAGAAGTTAGAGAGAGAAGAAACAGAGAAGAAGCAAAGAGGAGTAAAGGGTGTGGATGAGGAAGGAGAAGAATCAAAGGATAAAGATGAAATCAGTCACCACAGATTTTTGGCGAGCTTGAATAGATTAAACCCAACAAATCCTCTTAGGATCATTTTCAATAATGGCGGCGGCTCTAGATTCACCACGCCGCCTCCTAATCTCGCGCAGCCACTCCGATCTTCCTCAAGAATGCCTCCGCCGATACAGACGCCTCCCACTCGCGCTCAACCGCCTGAAGAGCCTCAGCTTCCGCCGTCTCCGTCGGCGACGCCGCCGCTTCAGCTACAATCTCGTTCCATCCTCATACCAACCCCTCAAGTAATTTTCTTTCTGTTTTTGCGTTTCAGTCTGAAAGTTATCATTTTTTCTGGGAATTTAATCTTAGCTTGAACTTCTTTCTCACCTTGATGGTTCTATAGATTCTGAGGAAATTGATAGATTTTGAGCCTTAGGTTGAATATCTGTCTTGTTTGAAATCAGTTTTTCTAAGTTGATAAGTAAAAGTTTCCTAATTTATTTGGTTTTGCAGCAAACCTTGGCATCATTGAATTCAACAAAGTACACAAACAAGTTCTTTCTGCTGCTCTTCGTGGTTCACAAGGTTGCGGCTATTGGGTTTGTAGGCTTCCTCGTCTTCAAAGGCGTCCAAGGTCTAATAGGATCCAACGGTAGCGTCAAAAGGAAAGAGCATAAGATCCTCAGATTTCTACTCCCACAAGTCGAAGCTGCATCGTTCTTGAGCATCATACTCGCATTCTCCTGGCAAATGGCATTTCGTATCTGGCCTAATTTCATGATCCACTTCATAATATGGAGTACATTCTTGATGTCTCTATCCTCAGGAATCCTCTTGCTGTGTTTCCAGATGCCAGCCACCGATGCTGTTGGGGTTTGCCTCATCGCATTCTCCATCGGCAATGGTTTATATGCTTGCTGGATCACTCGCAGGATCAAATTCTGTTCCAAGATATTGGTCAAGTCGTTAGAACCAGTTTCCAAGTTCTCGGATCTGAATTTACCAACCTACTGTATGCTAGCTGCTGGTTTCCTCTGGATGTCAGTTTGGATTTTTGGTGTCCTCGGTGCATTGAACTTCTATTTTCCTCCACTCGTGATTATTGGTTTGGTGCTAAGCCTGGCTTGGACTACGGAAGTGATGAGGAATGTTGTTAATCTAACTGTGAGTAGAGTCATTGCTTTGTTCTATCTAAGGGGAATGCAGTCAAGTACTCGGTTTAGTTTCCAAAGGGCCTTGTCTCGGAACCTCGGGAGCGCGTGTTTAGGATCTCTGTTTGTTCCAACAATCGAAGCCCTGAGAATCGTGGCAAGAGGATTGAATTTGCTCAAGGGTGAAGATGAGTTCATGTTTTGCTGCGCTAATTGCTGTCTCAAGCTCATGACCTTCATATTCGAGCACGGCAATGGCTGGGCCTTTGTGCAGGTATTAACTAACATTTTGAAACCATGCCACTCTCATTTTTTCATTTTTAATGGTGGAGCAGCTTTCAAGTGATTTGTCTTGATATCTCCCTTTCTCTATTTGCTGCAATTATTCGGTTTCTTTATATTAAAATATCTGCTTAACAGAGTGTTATTAGTATTAAAACCAACTTGGCTGTGGTGGGTCTTCTTTTTTTTCCTTTTCTTTTTCTGATATGAGAATCTTGCATCATCTTGACAAGTCGAGGCACAACCACATGCATTGCTGCATTTTTAGTAAATATTTTGAATCACAAACAAAAAAGAGTTCTTTTGATAGTATCAGCAAATAGCTCAGTCAAGTTTTGGAATCAACAAGGTCATGTGTCTAGTAAATTTATTGTTGCAAATAATATGAGCTTTGAATGGTAACAGAGGACACTAGATTAAGATCGCTATTTATTCACCATTCACAAGTGTTCTTTTACACCGGATGATGAGTAAAACGTTATGAATATATATATGTAGATAGCAGCTTATGGGAAAGGATTTGTGAGGGCGTCGCAAGACACGTGGAAACTGTTTGAGGATGAAGATATGGTTGAGATCATAGATGCAGACATAACAAGCTCCGTCTGTTTCCTCACAGGAATCTGCAGCGGTTGCATCTGTGTTATTGTCGCTGCCGCTTGGACTCACACAGTTTACAAACCTTTTACAGCCACCATCTCCTTGCTTGCCTTCTTCATTGGATACCTCATGGTAATTACATTTTATTATTATTTTGACTTCTTCAAATTATGTTTACTCTCAATAATATTCTCAGCATCATCCTTTTGTTTTTTGTTTTTTTTTTTTTTTTTTCTTTGGGATGTGTTAAAACAGACCAGGATCTCAATGGCATTGCCTCACGCCTGTGTAAGTTGCTACTACGCATGCTATGCCGAAAATCCAGAAAGCAGATTCTTCGACAAAACCATAAAAGATAGGCAAGCTTTGATAAGAAATGGCCGTGTTGTTGTCCACACGCCTAGAGTCCGCCGCGCTCTAGCCTAGCCGGTGCTTCTTGCTTAGTCTTTTTTTTCCTTCCTGCCTGGTTTGAAACGGCTAGGTGCTAAATCTTCAGAAACCAAATAACTTATTAGTTTAAAAAATTGTATTTTGATTTAGTTACAGAAAGAGTGAAGTGTCAAATATCAGTGGGGTGGTGGGGAAGAAAGAATGTGGATAGACAAAGGTCATGACATCGACACAATCCAACTTAATGTAATGAGCCAAAAAGGCAAGTTGGTTTAGCTTTTTTCTTTTCTTTCTTTGTTTTGTTGTTGAGACCCCCTCAATTACTTTCTGTACATATCTCTTCATTATTTTTTTGTTCCTTTTCTGTAGATGGGTATATTCCTTTCTCCATTTTGGAAAGTAGCTGATTTTTTATCTTTAGATAAATTTTTTTTTTATTTATAAGATTTGGACATGCGCCTGCGTGGTAGGTAGATGTAAAGTTCTGATTAATCTTTTGTTCCTGTGAAATATTTCGATAAAAATAATGGAATTATTGGAATTTTCTTCTTAAACTTAGCCAAACTCTGCTTTGCCTCGGTGACATCAACAACAGCAGCAGTCGTCTCTTCGTACTCTTTTGGAAATCCTTACAAAAAGATTCCAGAACAAAGGCTTTCTTTTCAAGAAATACTGGAACCCATATAGAAAACACAAATTGGAAATCTTTTGGACCCAATCAGTTATCTAAGTTAGCTAAAATGAAAAGGCCCATAAAAGCCTCATTACAATATTTCCAAACCTCCCCAAGGTCTCCCCCGATAGAGAAGTCCAATCTTATCATAACATGAAATCTAAATTCCGCCACGTGATTCGTCGATTTAGCTGAACCCCGCAAAGATGCCACGTCATACGATTAAAACTAAAATTAAAACGTGTGGTCGAATTTTTTCGTGGCGCTTAACTAAAAATTAAATCCACAAGTGAAGAAAAAAAAGAAAAGGTGAGAGAGATCTCTCCCTCACCCTCACACACGCTTAAACAGATGGCTATCGCGAGCAGATCGTGGGTAGCCACCGTGAACCACCATGCAAACCCACACAGCTTCTCCTCTCCGAAGAAACCCGTTTTCTTTCTTTCCCAAAAGCCTCACATTTCCCACGTCTGCTCGTCTCGATGCTCTCTGGTTCTTGAGGAAGATGAAAAGAAGTCACCGAGTTCTAAACAAGACAAGTGGCCATTTTTCGAACCTGTCCCTGATGGCCTTAACCTGGTCTTATCCAGGTTGCTACGAGATCCTGAAACCCAGAAACTTTCTTCAGAGTTTTACGAGAAAGCCAAGGAGAACTCAGAGCTGAGGACGACCAAGCATCTGATCAATTACTTGGTGAATGCCAAGAACTGGGACTTGCTCGTCTCGCTTTGTGAGGATCTCAGGGAATACAATGCGTTGCCTGATGCTCATACGTGTTCCCAACTGATCAGGAGTTGCATCAGAGAGAGAAAGTTCCGAGTTGCGCACTGCTTGCTTAGCGTGTTTAGATCAGACAAAACATTGGCTGTGTTCGCAACTGATTCGGCGATGAAAGGTTTTAACAAACTCCAGATGTATAGTAGCACGATCCAAGTGTTTGATAGGATGAAACAATATGTAGGAGTTGAGCCAAGCCCGGGATGTTATTGCAGGATCATGGAGGCTCATGAAAGGATCGGTGACAATCAAAAAGTGGTTGAGTTATTTCAAGAATTTAAGAGCAAGAGGTTGAGTTTCTTGGCCAAGGAATCAGGCTCCATCTACACGATTCTATGCACCTCCCTTGCAAAATCAGGACGCGCATTCGAAGCTCTTGAGTTTTTGGAGGAGATGAAAGACAAAGGAATTCAGGAAACTAGTGCATTGTACTCTACGCTGATCCGTGCCTTAGCGGGAGCTCGAGAGGTTACAACGGTCGAGAAGCTATTCAAAGAAGCAGGGGAGAAGAAACTGTTGAAGGATCCAGAAATGTGTTTGAAGGTTGTATTGATGTATGTTCGAGAAGGAAAAATGGAGAGAACTCTAGAGGTTGTGGCCGCTATGAGGAAGAACGATTTAAGGGTCTCCGACTGCATTCTCTGCGCGATCGTGAATGGATTTTCTAAGCAAAGAGGTTTTGCGGAAGCAGTTAGGGCTTACGAGTGGCTTAAGAAGCAAGAATGTGAGGCTGGACAAGTGACTTACGCAATAACCATCAATGCGTACTGTCGACTAGAGGAGTACGAGAAGGCTGAAATGTTGTTTGATGAGATGGTAAACAAAGGATTTGACAAATGCGTTGTTGCATACTCAAACATTATAGATATGTACGGGAAAACAAGGAGGCTAAGCGATGCAGTGAAACTCATGGCTAAGATGAAACAGAGAGGATGTAAACCCAACATTTGGATTTACAATTCTTTGATTGATATGCATGGGAGAGCTATGGACTTGAGGCGGGTCGAAAAGATATGGAAAGAGATGAAGAGGATGAAGGTGTTGCCTGACAAGGTGAGTTACACAAGCATGATCGGTGCGTGTAATAGAGCAAAAGAGTTGGAGAGATGTGTGGAGCTTTACAACGAGTTTAGGATGAACAGAGGAAAGATTGATAGGGCCATGGCAGGAATCATGGTCGGTGTATTCTCCAAAACCAGCCGGATTGATGAGCTAATGAGACTGTTGCAGGACATGAAAGTTGAACGAACCAAGCTTGATGCGAGGCTCTACTCCTCAGCTTTGAATGCTCTGCGTGATGCTGGTCTCAATTCCCAGATAAGATGGCTGCAGGAAAGCTTTGACACAGCACAAACCGGTGCTTCAAGATATTCGAATACGAAGAGTAAAACAACTTTGCAGGGTTCTTGAATTGAAGTTGAAACTGTAGAAGTCAAGAATTCTTTTGTAATTAAATGTAATACATTGTCACAGAGATCTGCTATCTTGCAAATAGAAGATTTCCATCTCAAGTTGTAAAGCCTTAAGAAAACAATTGGATTTCTGAAACATGATACATAAACAAAAGAGGACTAGATATCAAGTACAACCAAAGGAAGACAATGGAGAAAAACATAATGTATTTGCCACTCGAGAACATATGACTGCAAAATAGGGAGCAGTACTAGAGCCAGCCAGCAAACCCCACTCTAATAATACTCATAATTACCTATTTTGGTCATCCTGCTTTAAAGTCTCACTTCGAACTTGCTTTAGCCTCTTCAGCTTGAGCTGTTTCTACAACTTTTGCATCGCCTGAACAACATCCACCTCCATGGTGATGATGACCGTGGCCATGGTGATGGTTTTGCTTCCCCTTGAGATGCTTTCGCATGTCATAGGCATCCTCTCCATCCGCATAATACTTTGCTTCAACATCGTGAATCTTGTAGCCTAATGTCTCCGTGTACAGATTAAATGCGGCTCGGTTACTTCTCCTCACATGCAGCGAAACATATTCTGCCTCGTAAACCTGCCACAAAACCATGAGAGTGAATTAACAGTTCAAGTTCGAGACGGGAAACAACTATCAACTTCAGGTCTACTGTTTTGAAATTCACAGATAAATCAGAAATTGACTGTCCCCGGCAGTCCAAAGCATAAAGGTGAGTTCTTTATACAGTCTCAAGAGCTTGAGTTGCTTCAAATTCAAATTTAGAGAAGAAGGAAAAAGAAAAAAGCAAACTACCACAATCAACTTCATCTAGAATGGGAGAAGAACCAAATGCAGTAACAGAAATCAGATCCCAAAAGTTGATAAAAAAGTTATATACTGTCAGCAATTCATGGTTTCGTCTAATATAAAAGAATCGCTTAACTAGCATCATCTTCAACATAACTAAAAACACACAAATTCGTTTACAGGAATAATTATACAATCATCCAAACTATTAAAGACGACTCAACACAGTCTATACACTGTTTCTTTAATGAAAACTACATACGAAAAGAAGGAAAACGAAAGTGAGTAACCTGTTCCATGGCAGCCTGAGCGGCGGTCATGAGCTTAGTGGCGAGGCCGAGCTTCCGATGGGTTCGAAGAACGGCGAGAGAGGTGATATGGCCATGGCACTCGTTGCTCTCCTCCTCCATCTTGGCGAGCACATAGCCAACGATGCGACCATTGTAGTCCTCGGCAACGTAGAGAAGCTGCGGCCAAGAGAGGATATGGTAGAGGTAGTACTTCATCTGGTAGTTCTCAGGAAGACACATGAGATTGCATGCCTGCATCGCCAGCAGATCATCCACCGTCGCTCGCCTGATGCAGACCATGGCTGCTCAATCTACGTCTTCTTCTCTTCTCTCTCCTATCGGGGATAAATTTGGGGTTAGGGTTTCGGGTCTAATGGCGTCGGGCTTTATTAATCTGGGGACGAATTTCAATAACAGTGAAATATGAGGTCCTTATTGAAACTTTCTTCAGTTGATAAGTAACTTGTAGGGGCCATTTAATAATAATGAAAAAATTCAATCTAACAAAAAGGAAATTCTGTAACTTAGTTTAGGATTTTAGTCCGGTTGGGCCTTGATTACGACAATTACACGTTCAATAAGTTTTGTTTGGTAGAAGTCCAGTTAATGCGGTCAAAACGTAAACCACGATGCACTAACTACCATTTGTACATGTGAGTTCTCACTTAAAGAATCACGCTATGGCAAGAGGACACAGAGGAAGTTGTTTTTTTTTTTCTTTTTTTTTTGGTAGAAAGAAGGATTCAATACCCAAATTGTCAGGTTCGGATATAAAATATACTTCCGAGTAATTGCCTTGTTTTCGTTAATTTCTTGATTGGTGACTCTGTTTTGATTTGTTACTCTTTGAGGGAAGTAAAAAAAAAAGGGTAACAGAAAGCAGTCTCTACCAAACTTCAGTGTCGAAAGAGTGAGGTTAGAGAAAAATGCAGCTGAGATAAGTGAAACTTCTCTTGTTTTTTTCTAATATCCCTCTAAAACTGCTTTAAAATAATCGAATGCTCGCCTAATGACGCACCATTATGTACCTCACTCCCATTTTTCTCTATGGCTAAACAGAGTAACCTCTGCCTTTTTTTGTTTTTTTTCAGATGGAAATTCTGCTAAACTAGACTGATCCTCTCTGCAGTTGCTCTGGTCGTGTTAGTTGTCACTGAATCACTTGACGGGCTCTCTCTGTCTCTTTCATTCTTCCTTCTATCCTGTGCCTCTCCCGGCAACCTTCAAGAAAATACAAGTAGTAAGAATCTCTGCATTTCTAGTCTAGGACAAAGAAGGGTTTCCTATATACAACCAATGACATCAAAAAGAGTTATGAGAGCAATACCCTAATTGCAGAGTTGTGTCTGAATTGGTTTCCTGGAGGCTGCACTTAATGTCGTCCACGCAAGTGTTGTTTACGAGTAAGTTCTTGGGATCTATAGGGAAGCATTTGATGTAGGATGGAGCATAATGTTGGTTGATGGACGGGAGAAAACTTCTAAGTTCTTGAACCTATTTCGAGAGATGATTTAGAGGTCAGGGAAAGAAGACTTCGTGACAGGAGATAGAGTTAACGAAAAATATAGTTTCATTCACCTGTCTACGCAAGGTCTCGTTTTCCAGCTCTGCTCGCTGTTCCTGGCAAAGTAAATATTCTGGATGATCAAGAAAAGAAACATATTCTTGCGCTAGTACGTACCTAGCTAACTAAGACAAATAAACTCCACACTAGCTAGTTAGAGCATGAACTTTGCAGAGGATATCGTAGCCATTACAGAGCGGAAGACATGAGTTTTATATGCAGTTAGAAGCTAAAAAGGTAAAGTAAGTGTTTCATATAACTCGAGAATTACCTTGAGCCGTGATTCTTCAAGTTGTTTAGTCAACAATAGTTCCTGAAATCACATAAAGTTTATCAGGAAAATGAAAACTTGTTTACGAAAAAAGATAATGGGGAAGAGTGATAATACTAGTTACCTTTCGCTCTCTCACAGAAATCAATGCAGCATTTAGTTGCTGCTCAAGGTGTTGCAGCTCTTTCAAGCTCAGAATATTCAAGCCCTTACCCTGCAGTTGTCTGCAGAACACACAAAGAGACAAGACCATATAAACACAAAAGTGGCTGGTGAATCGAGAAGAATAAAGTAACAACCAAGTGGGGATTAAGTAGGTTCCATACAAATGTTTCTCTTGAAGCTTTGAAATCTCATCCTTTAAAAGGTCCACCTCTGCACAATCCTCCTGGTTCTAAACGGCATATCAGATGTTTGATGTATCAAAACAAAATACTTGAATCTATACCAAAAAAACAATTTCAACATGACACAAGAATTTCTAACCTCTGCTTTAGAATTAATCAGAGGAACATCTGAAGAACTCTGGTAATTTCCGTATCTCAAAAGCGTTTTCTTCATGCTAAAAATCAAATGAGAGATTACATGGACAACAGAACGATTTGTGAGAATTAGGTTCTAATTAGGATTATCTTCAGCTGAAAACTTAAAACAAACATGCAACTTCACTAAGAGCAACACGCGCTTAAGCCTCACGAAATCGATTTATCAAACCTAGGCATGCAAGTACAAAATCGAATAGAGAAATGATGAATACCCAGTACTGGCGAACTCGAAGAGCTTGCCAGACTTGGAGAAGACGATGACGGCAACTTCAGCATCGCAAAGAACAGAGAGCTCATGAGCCTTCTTGAGCAACCCAGCACGCCTCTTGGAGAAGGTAACTTGTCTGCTGTTCGCATTCTCGATCCTCTTTATCTCGATTTTTCCACGACCCATATTAATTAATGTGAGTATCGCATAGAACAGAAGATGGGAAAAGGTTCAATCTTTCTTCCGTTCTTCAAAGTCCCCAAAATTGGATTTTTAAACTCCTTTTTTGGGTTCCAATTCTGCTATAATGGGAAGACCAAAGATTGCTAAATTTGGATGGAATATTATTGTTTCTAGAAAAAGAAAAAGAAAAGTGAGAAAAAAATATCGGTCTTGAAAAAAAAAAACTAGTCTTGTGTGTTGCATGGGCTCTGTTTTGCGTGCTCTCTTTTTGAATTTCGGTGTATTTGCATGACACCTTTTTGCCACATTTGGAGGGTTTGCCAGTTTCTCTGGGACCCACGTTTCCTTTTGTTGCTAAAGTTGTGTTTTTTCTCTTTTCCGACCTGACCTGTATTTTTTTTTTATTGCTAAACTGTACTAGATGATAGAAAGTAAACTAGCATGTGTTCTCTTATTTATAGATAAATAACAAATTAGATGATTGATTTGGTATCGTACACGCCACACGGCATTTAAGAAGTTAATTTCAAAATCTCTATAACAGCTTTTTCGAAGAACATTTGAAATCTAGAATTAAAATAGCTAAATAACTGAGTACAGAGGATATTATTAGTAAGGCATTCATATTATGATTATCAAACGATTCAGAATTTAAACTAACAAAGGACTCAAATTTCAAAATCTAACCAACAAAACATGAACAAAATCCTTATGTGCAGAGAGGTCGAAAGTTGGGTCAGCTGATAAGTAGGGTCACTCTCATCTTCGATTTTAGGTGATCAAGTATCATACTATTATACTAGACAGTAGATAATCTATAAACCTGTATGCAGTGTCTGGTATTTCAAATTCAACACTTATCTATACGCAACAGGCAGAAGATTTTTGATTTTTTTTTTTTTTCATCCGTTTTCCTTTTTGAACATTTAGAAACTTGATTCTATTCTATCAGACAACATTCTAGCATCGGATGCATATCATAGATTACAACTATTTACATTAAACGACGACGGTTGCAAATGCTACTTTCTATGCAGACTTTTCCCTCCAAACGCCCTATTAAAACTGGCCCTGAAGGCTTCTCCAACTCCACGCCAGTACGAATACTTTGACCCGTACAACCACAGATTCACTGCTTTTTTCCAACCTTCTCTCGGAAACTCGATTTCCCGAGCAATGCGGGACTGCTCCCAGTCTTCTTCACCATCGTCCAAAAGCGGGAGCGCTTCAAAACCACCAGACTCCAGGTGCTTGATCCACCCGCGCATCAGATAGTTCACCACCTACTCATTTTTCATATGCAAAAAGGTTCCATTACTCATATCAAAGCTTATTGCAGAGTTTCAAGAATTTATTTTTTTTTTGAGGAAAGTTTTAGTGATTCACTGTACCTCAGGGACTTCATCGTGTGGGCAGTGACCCGCTGGGCTGATCTCGTAGTATGGAGCGTTGGGAAGTTCCTTTTTTATCTTCTTTCCCCATATTGGTCTCACCCATGGATCTTCTCTTCCATACATGAGACATATGTTAACATTGTTTTGCTTACACCTAGCATTCACCATCAAAATAGTATTCCTTGATATAGCGACAAGACCAATCACGCAGAGGGGAAAACACATAGAAAACAAAAGAACCATACTGTCTTATACCTTGATAAAGCTTCGTTGAAAGATAACTGTCCACCAGGAGCAAACATTATTGAAGCAAACGACGCTGCAGCAGCCGGATGCTGCGTGATCTCCACAATACGTGAGAATACTTTATCCACATCGGTAGAATGGTCTTTGTAGACCTGCTTAAGTATCTCAGCTATGCTTTCAGGATCACTTATCTTTTGCCACCTGCGATTCCATGGGGGAAGTATAGAAGAATTAGAGTAATTTGAGATAGAAAATGAATACTTTTCAGGTGAGAAGATGTGGTTAATAAAGTCGTTCTTACACCAATTCTGTGAGTTTTTTCACTCTTGCAGGTAGAGGGAATGTTCCAGACCATGGAAAGAGACGTGCTAACACTGGAGATCTCACTGGATTAGGGAAGAAACCCCAGAAAGGTGTTGCATTAAGCAACGTAACACCCTTCACCAGATGAGGATGGGTTGCTGCAAAGTAGAGAGCTACATACCCTCCAAGTGAGTTCCCTGCAATGTACACGGGCTCACCGATAACCTGTACAACAATACTCTTACCGACTCAGCAACCTTTTTCAGGTGGGTTTGTGCTAAAAGTTCAGAACACAACAGAAGCAAAGAACAGGGAAGACTTCATCTATACTTACTGAGACTTGACAGTTTGAACTTATGACTGAAAGCTAATCAAGGGCATAAAGAGTAACATAACAACTGAACAGCAAAGTAAGACTTTGACAGAAATTGTTTACCTCTTCTACAATATACTGAACTTGTTCCCTCCAGAGATCCAGAGAGTAAACGAGTTGATCAGCCCAAGGTTCAGCTTCATCACCAAATCCCCAAAACGGTTCATTTTTTCCCAAGCCACCGGTTTCTTCAGATATGGTAGTAGGATCTTCATTCGGGAGGGATAAACCCTGTCCAAGAAAATCAATCGCCCATACTCGATAGTCCCTTCCCAAATCCGTAAGCTGCTTCTCATAGTGAAATGAACCAACACCAAAGCCAGGAAGAAACAACACCGTAGGAGCCTCGAGGTTTTCACAACCAGATTTCTCAATATGTACCGTGAGCTTAGGCTTCCACTCGTAGTGAGAACGACTGATTTGAGCAGCAGCCTCGCCTTTTGATTCATCAGGCAAACCAGGAATCAAAACCTTCGACTTTGATTCTCCTCTTCTGGTTATACCACCCAAATCCTCATTCTCACCAACCACATAACCATCAGAATTTCCATTTCGTATCACAAGTCTGGGTTTTCTGACCCCAGACAATAAGATGTTTGATCGATTTGGCACCAATCTGTTCTTGGCTAGTTTACTACTCCAGGCCACCACAGAGCACTGAGGTATGAAGCTCTGTGAGATTATCTCCATGACAAATTCCTGTAACACGAACAAACGAATTGGCAGCTCAGATTTCTCAACTTCATAGCAAAGATGAGAATCAGAAGAAACTAGCGATGCTTATAGACTGATTCTGTTTAGATTTCAGAATAAAACTTGAAAAAGCTGAAACGCGCATACAAATATTCGCGAAATTTGCGGTAATCGAAATAAAAAAGATAGCAAATCAAGTTCCGAGCAACCTTTCGTCAAATTGAAATCAAACAAAATCCAGTATCACCCGATTCATCAAGTGAGAAAGCCAACTGTAATTAACAAAAGGAGCCAAAAAAAAAAAAAAGAGGGTGAGATTTAGAGCTAGTACCTTTCAAATTCCGGATGCAAGACGCTTCTTCATGTAATGATTTTGGTTCGGTCGTTTTTTTCAGAAATAAAAGGTGGAAGAAAGAAGGTTCAGAGTTTGCTTGCTTGCTGTCTTGGTTAACTTCGGTGCAAACCGACAACAACGTTTTTATTGAGTTTATTACTTACAAGCATTCCAAAATCCAAATTCATACTGGGGTCACATTTCTTACACAATATGACATTTTCTTGGATCTGAGAATTTTTTTTAATTTGACATTACGGGCGAAGTGGAGCTACCCAAAATTTGGAAGTTCTTTGTGAAGCATCCAAAGCTATTGTTTACCCGGGAAATAAAAAAATCTTGGAAGGTTCAGAGTTTGCCATCTAAATCCAATGGATATTGATTTAAAGTTTCCAATTTAAGTAGTGTTTTGCAGTTTATGACAAAAAAAAAAATTGGACTAATTACCATTCTAACTCTTAATAAAACTGACAAAGGAACACCGTATAAGTGATGGTGAAACGGAGCACCGTATTTATTTGTTGTCACTAAACTTTTCTTCACCTTGCACCTAGACCCAATTAATAAGTCCATACTATAGGCCCAAATCAAAGACCCATTGGTAGATTGAAAAGTTAGCTCACTGTAGCTTTTAAGCATAGAACTAAACCCAAACTCTAACATCGTTGTAAACCCATTTGGAATAATCTTTTTTTATTTTTTAATACGCCAACCGCGTTTGATTATCAATAGGTGACTTTTCCTCGCAAATTCATCGACGTTTTTTTCTACAACAAAATTATTTCGTTTCTTCTCGTGGGAGCATCTTGTAGTAAAAAGGATCATAAAGAGAAATTATAAGAGACATAAGAGAGAATTTATAAGAGACATAATAATAATAATGAAATTGTGAAAATTAATTAACTTGACAGGAAAATAAGAGAGAAACAGAAAAATTCTTTGCTTTACAACAAAGACAGAAGGGTTAATTCGGAGAGCTATCCTCCACAATCCACATCTTCTTCTCCGCAAGAAAAACAAAAAAGCAAAGGGAAAATCCAGAATCAGATAATAGATAACAGATATTATTTCATCAATTTCGTGTTCGTAGATCATAGGTGAGAAAATATTTAGCTGGAAAACGGAGTCCCGATCGTTTACGACTCATTTCAGAGAAGCTGATTCTAATTTTTTTCTTTGTTCTCCGATCGTTTTGTTTGTGCAGGCGTTGAAGGAAACACCAATCTCCATTTCCTCCTTGTGGAGTGATCGATCGGTGAGGCGATTGTTGTTATTCAATTTCTCTTTAGATTCGTCTGTTTATTTGGAATTTTGATCGTAGGCTTTTGATTTTGCTGACTAGTTTAAGGTTTTTGCTCCAAAACAGCCGCCGAAATTCTGTGTCGATGGCGGGTTTAGAGAAAAACGCAGGGAAGACGAAATCGGCTACGCCGTCGACATTTTTCAACAGGTCGCTTACAATTCACGGGAGGACGGTGGATTCGAGCCCAAAACCACACAGCCTAAACCCTTCTCTGAACCGTACGACCTCCATCACCAAATTCTACAACCCCGTGGAAACAGTGGGAAGCTCTCTTAAAGGAAAAGTCAAGAACCTTTGTAGATTATTCGAAGGTTCGAAATCCGTGAAACCAACCTCGTCTGATGTAACTTTAAAGCCGAAATCAGGGAAGTCGCTTTTACCCGAGTCTCGGATATCTCCGTTTCTGAGCTTAAACAACTCGGTGATTCGTCTTCCCGGGACAGAGGACAGGATTGTGGTGTATTTCACTAGCTTGAGAGGGATACGGCGGACTTATGAGGATTGCTATGCTGTGAGGATGATATTTAGAGGGTTTCGGGTTTGGATAGATGAGCGTGATGTGTCCATGGACTCGGCTTACAGGAAAGAGTTGCAGATTGCAATGGGAGAGAAGAGTGTGACGTTGCCTCAGATTTTCATCATGGGGAAGTATGTGGGTGGTGCTGATGTGATCAAGAGTTTGTTCGAGATTGGCGAGCTAGCCAAGATTCTCAAAGAGTTTCCTGTGAGAGAGCCAGGGTTTGTGTGCCATTGTTGTGGGGACGTTAGATTCATCCCGTGTTCGAATTGTAGTGGGAGCAAGAAACTGTTTGATGAGGATGAAGATAGGCTCAAGAGATGCCCTGACTGCAATGAGAATGGGTTGATTCGTTGTCCTGATTGCTCATCTTGAGAATACTTAGCCTGAAGAAGAAAACAAAAAAAAAATAGGTATTTTTATTTCTCTTTTGATATTTGCATTGTTGTCTAGAACAAGTGAATGATGCTATTCCGAAAATCTCTTTTGGATCAGCAGTATTTCACTTTCAGCTTTAAGGTGGTTTGCGATCATCGGTATTGGAATGTTGATGATCGTTGATTTAGCTTGTGTATGTTTGCTACTAAGGACTAATGTAATTGTGTAGTCAAAATGTCTGAAACGGGTAGTAAGCATTTTGACTCTTGTGTGTCGATTTTGTGAAAAACAACTGTTTCCTTGTGCTATATATTTGATTGTAAATATCTAGTGTGCTTCTTATGGGTATTGCGTGTTTGATTACGACGGTTACTGGGTTCTATATGATTCCCTTATTCTTCACTTGGTCGTCTTTTGATGACAACTTGGTATTAAGAATGTCCCTCGAACTTGTTTGCTAACTCTCTCGATCAAGGGATTTCCTAAAACCCGAAAACATTGAATCTTGTTGGTTGAAACATAACATATAATAAGAATATTATATGTCATTGACAATATTCAAACTTTGTTACCGCTCACATTCATGATTTTATTTTATCGGTGACAAGTTCTTAAAACGATGTACTTCATTTGACATTGATATAATCTTTTTTTTTTTCAATTGGTGTTGTGCTGCAAATCACGTATGATTAAGTGAACAATTAACAGCTATTTCCAGCAATTTTTGTTTTTTGTTTTTCCCCAATATAAATTATTTCATTACTCCATTAAAAGGGTCTAGAAGCCAATCAGCCAATCCGGTAAATATGGAAAAACGAGATACAATCAAACGAGGTAAAAAAAGACTTTGCTTGGCCATTTTATTGGCAACTTGATTTGCTTGACAAGGACTAAACAAAAGGGAAATTGGGTGGAACTCTTTCTTACAAAGTCGAGAGTTCTTGGGCATCTATTTTCAAGAAGGCCCGACTATTCTCTATGTTAAGCCCAAGAATACATCCTTACAAGTTACAACCATAAGTAAATTCCACTCTTGAAAAGCCAATTGTAATAGTGATGAGGCAGCCCAACTGAAAACCTCAACCTCAACGAGAAGGGTTAAACAAATTTTTTTGCTACGAATGTTAATATTCATTAAAATGAAAGTTGAGGGTGTTACAAGAAGTTAGACCTGAAAGTTGGGCAAATGTTTCGTTTCCCCTTTTGCCATCTCTCGCAAGTGAGCCCATTGCTGCATTGATCTCCATCTCTTCTTCAGCGAAATCCATATACATTAACATTTTTTTTTTTGACACGAGGAATTGTTTTTTACGTTTTGAAATGGCATCTTTCCATCTTCCTTTCTATTTTATAGTTTAGTCACAGTTGACGGTTACAGAGTGTTATTCACGCAACGCTTTCCACTTTTAGTCAAAAGGTTACTTGAACAGTTGAACTACCTACTACAGGTATCTTCTTCACTCACGCAACCTCCTCCCATTCAATGCACACCTTGTTTTATTACTACTACTAGATAAATAACCGCACTAGCTTTTTCGGTTTTCGTTTTTATTCTATTTTCTATGTGATTTTATCGCTTTTGTGCATGATTGTTTGTAATTTGTATGTGATTTTAAACATACAAATTATTGTTAGTTTTGCCTACCGTAGATATTAAAAATAATTACAATACATTAGCTACTTTCTAGATAGAAAGTTCGTTCCGGTCGCTGAAAAAAAAAATTAAGAGAGAGAGCCGGATTTGCACGATCACTATCTTCGGCGGTACACCTAAGCCGAGTCCTTCACTTGTGTTTTTGTATATTACTTCAGTTTGTTTCTAATTTCGTCTTTGGGTATACATTCATGAGATTCTTTGGGCTATCGCCTATCGGAATATTATATTAATTTTCGAAATGTTGCCAGAATATGAGAACCATGTGATGATCCGTGATTGCTTTACTTCAACTTGGTGACAGAGAGAAAAAGGAGAGATAAAAGAACGAAAGCTGTTCAACCAGACAAACTCGCAAATGAGTAAAGACCAGATCTACTCCTCTTCGTCTCTTCGGTTCCTTTCTTTTTTCTTATGTATAAAAATACTAGTATCTATTATTCCAAGCGATATGGAATCCATATATATAACAATTTTGACAGATCAAAATTTTGACGTTATTTTGGCATATATGACAATAATTATGTCATCGATACATCAAATAGTATAATTATAATTGTTTTTGTCAACAGTACTGCATATAATACCATATTAAACTTTGTTGAAAGAGCAACTCGTGGTATGATATATTGCCGATGTCAATCGAATTATAAAATTTTGAAATGTTACGTTGGCAATATATATGTGCATAGATAATATATATATATAGTAGTATAATATGTTCATATATGAAACACAAACACATGGATTTCTTTTGTATACAACGACATGGATATAATTCCAACATTATCGGCGTATTAAAAATAAGGTCCGAGTAGTGTGACAATCAACCATGTGAAATCTTGTTTTTCTATCTATCTATATTATATCTTAGTCCTTTTGATTTATTTTATTTATTTGGTATTTTAATATATCTCGCGATAAGCTTCTGCCAACTGACTTTCAAATTAAATGGAATATCCTCTCGATTTGTTAGGTTGTTGGATCTCATGTACATTATAATAAAAAATAATACGCAAGTAACGCAACCATAGTATATATTATTTATATACCCAGTGATTTAAGGGTGATTTAACAGTTTATACAATTGGGAATATGCTATTTTCGTCCAGTACTTAGAAATATGCTCAATACTTAACACTATCATGGATGTCTGACCTGACCAAAAAACAATCGTGGATATGCTTAATTAATTACCCTAAATTTACAATTAAAGGTTCGAAGATGTTTAACTTTGGCAAGATTATATTCTAGTTGTCTCTTCCTAATGCACACTAGTATTGTTTGGAAGAAAAAATATGACTATGTGGAATATGGTAGTTAATAATTTGTCGATCTAGAACTATGCTGGAAATGTAAATTGTTCAAAACTGAGGTGATTTTTTTTGGCTTTGGTGTTATTGAAAAGTGTAATGGTTTCAAGATTTCAAAATCTATTTTAGTTAATAAATTTGCAGATATTCCTTAGATTGAACTACTTGTATTTTTAATTTGGAAATCATTCCGAAACCATTAAAATTCACTGCAAAATTGAATCATCATACACTCCTAGTATATATAGAACAACTAACACAAGCTTTTCTTTTTAAATTCAATAATACAATAACAAGTTATTTTGTTAGGATTTCCAAATCAATTAAATTTATAAACTAATAATTTTCGCTCATTTATATGATGACGTAGTTTTACTATAGGGAGAAAAACCAGGATACATGCTGAAAAAGTAGCTGTCTTTGGCCTCCGGTCAATATTAACCGATTTCATTGTAAACTAGTAGTATTTAATTACTGTGAATAAACAAACTTACAAAACGTTATTAATACTTGACCCCCCAAAAAAAGGTCATAAATATAGCTTTGAAAAATATTTATGTGAAAGAAGTTAATTGTTTCGAAACATCTAATAAACTTACTACCTTAGACGATCTAATAATAATTACACTTCTTTTTTTTTTAACGAATAATTAGACTTATTGGCAAAGATTCGACATAATTCAAAGGTCTATTACCACGTCAGCAAGACAATACACGTGGACCAATAATATTTATACGTGCACGGAACAGTAAAAGCGCGGATCCACGCGGTATCACACCCTGATAATAATATTCCTTCAAATGGAATATTTTTTTTTATCCAATCCCGAAATTAACTCTTTTTCTTTCTGACAATGACAAAGAAAACAGGTTTCGTGTAGTGAGGGGATACTCCACGTGTTGTCAAAAAAAAAAAAAGTGGCTAGAGGAAGTTAGCAAAGTGACCGGCTTTACCCGGTAATCCAATATCCTTGAACCACCACATCCGGTTGTGTGGTCAATAATATTTTTTTTTTATAATGTAAAAACCATTGTATTTTCTCAAAAATAATAAATGGGGGTTTAAGCCTTCGGTTGTGGTTTCTTTTCAAAGGGTTTTATGTTTTCTTTGTTATTTCTATTCTAGAAGAGAGAGAGAGGGAGACGTGAGAAACGAAAAGAAAATGAGAAGGATGATCGCGAAATCTTCATTCTAAAATCTTTGGGATTTCGAACTCTGTAAATTTCTTGTAATCTTTCTTCATGGTACAGCAATTGCTCTAATCAGATTCGTGAGGATATATATTTACTGGGTAAACTAGCGTGATTCGGATTTTTCAGTTTGCGTGATCTATAATTATCTGGCGCGAGATTGTGATCCAGGGATCGCTGGCTGATCATTAGGTGAGTTTTCACAATTCATGATCTCGATTCTGTTTTTGCTTTTATTCTCGATCTGTTTTTTCCCATGGTTTTGGTGATTTTCGTTGGTAAATTCTTTATATCTGATGTCGAATTTCGAAATTCCGGATACAAAATTTTCCGGCTTTTCGTTAGAAGTCTGCAGTTTCATCTGTGATCTGATTAGGACGATCAGGTTTTTGTTTGTTCCTACGTTAATTGTAAAAAAAAATCTTAAACTTTTGCTGCGCTTTGCATGTTTCCCAAAAAAAAAAAGTTATGATCAAAGGTTCATTGTAAATCTGATCTGAATATCCTGATTTTGCATCTGATTTTCAACATTCATAAATCTCTAGCTGATTACCTCGGATCTGTAGTCCATTAGTATCACAGTTGTTAAATTATACTTAATTTTGCTGGAGATGATCATGAGGTAAAAGTTTTGTGCTGAATCTTTGCAGCTTCTTTTTTTATGCATAATTGAGAGATGGTGGTCAAGAGGCGGTTAAATTGTGGCTCTAATGGCTTTGATTTCCCTAATATTCCCAAGGCTCCTCGTTCAAGCAGGGTAAAGATTCTTGTGCTTCATTTGGATTCGTTTAATTTCTCTGTGTGTTCTTTAATTCATATCTGATGACTCGTGGTTGCTGTTTTCTAGAGGAAGGTATCAATTAAGAGAGATGATGTTGAAAGTCAGATCAGTGCAATTGATTTGCTAGCTTCTCTAGCTGGAAAGTTGCTGGAAGAAAGCGAGAGTTCCTCAACGTCTAACTGTGCATTTGAAGGGGATAATCATGGTCATTTGGGTGCAGAGGTTAAGCAAGAACTTGAAGATGTCTATGACAAGCCTTGTAAATCCGAGTTTCCTCATCAAGGGATCCCCGCGTCAAAGTCGACTAGTGACAATACTAGCGAGACGTGTTTGCAAATTTCGTCTCTGGAAAATGATTCCATTGTGGAGCAAACACCGGTTTCTGATTGTAAGAGAGCTCGCGGTTTGAAGCCCCTATTACGGTGTGAAAACAAGAAAGGGGATTGTGATTTTCTTGTTGGATCAGGTGGCATCTCTGAGGAGACAAGTGTTGTTAACGTGGATGCCGGGTTTGACCAAGGAGAAGCGATCAATGGCTTGGAAGAAGGTGGCTTAACAGCTGATACTTTCAGCTTAAAGGATCCAAGTCAATTACATGTGCAATTTCCAGAACCAGTCCACCTGGATGGCGATGTAAAACTGCCATCAGGCACGGACGGTGTCCCTAATGGTTCTTTTGCAGTATACGGGAATCATTCTAAGTTAGTTTGCAGAGATGATGACGAAAACTATTGTAAGTTCTATAAATTTAGTGACAAATGTAAGTCATTTAGGCCTTTGACACGAGTTGGAAATCGAAGAATAAAGAAGTCGGTGATGAAAAAATACGGGAGAGCAGTCCCCAGGATGAAGTGTTTTGAAGACACTAGAACAGGTTAGTATCATATTCTACTGTGTTTCTCTTTGATTCATCCTTTTTAGCTGCTGCTCTGTTCTTACTCTACTTGCGGATATCTGTCTAGATGGTTGTTTAAAGGCTTTTCACCGCAAGAGAAAATTATGTTATGGTTACAACCCATGGAAGCAGGAGACTGTTCATAGGAAGAGAAGATTGTCTGACAAAGGCTTGGTTGTTAATTCTGATGGAGGACTCAGTAGTGAAAGTGTTTCCAACTCACCTGAGAAGGGAGAATCAGGTTTGTGTCAGTCTATATCCAGATGCTTTATTATCTGGCTAAGACGGTTTTGATTTCATGATTTCTTTGTTTCTTTGTTGATTACAGAAAGTGGTGTGTTCTCTGCCGCAGTAGGTCTTCATTCAAAGGACTCTCGTGGTACTTGATCAGTTGATAATTCACACAGACCTTTTGACCGAGACATGATATGTGATTCTCATGTTATTTTCATCGTTTGCAGTAAAGTTCAGCATCAAGTCCTTCAGGATTCCCGAGCTTTTTATTGAAGTTCCAGAAACAGCAACAGTAGGCTCACTAAAGGTGCGTAATAAAATGTCTCTCCCTGTCGTTTTCTTTAGATTTGGTTTTGCAGTGTTATCTCATAACATTTATTGTGATACTTAACACTTTTGGTTACAGAGGACGGTGATGGAGGCTGTTACTGCTTTACTCGGTGATGGGATACGTATTGGCGTGTTAGTCCAAGGGAAGAAAGTTAGAGATGACAACAACACTCTATCACAGACTGGTCTTTCGTGTAGAGAAAATCTTGGCAACCTTGGCTTCACCTTGGAGCCTGATTCCGAAAAATTGCCTGTACCTCTTTGCTCCGAAAATCCTATAATTTCTATGCCAACTGATTCTTCAAATCTGTCGGAAAGGTACTAACTAATTTTCTCTTATCTTTCGTTTTTTTTTTTTTTGCTGCAAGTTTTGCTTTTGTGCAAGGGTAAATGTGAAGTTCTAGAGCTTATTCCTAAGGAAACTCATTTGATCATGCCAGGTCCGCAGCTTCTCCCACGTTAGATTCTAGAATCCCTTTTCGTCTTCAAGATGCAGATCACGTGATTAATTCGGAAAATTGTATGGAGAACAATCAGGAGTTAGTTCCATATCAGAGTGACATATCAGCTGATGAACAAGTTTCATTAGATTCAAGAGCGCTGGTTCCAGTTTCAGCCTTGGAATCCAAGGCTCTTGCAATTGTTCCAGTTAACGAGAAACCTAAGCGTACAGATCTTTCACAGCGCAGAACCAGGAGACCATTCTCTGTTACAGAGGTAGAAGCTCTAGTACACGCAGTTGAGGAACTTGGGACTGGAAGGTAAAAAGACTGGTTCAGTCGATTATGGTTGATACGCTTAACTTTGGTTGTGGGTCGACTAACGATTGATACTCTTAATTCCACAGATGGCGTGATGTGAAATTGCGTTCTTTTGAGAATGCAAGTCATCGAACCTACGTGGACTTGAAGGTAAAAGACCTAGCAGAAGCTAGTCAAATACACTTGGAAGCTTAGCCAGCTTAGCCACTTCCAAATTGTAGCTTAATGGTTCCACTAACTTTTGCGAGTTTTGCAGGACAAATGGAAAACTCTGGTTCACACGGCAAGTATTTCACCGCAGCAACGAAGAGGAGAACCAGTGCCTCAAGAACTGCTAGACAGAGTCTTGGCAGCACATAGGTATTGGTCACAGAACCAACTGAAACAGAACGGGAAACTTCAGGCGGCTGCAACAATGGTGGTTAAAACAGGCTCGTCCATGTAAAGGAGGAAAGGTATAACAATAACTTTCACTTGACGGCTAAGGAACCAATGTGGGCAACTGTACAAAGACAAAACAACAGAAGCATACTTTATTTTATTTTTCCAACTTGAGGATTTTTTTAATCATAGCTGGCAGAAACAATACCTACTTTTGGTTACTTTTATGTTACATCTGTTCATTTCAGTTCCTAATTGATTTGACTTTGTAATATGGTAGTGGTGATAGGTCTTTGAAGACATTCTTTTATTTTTTTGTAATATTGACATGTAATTTTAGACAAATTCTTTTATTTTTTTTGTTCATCATTCAATCTATTAAACTGTCACTTCGAGTTGATCCTTAACTTAAACATACAAAATCAAGACACAGGTAAAATTCCTGATTGTCTAGGGTACATAGGATTTGAATTTTTTTCATTTATCTTAAATGGCTTAAATTATATGATAAGGCCATATCGATACAGAGTAGATTAGTCGATGAAGATGATTACGCGATTCTTTTTGTCCATTTTCTTGTCAATGTATGCGCACATGTGCTCCACTTCTTGCCGAGTATTGTACATTTGCCCCATTGGATCGTAAAAGTACTGCACATTGAAATTATACGAAAATGCAAACGTGCTTATATATATATGAAAATGTCACAGCGGCAATAACAAAGTCGCGTCAGTAGAAATCATCAATCCATAACACCTAGATCCACTTGAGGATAACAACTAACTATCACTTAGTAAAAAAAGACAAGATATATGTAGTAATGTAGATCCAATCCAAAACTTCCAAAGAAGAGGATTAATTACCCGGTAGAGTCGGCCGGTGGCCAGCATGCGGCGCTCCTCGGCGAGCCAGCCAAGGCGAAGCCAGTTGTAAGGAGGAGAAGTATTGTCAAAGACAGTTGAGTAAGTTCCAGGGATTGAGTTCAACGGCCTGACACGGGTTTGGTTCAGAAGCAGATGCGTCTTTCTCCCTTCTCTAGACAGATCCATGACGCTTCCCTCGTAACTCATGGCCCCCGATCTTCTTGCCTGCCGGCGCCGTTCACTGTTGCTTCCTTCACCCTTCTCCATAGATTCTCTCTTTTTGTTATCCGTCTTGTAACTCCAGTACTCTTCACTCCTTTTTATATCACAAGAAAAAAACGAGTTTATCGCCTTACGTACTACCGTCTTATCGTTGTCATGCCATTTGTTGCACCATACAAGGAAAAAAATCTCCGCGAAAGTTTACACGAGTCTACAAATGTATTTACTATTTAGGCATATATTTCTAGAAACACTATTTTATCCTTATAATTTTAATGAATAGTTAATATGCATTAAGAAAAACGGTTTTAATTATCATATATTTACATAGTGTGAACTGTGAAGAAATATTATAGAAGAGAAGAACGGAGTTTATAAAATCAATGACAGAAAATCTGAGTTGTCTTTTTTTTTCTTTATTTAGGTATAGTGTTTATTTTAAGTCAAATTAATCAGAATTTAAATTGAAGATATAATTTCATTTTTGGAAAAACTATTTAATTAGACGAAAAATCAATACTTAAATTGGTACTGTCATCACTATCTCATGCAATACTAATCTATACTGTCGCATGTAGCTCAGTTCTTTACTCATGTTTCTATGCCGTTCACCCTTTGCAATATATTCTATAATATAATGTATAAACATTATGCAATAAGGAGTTACATGTTCTTATAACGATGTCTTTTTTCAATATGAAATTTGTATAAAAGGATAAAAGTTGACAATTCCATGTAAATTTTTTAAGAATTAAAGGGATATGAGAAGAAAATAAAGAAACACTCTACATGAACGTTTACATTGTACAAGATTTTAGGATTTTAAAAATCGATATAGAAACTTTTGAGATTTCAACTTGACTTTGAACGAATACTGTATTGTTGTAACTTGTAAGTCTATAGAAAATACACACTTTCAATTAGTAATTTAGTCGAGGGACTAAATAGATAGATTCTAATACTTGAAGGATATTTTTTATAATTAGATAAAAATGTGGGCATTTTAGGTCTGGTAAAACAAAAGGGAAGCCGGAGAAATCGGTTGTTGTCGACGCCGGAGGGGAAATGAGTGGGGCAGGAGCGCCGGACTTCTTCTACAGAGAAGCTCAACGTCTTGGATATGTTGCTCGTTCCGCTTTCAAGGTATATTTACATTTACATCCTCTGCTTCTTCTTCTTCTTCTTACATCACCTCTTCCCTCTCTCTCTCCCTGCAACTGCAGCTTCTACAGATTCAAAAACAGTACAAGCTCATCAAACCAGGCTCGTCAGTTCTTGACCTAGGTTGCGCGCCTGGTGCTTGGCTTCAGGTCTTTTTGATTCCATGTGTTCCAAGTTGTTTCCATGAATTCTGCGAGAGGAGGCTTAACTTGATTTGTTGCTTAAAATCCGTTTCAGGTTGCCTGCCAAAGCTTAGGTCCACTTAAAAGCGGTGGTAATGTCGTCGGTATGGATATAAAGGTCAGAGCTTGCTTGAAATTGATTGATTTTCCCATTACTGTGTATACACTCAATTCTTGGCTCTCTTTTCTCTTTAAACTTGGTTTTTTTATCTCAGAGCAGAAGGTGAAGGTTCCTCCACGGTGTGATTTGCGAGTGCAAACCATTTGCGCCGATGTTTTAAACTTCCCCAGACAAAATATTCGGGAGTTATCGCCTCAGGTTCGAACTTAACCAACCTTTCATGATTGGAAAATATTCAGAAAAATGCCTCGATTGTTGATACTAAGAGCAATAGCTTAAGTTGATGGGAGGAAATGCTTGAATCTTGCAAATTTAGGGTCTTTGCTAACCTGTTCAGTGTTTCCTTACCGATCTTGATGTCTTCGATTTATATGAAATAATTTGCTATGGATTGCTCTGTGGTGGCAGCAAAAGGGATTTTCAGTGATTCTTTCAGATATGTGTCCCTCAGTATCTGGAATTACCACCAGAGATGCAGCTTTGTCTGCTGAATTGGGAATGCGAGCCCTCGATTTAGCTGTTGGTAAAGCTGCCATCTCTCAGTCACCTGATGATGATGATGATAATGAAGGAGGAGGAGGCGATGAGGACAGTCGTCATGGTGTACTTAGGCATGGAGGTCATCTTGTCATCAAGCTTCTAGAGAGCGAGGATGCTCAAGGTAACGCAACAACTGCAAACATAAAGTCCAAGTATATTACAAATGAAAAAAAAAAATGCCTCTTTGCTTATAATATACACTGGTTCTTTTTGTTTTAGATTTTGCCCGAATTTGCAAGCCCATCTTTCACAAGGCATCTTGGTTGAGGCCAAAAGCTACAAGATCATCTTCTCGAGAAATTTATTTGATCTGCCAGGGATTTCGATGAGAAAAGCCTTTTTCATATACAAACAATCCAATGGTAACTCTTTTTCTAATACATGTATCAGGTATTTTCTGGAATAATGTAGTTTACAAAGGATCAGACAGAAAAATAAAACAGAATGCAGATTTTGCGTGTTATTCTCTATCTGTCTCTCTGTGCAGTAGTATATGTCTCTCTCATACACAGTTAAAAACAAATTAAAAGATTTGATGCAACTGTTATCGGATCTGTGTCCTCCCTAATGACCAGAGGCCTGTGTCCTTCACCGGTGTCTGTAAACAAAAAAACTGGCCATCAATCAACTAAGCAGAAACAGCGACAAGATCTGATTCTGGTCTGAAGGAATATCAAAACTAGAAGAAAGAATACTGACCTGCATTTTCACTGAAGGGAAGACGTTCCAAAAGCGCAGGGTCTCATCTCCTGCTCCGGTCACTATAGTCTGGCCATCAGGTGACGTAGCCAAATAAAGAACTCTCATACTGTGCCCAGTAAGGGTTGCGACCTACACAAAACAATCATCGGTTATGTGTTAGAAGAAAAAAAAAGATCAAGAAATGGGTTTTCAAGTGTGAAAAAATAACCTATGTACCTTTGCCATGGATGGGTACTTCCAGAGCATGATTTGGTTTTGAGAGTACCCATGAGTGCTCACTATCTCGTTCACATTCTTGCTCCACGCCAGATTGCAGACCTGGCTTCCAGTGTCGATGCTGTTTAACTGATGTCCATTTGTCGTGTTCCAGAATCTAATGCATCTGTCTGCTGTTCCACCTCCTGAAGCAAGGAGGCTACTCTGATGAGGAGACCATGTAATTGCCTTCACTGCTGCTGTATGCTCCGTCAGCTTCAGAATAGGTTGCTGTGAATGATTGTTCCATACCAATAACTGTTTCAAACAAAATTAACAACCACTTAATATGACAAGCTTCAAAGAAGTTCAGCGGTTCAACTCTTAAAACATAGCCTAGGACTACATGTAGCAGATTAGAATTGTTGTGAAATGGTTAGAGAGTAGTTTTGTTGAAAGTAAGAAAAGCAGTTCAGAGTTTTGGCTCTTATAAATTGTAGAGCACTGAATAGCTTATGTTCAAGATGACCTGATTGTCGTTGCCTCCAGACGCAAGCTCTCTATCATCGTGAGACCATTTCAACCCGCAGACCTCAGATTTGTGTCCCACGAGTTTGCTGACATAATCGCTCTGGACTCGGATATCATGTTGAAGGATGTTTCTGTCTCTGCTCCCTGATGATAAGATCCTTGAGTTCCATGCCAAGACACCAGTTCTCGTTTGATGACCTCCCATCGTTCGGACTCTCTTGCACTGTGTCCCATCCCAAACCTGCCAGCAAAAATCAAACCTTTTTAGTACCATCAACGCATCCAATCAAAACTTTCCACAACCACAGATCGGAAGGTGAAAAGCAACACACCTGAACTTGACCATGACTTGTACCGATAGATATATACGAACCTTCCCGTGTCCACTGAAGCGAACACACGCTATCGTTAGGCCCCAGGTCACATAACTTGGTCACCTGGCCCATCATAAGTTCACTGTTTAGTGAATCCACCACACCAAATAACAAACATTATGCAAACTCTGTAAAAATTGTCAAGTACATCTCTAACACTCACTTTGCTATTGGAAGCAGTCCAAAGATAGACACAAGTACCAAGCCCCACCGCAAGAACATTCTGTGAGCTCCAGTCCACAACGTTCAAGTAGAAGTCATCTTGTAAAGAAGGCGCATCCAAGACCTGAGACCATCAAACAAACAAACAATCTTCTTACGTTTCTACACCTCCCAAGAGTTTGTAGCTAAATCACATGAATGTGAAGGAATTGAAATACCTTATGAGGCGTTTTAGGAACCTTGCGGGGCGGTTTGGGAGGCGGAGACGAGTCACTGGAGTGGCCATTGTCGTTTCCGAGGATGGAAGGAGAAAACGGCGAATTGGGGCTTGAATTGGAACGATCCGTCTTGAATCTCAACATGTTGGTACATGGACTAATCGGAGAAGAAGCAGATCCTTGCTTACCTGCAGGAGACAAACAAGAAGAAGCGAAATCAGATCCGAAAAGCTCAGATTTCAAAAGTCTGGAGTAGGCTTCGTTGCCTCCCTCTTTCACTGGGGTCGTCGATTCCTTGTCCTGCAGATCGAAGGCGTGGAGTCTCGAGGAAGATCTGCACGGTATGAATCTGTCGCTGCAAGTCGATTTAGAGGGAGAGGATAAACTTGAGATCCCACGAAACGAGCTCGAGAACGTCTCGAGCCTCAACGAAGTCTGGTTCATCCCGGCGGGAAGATTCAGACCGGTTTTCGTTTTCTGTGGCGATTCCATTTCTGGGTTCTCCTCAAAAATCACTGTGATGGGTGGAGAGATTGTTCCGAGATGAATTAAAAAGAAAACGAACAACCGAAGGAGAAGATTGCAGAAGAAGCCTCTCTTCGTGTACAGAGAGAGAGAGCTTATACTCTTATTTTAATTTTCTTCTTTTGCAAAGAGAAATGATCTCCAACGGTCAGATTTTGGTGGTATTACTTTGAGAATATTATATAGGAGCGTCATCTGAGCTTTCTTTTGTTTTCTTCTTTTAGATTTTGATTACAATACAGACATTTATGAAACGACGTATCAAATATGGATACAATTATGGATCAATTCATGCTCCAACGGTCAATTCATGCTTTGATATTAGAACCCTTATCTTTGTCTTCCCAAAGTTTTCTCCATTTTTGTCTACTACAATTCACACACAAATAAGTCTAGACTATAAAATCAAAATGTTATTATCAGTGTACAAGATCAATAAGAAGTTTACATGGGCTTTAATGTGTGAGAACGTCTACTCCGTAATGCATGTATGTATTAATGATCGATTATTTGATTCGTCGGATAATTTTCAAATCATAAGAGCAAGATTCAAACACATGTTCAGTTGACAATCGTCGCCACAACCACAGCCAAAGTAAAATTCATACGATACAATTTAAGAAAATTAAAGGACTTGGAGAAAGACATTTGGATATCTATATATTAGACCATCATTATCGCAGATTCTTAAAAGAGTTTTTTGGGTATTTTTTCATTAAATTAAAGATAAAACAATTATTATGCCTGAAACCAGTTGTTATTTGAGATACTTTAGAATCGATTCTTATATACAAGTGTCATATTTACATTGGCTAGCAAATTTTTCATCCTTTTCTCTTTTTTCATTTTATCCCTGAGCAATTTCTCTTTCTCTCTTTCTTCTTTTTTCATTTCCCAAAATTAAGAATAAAAATATTAAATAGAAACTCCATTATCAGTTTTAGCGATAATGATGCTCTTAGGATTGTGTGATTTTAATAGCGTTTCTTTCTCCTATCCGATTACACACAATTAACAAAGTAGGCGAGCTTAAAATGAAGTTAGAGGTGGTGGGTTGACAGAGGTCGATGTCATACGCTGAGTTAGTTTTGAGTATATAAAGTAAACAATATAGAATACTAACAAAGCCGACTTAGCTCAGTGGTAGAGCGCGTGACTTTTAATCCCGTGGCCGTGGGTTCGATCCCCACAGTCGGCGAGTAAACTTTTTTTAAGTTTGACGACGGTTGAAAGATAGCTCTGTCCTTTTTGTTTAGGCCCCAAATTTTGAGTCTATCTTGCTGTGATCTGGTTTAGTGTATAAATAATACTAGAAAACCAAACCCGTCTCGGTGCTCTTGAAGTCAGAGTTTAGCCTTTCTTTTTTTTTTTTACATTTCAAGCCATCAATCTCTCTTCAGAGGTTTTAGGGTTTCGTCACGGTTAAGTTCAACATTTCTTCCCCTCCTCTAAACATGGCTGCCGAACTGAAAGAGGAGGAGATCCTCGCGGCCAAATTGGAAGAACAGAAGATCGATGTAATAACCACTTCCTCTTCGCTCTTTTTCTACTTCCTGTTTTTTCTTCAATTTCTTGTTATCTCAAAGTCTGAAAATGATTGGACTGGATTCGGATTATTGAGCTCGTTCTATCTTGATCTCTGTGTCTAGTTTTTGATAGTCTTATGGTTTTAGATCTGAATCTTCGTTTGTCGAACTCCATGAACATCTCGATTATCGCAGTGCTTAAGTCTACGAATTTTTAATTCTTTAATTGGCTCTTAAGTTTAAGAATTTTGATACTTACTTTTACTTCTGTCTCTGGGTTGTAGCTTGATAAGCCTGAGGTTGAAGACGATGATGATGAGGATGATTCCGATGATGATGATGAGGCAGAAGGTAAGCAGTCTTGTTTTGGCCTCTTCCAATTCTCTTGAAGAGTATCCTCTATTCATAGTTAGAGTCCAAATGCATTCAATATCTCCTTGCAAAAAAAAATTATCTACTACAAAATTTTGATGTGGTTAGTTCTATTCGGGAAGCTAAGTTGAATTTAGAGTAGCAGAGATATCTGTTTGCTTAAAATTTGATAACCTTGTTGTCATGAGCATTTCTGTCGAATCCATTTTTCTTGTTTTCACATCACCCTGGAATTGTATGAATTACTAACCCGTGACATGTGTTCGATATATGCTGCTGGTTTGTGAAACTTTGATACTTGTTTTGGTAATATAGAATCGATATCAATTTCTTATAAGCTGCTGAGCCATCGCTACGATTTGTTAAGCAGGACATGATGGAGAAGCGGGCGGTCGGTCAAAGCAAAGCAGAAGTGAGAAAAAGAGTCGCAAAGCGATGCTGAAGCTTGGGATGAAACCCATCACTGGTGTTAGCCGTGTCACCATCAAAAAGAGCAAGAATGTTTGTCTTCTTTCTGTTATACCAAATCTTTGTTGTGTTAACAATCATGACTGTTTCTTTAACGATAGAATGTGGACTGAAAATGCAGATCATGTTTGTGATATCGAAACCTGATGTGTTCAAGAGTCCAGCATCAGATACATATGTGATCTTTGGTGAGGCTAAGATAGAGGATTTGAGCTCGCAGCTTCAGACACAGGCTGCAGAGCAGTTCAAGGCTCCGGACCTCAGCAGCATGATTTCAAAGGGAGAAACATCGAGTGGTGCAGCTGCAGCTGCTGTTGATCTGGATGATGAAGAGGTAGATGAGGAGGGTGTGGAGCCAAAGGACATCGAGCTGGTTATGACCCAAGCAGGAGTGTCTAAGCCAAGGGCAGTTAAGGCTCTCAAGGCCGCTGATGGAGATATAGTCTCTGCCATCATGGAGCTTACCACCTAAATACAAACCTTTTCTACTTAGATGTGGTTTTCGTGTTTTTGCTTCTTTTTTTTCAAAGTGACTTTGCATGTTGTATCAATACACCATAAGTTTGGACTCCTTTTCGTATTTTTAGAGTCTGAGTGGCTTGTTATGAGTTTAAACTGTTATCCGTCATATCAAGAGAAATGCAAGTGCTTCGCTTCTTCTCAGAGGCATTAGTCAAGCCTTCAAGATACGAATAGCAAGTCTTGACAGATTCCAACCATTTTCTTATAGAGAGACCTTATGAGACTCGAGAATGACAGACAGGGAAAACATAACTCCCAAACCAATTCATTCATTATATAAGATCAAAGAGAATGGTAACCCAAAGTATGTATGATCAATTCAACTTTGTATATGCACTGGTGGCTATAGACAGTAATCGAGTATAATTAGTAATCAGCAAAAAGTGACGAATATCTTGCCAGTGATCAAGAAGAGTGCAAGCTAGCTGCAATCGAAGCAACCTGAGCCTCTATCTGTGTCGCCCTAACTTTCTCAGCCGTGACTCGGTGGAAGAACTGCTCCCTCGAAAGCAACCTCACATTCCTCAAATACTGATTAAATGGTAACGACCCATCACGAAACGATTTATCCATCGAATAAACAACATCTTCAATGGCTAAATCCAATGCAGTGCACTCCAACATCTGTTTGGACAGTGTCTCATTACACTCAAAGGCATTATCTACATCCAAATCCACTAGCAAATTCTCGGCTTTCCCTTTGTTCTCCCTGATCCATGAATCGAGGAAATCGGAATTCATGGAGATAACCTGTAGCTCCTGCTCTAATGTTTCTTTCTCCTTCACCATCTCCTGCAAACCCCTGTTGAGCTCCTCCTCTCTCCTCTTAAGGCCGGCTTGCAAGCTCAGCAATCCTTCCGCCTCCGCTTCTCTTGCCCTCCTCATCGAGACGAGATCGCCGTGAACCATCTCCACCATCTTGTTGATCGCGTTCCTCTTGTAGACCTCCGCCGCGTCATCCGTCTGCTGCTGCTGTTGAGGAGGAAAAGGCCTCGATGGCTGCTGATATCCCGATCCGATCGGCGGCTGAGGACGGCGCTGAGAGTAAAGCGGCGGATCACGGGAGAAGGCGGCGGTGAGCTGAGAGGCGAGATCGAGGAGATTGGAGCTAGGGTAAACCCAGTTGTGGAGAAAAGGGAGGGAGACGAGGCCGGAAGGAGAGACATTGGAGTGAGGGCGTTTGATGATCATGTCGCGCGTGGGGTTCACGTAGACGCAAGGAGGATGGCGAGGGTAAGACTCGAGGAGCCAGATGACGACGGGGATGTTGTAGGTGACGCCTTGGAAAGGCATCGGGATTGTGCCGTCGGCTTGGAGGAGGATCACGGAGCGGCCATCGTTGTGCGTAAACGTCGCCGTTTTGGGCTCGAGGGAGGAGTAGGAAGAGATTAGGTTTAGGAGGTGTTGCCGGATTAGCCACTTGGTGGTCTCGGCGTACGGGAGGGCGGATGGGCCACGCTGAGAGAGCACGGAGGATAGGAATTGCTGGATCTGTTGCATCTTCGCCGGATCTGATGCCGGAGGAGCCATTTCGGTACTCTCAAATCCGACTTGAAGACGACGAACGATGAGGAAGGCGAAGTCTACAGCTTTTACGCGTGCTCCGAGTTGAGCCCAGTCTTCAAGAGGTTTACTTTTCTAAATCCGAATGCACAAACTAATTTATATGATACTCTTTGAAACTGATAAAAAAATTTGTTTGTAAGGTAACAATTTCAACAAAACAGGTTAGACAATTTTGAAAAAAAAGTGAACTGTTACTTATCGTTTACCGCCGCATTTTCTGGAACTGTCATATTTCATATTAAGAATCATGACAAATTGGCAATGAGTTTGAGGCTGAGACCTCTGAAAATTATATTCTCTCGGTTTCATTTTAACAACTCGAGCCTCTCTGGATCATCTCTTACAATAACTTGTACGAAGAATAAACATTAAAAAGTAGGGAAAGAAAAATGATCTAAGATGAGACAATCTGAGAAACACTAAATGTCGCGGTCTCTGCGGCACTCAGGAGGAGGAACGGGAAATCGGACGCGGTCAGTACAATAGTTGTAGATGGTGAATCTCTGACGAACCCATTTGAGACGCTTGTACTGTTTAGCGTCCAAGTCTCGGAACTCCTTCTGATCCCACCAACGTTTTCCTTGCGTCTCGCAGAACTTTGCATTCACTGAAGCCTCGCATCCGTCGACGTGGAAACCTCTGTATGAAGCGACGAAAGGAGCATTTGCCCAGTTGGTCTTCTCTAAGCCTCCTCTTGTGGCCCAGTCGTCTGCGTTCCACAGGCTCGAATATATCTTCATCGGCTGGTTGAATGGAAACTTCACCCCAATGTCTTTGCTGTTCTTGAACACTCTTATCGGCACATCATCCACAAAGAACCTGTTTTTTAACAACAACTATACGCTTAGCTGTGCCTTTTTTTAGTATAAACAACACACTTTTGAGGAATGCTAACTTACACAATCTGATACATATTCCAGAGAACTGAATAGGAATGATAGTCCTTGGAAGGGTCGAACCAGAGGTTGATCCTCTGCTCTCGGTTTCCTCTGCCTCCTGTAAACACGTTTGTCTGCAAAATGTAAGGCTGCCCGGTTCTGTTCCCCAGAAACTCGAAGTCTATCTCATCATGTTCTGAGTTCTGTGATGACAACTGCAGGAAAGAGTAAGATACAACGTTATTTCAGTTGACAACTTAAAATGCTTGCTCCAGATAATCTAGTAAACGACTTTCACTTACATAGAAGGCGGTCACAGTTCCGGCAGAGTCCCCAGGAACCATCTTTATGTGCATACTGAAGTGACCAAACAAGTAGGAACCTTTTGACTGAAAGCCGGTGCCTTTTGCGCATTGAACAAGAACAATCAGAAGGGGGCTTTAAGTAAAATCTGTCTTAGAGAAATATATAACAAGGCAGAGAAAACTCACCAGTGTACTTGTCGAGGACGAGATGCACTTCAGAACCACCATTGAGATACTTAATGTGATCAAACGCCCAAGTAGGGAAATAGTTCCTGCCGAAAGGAACATCCACAGACTTTTTAGGAGGTACACCAAATGTTACTGTGGCCAAAACCAGAATGGTCAAGCAAAGAGTTAAAGGAAGACGACCCATTCTCACTCTCATCGCACTCAACAAACGTTGCGCGGACGTTTCTATTTATAGCCATATCAGCTAGCTCTTAAGTTAAGATGATATCTGGTTATTATTATAATCGCGCTGCACTTTGGGTTACTTTCAATGTTTGCTACAGTCTTGCTAGTCACTTAGGGAGTGTTGCAGATGCACATGGACTGACTAGTCTTATGCTGACATGATAATAAGCCCCCATCCCCATGTTCCCGCTAATCAATGCATCTTTGGATTCTTTTCCATTAGATCTGTGGGGCTGAACATAGATAAACAAACACTATTTCACTACAGATACCACCGACCAGATTTGCTAATAAGCTTTCCATTTGTTTCTCCAAAAAGTTGAGAGAAATATCAAGATGGAGAAACCACAGAATAAATCAGTAGGAGAGAAAGATTTTGAGAGAAAAAACAAACCAAAAAGGTTCAAGTTTCAAAAAGGGCAACAGAGACATGATCACATGACAGAAGCATGTGCGATTCACCATATACTTTCAATCCTCTACTCCTTTGTATAAAACATGACCACTGTTTCTATACTCTTCACTGTGTGACCTTGCTTACTGCACTGGTCGTTTTGAAACTCATGATAATGCAAATTGAAATTGAACGGAAACACAGAAACAAAAAGTACTGTTCAAGCACAAATTCATACGTATGCCAAAAAAAAAAACTAATAGGCAAAAGTACGTATATGCACAAGAAAGAATATCACAATCAACTTGCCAATCTCATCAGATTTCAGATCCCACTATACCGAATTTTTTTGTTTATCTTCACCTAGACAAAATATTACTCGAACAAGAGAGACCGCATAGACCAAGGGATTTAAAAAAAAAAAAAACGAAAGCACCTTTTCTTCTCGGCTAATTCTGATTATTTTTTTTTTAATTTAGCCGCAAGGGATTTCTAAAAAAAAAAAAAAAAAAACGAAAACACCTTTTCTTCTCGGCTTATTCTGATTATTTTTTAATTTAGCCGCAAGACTTAACATATTATATATGAACATGTACATATTAACCAGATTAGTTAGAAAAAGTGGCTCTAATTCTGATTATAAATCAAACAGCATCAGAAAATTACTAACTATCTCGTTTAGTAGGTTCTTTGTTTCTGGTGAGAAGTGCCAAAAATCTAGTTTAGTAGCCAGAAATAAAATTAAACGAGAAATCAACTAATGATATTGCCTTAAGCCATGTTATTAGTTCATTTATCACTTGTCTACAAAACCACAGATTTTTGGCACTTAGAAGTTAGAAACAAAGAACCTGCAAAACGAGGGACATATGTAAGCTGCAAGGCAAATGGACCGCATGAAAACTGAAAAGAAAAGGACAGAAGAAGATGAGACGTCGTCGGGGAACGGAGAACGGACCTTAAATTAATTATTATATCGGTGAATGGGCCCTAATGGGCCTTAATGGGATTTAGTGAGCTGGAAATATAGTCCTGCAGCTCGTATAGATATTCGCCCGTGTTGAATTTAATGGACCATAAAACGATAAATACTGGTCGCAGTGGCGTGTAGTCAATCAACAGCTTAAGATAATATGGTGCTCAAATTCATTTCCATAAACAACAATAACAAGAAGAAAAGAAAGCTGTACTTTATTATTGGTCAGGAAGCATGAACAAATTAAGATTGGACCTTGTTACGCACAGGTTGAAGGAAAATGATAAACATGCGTGTATACGTTCCCGTTTTCTTTTTTTTTGGTAATTAATATTACGTCCCGTTTTCCTTTTATTACGTACGCAAAACACAAAATCTAAAAGGATCATTGCGTCCTCTGCCCCAAGAAAAAAAAAATAGCCACTGAAAATACAAAAGGGCGTTATGTATATGATCAGAAATGGGTCACTATTAAATATTTGAATCAGGAGAAGAACCGTGCCTGAGTTCGATCCAACAAATTTTGAGCTCAAAAAGAAAATTCTTATTTATAGTGCAACTTCCCTTCCTAAAATTTCTACATTTGAGATTAATGAAGTGATTTTTTTTAAAACAGAAAATTTATCTACATCTCCCAACTATCAAGCAACGAGCCCGTGCAAAAAGTGTGCACACACCAAAATCAACTACGCTGCTAACATAATTTATGAAAAACTAATCTCAAAAATATATTTAATGTCATTGTACATGCTTCTAGTTTTACATGCTTCATCGTATCCAGACAATCAGGCTGATGAATCTCGAAAGAGAGCTCCCAGCTGAAAGGGTCTGTCTCCTCCCAGCTAACAGATTTCACCTACCACTTCGAGATTCTCCATCTCCGGTACTCTCTGCCTCCAACATCTGACAGCTTGTCCCAACTCTAGCGAGCTAATGTCAATATGACCGCATTCCGTCAAGAAAGAGATTTTAAGGAAGTCTTTTTACCCCAAGTGCTCCGAATCCTGAAATCCCAACTCAGCTCCTTTCAGATGATAGGGACAATCTTCCTGCCGAGTATGATGATGGGATCCAGAAGGCTATTCGTTTTTGGACTTCCGTTCAAGAGGATGCTCTCTGAATCCATCAGGATCCATCTCCACCGTTAGTTTTTATTTTATGCTAATAAATAAGAAAAAAAAACAATTTTCGTGGATTCGTTGCTTTTATGTTATGTGTTGTTGACTTGTTGCTTAAGGTTGTTGGTTGAATAATTATGGATTTTTGGGAATATGACTTTTAGTATTTGTTACCATCTTTTTGAATTATTAACTTAATGCGTTTCAATTTTACATATCTTTATTATCGATCTTTAAATTTTCATGGTCTAACAACGTATTGTCTGTCATATTGTTAACAAACGAAAGCATAAAAGTACATTTTACTAATTATTATGCGCATCGTATTCGAAGAATTTAAAAAACTTATGTTGTTGTTATAAGTTGAGACCCATAAAAAAAGAATTAATCTAACAAACTATTATGGATCGAAAATATAAACCCAAATTAATAGAGGCCCATCGGAAAACAAGGACACGATTTTCGTTGTTCGTTTATATTTTTCTCAGGATTATCGTCATTGTTCGTTCGTTTCCCTGTATTGTCGTCGTTTCAAATCTTGTAGATCTCGAAGTCGTTCGTTCTCCGCTTCACCTCGACGGCAGGTTGTTCCTTATCAGCCGAGGTACGGTATTTCCTATCTCTCTCCCAAGTCATAAAGTAGCCATTCGCGTCGCCAATGCCTATCGATCTCTTTCTCTCGATATAAATATTCATGGAAATTATCTCAGATACTGAAATTGGGAGAATCTTCTGATCTTAATGTTTCTTATAATTTGATATTCATGGGGTTACTTTTTTGTTTTGTTTTTTTCATTCATGGGTTTTCGATATTTATTATATCCGAATGAATTTGCAGAAGAAAAAAAAAAATGTCCATTGAAGATAAGGACGCAGACAAAGTCGTGTTGTTGGTGGATAATACGGCACGATTGGTTGCCAAGGAAGGTAGGGAATATGAGGAAAAGTTAATGTCATATCATCTGAAAACAGGAACACTCACATTTTTGAGTAGCTCAGACCCTGATCACGCATATTACCAGAAAATGCTATCTGAATACCGTCGCCAACCAGCGGAACCGTTTGCTTTGGCTCGGGAACCTCTCAATTTGAAATCCCTTCCTGAAGGGATCACGCGCAAGGAGCTTCGTTGTATTAAGCTCACAACGCTGTTTTTTGCGCGGTATGGTGGGTTTTTCTCTTGGGAGTTGATAAACAGAGTTGGTATGGAAGGTGAGTTTGGCTTTCTCAAGCCAACTGATAACCGGTACAAATATTACACAGAGTTTTATGCTGCGTATATAGCCCTAATTAAGTGGTCGGAAAAGCCTGATGCAACACCAAAAGTTCTTGTGGATGGTTTCTTCCATCTTCTTCAAGAAGCTGAGGAGGAGGAGGAAGAGGGAATGGAGAAGATGTTTGATTTAGGTGTCCTTGAGTATCTTGCTAATATTGGCGACAAAGATCGTCTACCAGCTGGACATCTTTTTGCGAACCGACCAACTGTGCCGGCTTCGCTGCTTGAATTTCCTTCAGTGCGGAGGAGGATGCAACCAACTACTCCTCAGGAACCAGTACCAAAGATGTCTTTGTGAGAGAACTTGGTGGGAGAAAGATTGATAAGAGAAGCCTTGTGGATGCACGGCAATGAACTGATTTTTATTTTTTTAATCTCTTTTTTACTCTTGTTCAATAAAATCTCTTTTTTACTCTTGTTTCAATAAATGGTGTCGAAGAACCCATCTATCTACACTACTTGATACTCATGTTTTGAGTTGAGTAATATTCATGTTTTAAATAAAATTTATTTCCTCTAGATTGTTTTATCTCTTTTTTCCAAACAGTTTCTCTTTCCATCTTGGTATTAAGAATCAAGTATTTATAGGTGTCTAAGATTCCCTTACCCAAAGACTAAGTCTTTCGACCAAGGTATTTGCACCCGCTAGTTCTTGCAGAGCTTACTCGTCACTTCTGATCGTCGGACTGTGGAAAGAACAATGTGTTGATATCATATTGAGAACAAACCAAAGCATAACTGAGGGACTTGAACGGGCAAGGGATGGCCTGTCTGAAGCTGCAGCATTGAGGGAGAGATTTGTTTTAGGCACAAGTGTTAGCAGAGGAGTGGCTGCTAATGGGCCTTATTGGGATTTAATGAGCTAAAAAAATAGGCCTGAACCTCGTATAGATATTCGCCCGTGTTTGATTTAATGGACCATGAAACGATAAATACTGGTCGCAGTGGCGTGTAGTCAACTGCAATTAGATAATCTATGGTTCTCAAACTAATTTCCATAAACAACAATAACAAGAAAAAAAGCTGAACTTTATTATCGGTCACGGTCAGGAAGCATGAACAAACTATGACTGGACCTTGTTAGGTACAGGTTGAAGTAAATTAGTAATCATGCGTGTATACGTTCTCGTTTTCCTTTTTGCTAATTAATATACGTCCCGTTTTCATTTCACTACTACGTACGCAAAACAAAATCTAAAAGGATCATTAATGCGTCCTCCGCCCTAATAAAAGAAAAAAAGCCACTGAAAAAACAAAATTAAAGGCGTTATGTATATGAGAATGGGGTCACTATTAAAGTTTTGAATCAGGAGGAGGATGTATCTTGAGTCTCGAGAGAGAGCTTCTTCTGCAACCACATCTGTCTGTGGAATCGGGTAATGAAAAGATCAGCCACTTTGTCGATCTCGTCTTCCAACCGAAACTCTTCTCCCTTGTCCTCCTTGGAGTGTTTCACCATGTCTATCACCGAACCTTCTGCCTCAAACAGCGAGTGTCTTAGGTCTGGATACTTTTCCTCCTCCTCCTCCTCCTCCTCCTCTTCTTCTTCTTCATCCTCTTCCTCCTCCACATATTGTAAATATTGCGGGGAGGCAGCGGGAGTGCTTGACATGGCGTTGTGGCTATACACCACCACCATGTTTTTATTGTGTTCCAGATCCTTACCACCATCATCTAGCTTTCTTGACGTTGCTTTGGCCTTGAGCTTGTGAGACAAAGAGCTCACCATCATGTTTCTGTTGTGGAGCAGGGAGAATATTACAAGACGGGTCTTAAAGGCTCTTGTCTTCCTCTTTAGCTCCTTCGTCTTGTCCTTGGCAAGATCAGCCAGCATGTTTATTATATGCTTCACGAATTCTGCTGCCTTCTTCATTATTTTATGTTGTTTGCCTTGGCTTCACTTTTTGTATCCTATTTGTTTTTTATAAATATTTGTGTTGTAAAAAAGAAGTCTATGGAGAATGGAAAACCGGAGAGATGAAGGAAAGGTTACATTTATACAATCACAATAATGGTCTTGGCTAAGGAAATCCATAAAGCTAGGGAGAAGACGTGGCCGCCCCTGGCTGGTTAAGATTATCACATTTCACAATCTGCCTGGGACCACTCGTTTGCCGCAATTCATATTTTTCCTATTTACACAATATTCACACCTTCATAATAATTTTTATTTTCACAATCTTTATATTTAAGATAAAAAAACTCTAATCAGTAATGATTAAAAACATATATAAAGTCGAACAAGGTTGGATTAAACGTTAAGGAAACAATGTGAAAGACTGAAAGGTGTAAACCGTGTCAAATATTCCTTAGTTAGTATTAGACTTTTAGTCAACCGTTGCTCGCAAACTCTCGTGTCTCGTCTCAAAAGTATAAAGAAAGACGAACCTCTTAAATTAAGATACGTTCCCGTTGATTGAGGCCAAATCGCTTTACTTTTTCTCTCTTTAGATTTATCTTTTGTTGTCTTTTGCTATTATCATATTCGGGCGTCTCCTTTATCCGTTGTATAATGTTTTGAAGAAAGATTTCAAGACATGTCTTGATCTATTTTGACCAAACACGAACAATTTGCGTGAATGTAATGTACTCAATTACTTACTCATCATTAGTCTCGGTGTTTCTAGAGAAGATAATTAGATTATTAACCAAAAAAAAGTAGATTATGTGAGTTACGGAAACAATACATTAAGGCAAGTGTAGCTTTCAGCAATAAAAGAGTGAGAAAAATACACATCAATATTCGCACCACCATAAGGTTACTTTTTGTCCGTTTGAAGCTCTCATTTGATTGTTTTTATCTTTTTTTCCATGACTTAACCACTAAGGTTTCACCATTCCCCTTCGCACGCGTACTCGTCCAGATTTCAAGCTATTAAGCATACAGATACAAATACAAATATGTACATGACATATTTGGGCTTAGGCTTGGGCCCATTGTAACAAATGGCCCGAGGAGATAGGCTTGATTTACGTCTCTTTTCCTGATTAACTAGTCTGCCTTCTCGTGAAACATTTAGAAATATCAGAAAGAGAGCAAGTTTGTACGCAATGATCAATTGTAATTTACGCACATAACAAGATCCAGTGTTGAAGACATATCAGTGTCATTGTGCTTCCAAAGGGAAGCTCACTATTGGTTTTGTTGAGTTAACAATTAATCGTCATCTACCTCACCAACTGAATCATAACTCCTATTGGCGTTAAAACATGTAATATTTTCTGCATTTCTTTCTACTAACTTACCAAAGTCTGTTACATCTCAAATTGCAACCAAAGTCAGTAAACATTTCAAATTGTTATTTAATTAAAGCAAACTCAGGTAGAGGTGAATGACAAAGAAGAGGATATGGATGCTGACAAAACTCAAGCCTCAGCTTAGGCAATCCAATGTCAAAGAGGACAAAAGAAGAGGAAACAGATGGAAAAAAACATACCTTGTGTTCCTCTTCTTTTGCCTTCTATGACATGAGACTGCCTTAGCTTAGTTCTAGAGTTTCCGGCGCAAATTCACTTCGAAAGTAGTTTTATCCTCATTGTATCTATCACCTTCTCTATCTTTCACCAATTTTGCTTTAAACCAAAAAACCAATAAATGTTACATGACGGATTATAAACAATATATTCCAAAAAAGAAATGGAACATCGGCCAGACAAGATCATCAATGTCCTAAATCGAAGAAAAAACAAGCTAAAGTTAACACTTGCAACGTTATTCTTAATCAACAAAGAATATACCATAACACTGTAGAGCATGTCATCATCTTCAACATATAACAGGACACTGAACAAAGAAAATTTGGATAAATACTTGTCAAAGGAAAGAGGCCAGAAAGCAGCAACAAGTTCCACAAGAGCTAACACGAGAGAGACAGAGAGGGAGAGGATACAAAAAGAAGGGAAAATCAAGATGATCGATAAGCAAAGACATACACAGGTTCAGGCCTGAGTTCCGGTCAAAGACTTCATCTGAATGTGATTAGAATCATTAGAATTGGTCGGCAAAGCCTCGTACGAACCGGTTCTTCTCACTCCCGCAGCCATGGCCACCATCGTGTAGGTCACAAAGAGGAGGATGACCACAAGCACGACGTGGACAGTAAACATGAAATCCAAGATGGACACAGCTCTTAGCTTGGACTCCTGGATATCACACTTGGTTGATCCTTCAACACCACTCGCAACATCAAGAAGACGATGACATCCCTCTGGAATGAAGCCATCGACGTAGAGAGAGAGCCCGGTCTGGAGCTGCCAGAGACCCTGAAGACAAATGGCGGCAGCGAGGGCAGCGTCAGCGATGAAGAGCCTGGGGCGGCAAGCGAGGAGCAAGCAGAGGAGTGAGCACAAGGCGGAGATTCGAGCGGAGAGGGAATCGCAGTGAGCTTGAAGATCCGATGTCTGGATTGAGGCCGATGAGGAGGCGGAGGAGTAATGGAGGAAGAAACCACCGGAGGCGAGTGCGAAGAGGAGATCGGAGGGAAGGGGGATTAAGGAGGTGGATTCCGAGAGGAGGAGGTAGACGGCGACGAGGAGGAAGAGGAAGAACACGGCGGCGGAATTGAGGGAGGAGAATCGGTGAACGGGGGTACTTCCTTTGACAAGAGGATCGGAGTAGAAGGAGATTATGGTTTGGTGGAGGAAAGCGACGAATAGAGAGAGTATGAGGATGATCAACGGTGCGTTGTGGAGACGGTGGTTGTTATTACCGGCGGTGGAGAAACGGGGAAAAGCGTAGAAGGGCTTTGCGGCGTAGGATTGAGGAGACTTGAGAACATGGAAGAAAGTGCAAATGAGATGATACAATCCAAGGGTTAGCAGCGACGCCGACGCGAAGAGCTTGTACAACATCCCTCCCATTTTTTTCCGATGATCGCTCGACAAGACTCACTCGGACCCGGAGGGTTTTAGTCTTGGTCGGATTTGTAGTAGCCAAGAGAACCTTTTGTCCGATCCGCACGACGCCAGAGCCCAGAGAGGAATCGAGCACGATCTGGTCACCTGCCCCAATAGTTGAACCAACTGAGTTTTTCGGTTAGCGGACATTAATAACGGTTTAAACCGGTTTTGCTATTCCATATCGTGGATATTACAACTAAACACCCTCATATTATTCTTTTGTTTTGTTTTTGGTAACCAAATTTCTTTCTTTCACCTAAATGGTCCCACTTAAACACGTTTTGGAGTAATGAATCCTAGTTGAAGAATGAAGCATATCGCTGAAGAGGTAGGTTATGGAAATAGAATTTTTATTTCTCACGAAGAGATTTGATTGGTGGTTGATTTGTAGCAAAAATGAGCACGGTATTGGAAATGGAATTATTCTATTTATGTGGAATAAATCATAAATGGTACATTAATGTGTTGGCGACCAGTGACGACCAATAATAATCTTAAGCCATAACTCATAACCATTCAAACAAATAAAAAAAGAAAGAACATCCTTAACAAGCAAATTACAGAGAGCTGCCTTTAATAGACAATGATCGATTCAGTTAATTTGGAGAATAAATGACAAAAGGGTGGTGGCTAAAGCAAATGTTATCATCCGATAGGAGTGAGAAAAGGAGTTGCCATTGGAGGAACTTCGGTCTGAGTTTGTAGATCCTCGAGATCCTGCAGAACACAGAAGATTGAGAGACAAATACATCTTTTGGCTGAAATATAAATTGAGAGTTTTTTTCAAGTAAGAAAAGAGTACGTACGAGTCAAGCAGGCTATGGGATTGACGTGTTCTCCACATCGGGCAGGCAACATTTGAGCATCATTGACATTGATGCCAGCTCGCTCGGCCTTTGAGCTCCCTCGGTTACTAATCATACGGCACAAACACTCTGGATTGTTCCTTATCACCGATTTGAGAGGGTTACAGCAAACCTGAGGCACTTCCTTAGTTCCATTTAGGTAACCGAGGCATGGAGCAAGCTGATTCAGGCACGAAACGCTCTGCCCACTTGTTTGCATAATCCCAAAGTTGGCTAAAACTAGAAATGCAGCTGCAATGGCATAAAAAGATATAAACTTGATCTCCATATTCTTCATCTTAATTTTCCTCTCCTGGGTACCACTATATATGTACTTGTGTTTTTTTTTTATTGTTTGGTAACCAGCTTTTGAGATAGCTAGACATGGTTCACCAGTCAAAACCTACTACCGTCTTTTGAGGACCGACAACACGTAAGTTACCAGAACCCATCAAAATATGAAAAATTTCAGATTACATAAGCATATATACCCCATAAAAAAAAACACAAAAATGCACAGCCACAGATGTACGTAGACATACAATTGTTACTCCATCCTGAAAATCTAGTTCTCCACCATAAGAAAACGGCTAACCAAAAAATATATTTGTCATGCCAACCCATTTGCCCCCATCAGACATCTTCATGAATGGGCCTTTGAGTTACAAGGCCCATATCTAATATGACTGTGAATTTGGTAAAGGGCATAAATTAGTACACAAGGGAGATATTTTGTTTTTCACTGGTTAAGATACAAAGGGATAACTTCTTATTGAAAAACTATATGACAAACAGTCACTTTGATCATAGACAGAGATCAAGGACGGCGAAACATAATGAAACTCATAAAAAAAAAGTAAAAAAGTACAAAGGAGAAAAGAATTGAATAATGGATGAGAAAAAAAAAAGTTAATTATAGGAGCCGAAATGGTTGAAACCTTGAGGAAAAGAGTCAGAAACCGGAGGCATTCTGCTGAACATTGGACTGTGAACATACTCACCCTCGAAATAGGTAGCGGATGAGTAGTCTTCTACGCTCCAAGATTGTTGGCTATAACAAGAACTGGACAAGTCGCTCGGCAGAGGAGGCAACTCGCTGCTACTGTTTGAATAACAAGAAGGAGAGCCACCAAACATGTAACTACTGTCCATTTGATCAGAGTTAAGCGGCGGCATTGGTGAGTCTGTGGATGAGTATTGATTAAACATCATCATGTAATCGACAGGATCGTTAGAACAAGGAGGAGTAGCAGCAGGAGGCGGAGGAGGAGGAGGATCGTCGGGAGATCTAATGGATGTGACGGAGGAGGAAGGAGGCATGTCTGAGTAGACAAAGTTGGTTCGGGCACGAGTGCCACGCATGGACCGAGCGGCTCTGTCGTAGGCCAAAGCAGCTTCCTCGGCCGTATCAAAAGTGCCAAGCCAGTGACGCTCCTTGGTAGTTGGGTCTCTGATCTCAGCCGCGTATCTTCCCCAAGGCCTCCTTCTTACCCCAAGAAACCTTGTACCGGAATCTTCTTGCTTCTTCTTGCTCTTCGATGTGTTCATCCTTCGTCTTTCTCTCTATAGTAGTATCTTATTCATACACAAATCAATGAATCTGTGTTCGCTAATATATTCTTTTTTTCTAGTTGAAGGAGAAGAGAAAAGAGAGAAGGAATGTGTGTTGGTCTTGGAAAAGTATCCCTTCCACAACCCTTTTTTATATAGGAGCTGCACCTTTCCTTTTCTCCCTCTTTTCATTCTCTTTAAGTTTTTTTTTTTGTTTATCTTTATTCCAATATAGCTATTTTAAAATAGCATTGCGTTGAGTTAATTGTGGCCCATGATGATATATCAATTATCAGTCAATCAAAAAAAATTATTATTATGATTTGCCACTTGGTAGCATGTTTCATGCATTTCTCAAGGGTTCTACACTATCTAGTGATTTCATAAATGGTTCTCCTCGAATCTAATGCTTAGATCGGACTGACTTTTATCATACAGCTGCTAGTCTAATTAACTCAATCGATTAGAATACACTGGGAGTATTTTCTGCTAAAAATGAGAGTGAAGGAGTAACAAAGAAAGAATCATTGAAAATAATTACTTATAACAATCAGCTAGTTTATATAATAATAGTTAGATAGATATGATACACGTACTGATGTAACTGATCATCATTCATCAACAAATAATAAGCTGAAAATAAAGAATGAGGAATGATAAGAGAGCCATGATTAGCATGTTACCTTAGATACCAATGTCCCGTGTCTAATAATATGATCTCGCAGTTGATAGACAAAAGTTAAAGACAATTATAACTAGTAGATAAACTATTCAATTTGGAGAATATATTGCATGTGATGGTCCAGATTAAATGATGGAATATGCGTGAACTACGATTTTAATCATGCACTCACCACGAAAAAGAGAAGCAAAACCTGATTATTTCATATATGAAACGTAACAAAATCCTTCTTATATCAATCAATCAACGAGTTTGTTGTTTTAACAAGAATTAATAATTGGGAAAGAAGGGGTGCAATGATGGCCGCATGATGGAAGGTAGTCGACTTAATTATGAGGATAAAGTCATTACTTAAGCTTCTGTTTATATGTTTATAAATCTTGTAAAACTAATCAGTCAGTGTGATCAGGTTTTGACTTTTGACCAACACAAATGAAAAGAAATGGCGACACAAGTTGAAGTCTCAGAGAGAGAGATTATGATATTTGATGAGTATCTAATGAAGCAAGTGGTAGCCTTTCTAAGACGATCTCATTTTTGTGTCAGAGGAAGACCAAAGACCAATTAGGTTTGGCTACACAACCAACAACGTTAGGGACGGTGGTAATGGATCGTATTCTTAATTACTCGGTTATAATATACGCCCCATTAGTCTACATGTACAATAATCATACCAAAAAGTGGGTATTAATTAAGTAGAGAATAACCAAAAACATAATAGGGGTAATGCATGTGCTCTCAATTTTATAGGTTGCAACTTCAATGAAGAGTGCCACACCCTTTTTCATCTCCCATTTTCTAATCCCAAGGCATCTATCTTATTTCATTTACTTATTTTAAATCATTTGTGTTTGTCCGCTTGGCTATTATATAGTCTCTTCCGAAATTCGATTGTTTTAACATAGATTATGACCAAAACACTCCATTCAAATTCGTTTTCCCTATATTGTTTATAATTTTTGTTTTGTTTTACAAACATGCATTATTGAGAACAAAGGAATTTGGGTTGCATGTGAGCAATTTTTTTATGCTTTTAAATTTCATTAATCTTAATTTCATTGGAGAAAACAAGTCCTATAATTTATGTTCCCCCTTTTGACCAACTCTCATTTCTCGTTTAATTTAGTTTATTTCTTTATTATTCCAGTCTTGATGCATTGAATCTTACTTACGTTCTATATTTTTTTTGCTAAAGGTTTATGTCCATCATTTAGGGTTTAGGTCAAGAATCCTAGCTAATTGAGCCATCCTGGTAGACCACCCCGCTTTTCACACATGAGGGGTTTTTCTTTTTTGGCTCAACAACTCTTGATCATCAACATGTGAGGGGTTATATATAACTGCTGAAAGGCAAGTTGGCATTTTGACAAACCATCCTCAACCATTTTATGGAATTGCATCGAACAAATGGATCGTATATATGTATCAGTTTGCAAATCCCAATTTTCATATTGTACATACGTTCTATGGAATGAAAGGGTGTTTTATTAATTATCATGCCATTCTATGGGTCACTCCTTTTTTTTTTAAGTTCGGTATATATTTCCGAGTTAACTGCATTATGTAATGTTCGGACATAAAACCAGATATCCGTGTGGATGTATGTTATATAAGGTAAAAGCTCTTAAATAAGCTTAAGCATCATGAGAAGAATCCATAAGTTTATCATTGTTTGATTTGGATAGTTTTTTTTGTTGTTGCCAATATCACTTTTAAGTTTTGTTTTTACTATGTGACGAATATAAAATTCTATTTTTTTTTTTAATATTTGGTTTGTTTCGATTTGAATGAAAAGAATATATAAGAAACCGAAACAGCTATATCGTCGAATCCTGGTTCTGTTCTCAATTACGAAGGCACTGGCATTTTTTTAATATTTTCTTTATTGTCGAAGTTTTGTAATGTAGAATAATTTGATGATCAATTATCTGCGGATTTGGGCCTCTAGTGGTGTTTTAGATGAAAGAAGAAGAAAGAAGAGAAGGCATGTGCGCCCAACGTGGAAAGGCATACTCTTGGACGCTTAACATAGCTAATCCTTTCTCTAATTATTACCTACACAATTATCTTTTGTCTTATTCAAATCTAATTACTCTTTTATTCAAGCGACCATGTGATGCTGCACACTTATATTAGTTGATTCATAAGTCTCAGCCACATCAAAAAAGTTGAAAATAAAGGAAGACTGCTTTTGGCTCATCTAAACCTGAAAGGATATGGGAGATCTTTAGGGGCACGAACTTTGCAGTGCTAGTCACCGATCAAGTTATCCATTAATCTAACAAGTTTATTCAAGTTATCCGATGTGGTAGTTAAATGTGTTGGAATTAAGGAATTAAATAAGTTAAATCACCTTGCAACATTATAAACCAGTGAGTATTAATACATTCAAAAACTTACAAATTACAATGGCACACTCATATGCAAGATCATCTTTTTATTCTCTTCATATCAACAAACTCTTTTTGCTTCAATACTTCTACTTCCTTTCCTAGTTTATCTGCTGTCTCCTGCATCCTCTTCTGAGACTCTGCCATTTCTCCAGCCACTTCCCTGCAACTTGCTCCAAGTTCTAATGTCTCAGCCTCACAACAAGCCATCTCTTTCTCCGTTACAAGTAACAATTTCCTGAGATGACTAGTTTTCTCATGAAGCAGCCTTAGTCGACTGTATGAACTCATAAACGCGTTCAACACTTGTACATGCTTCCCTGAAACACACTCCAATCGAAGCTTCTCTGAATTGTACTGCTCGATTAGGTCCTGCAAATTAGGGAATGAACACTCAGCTTCACTAGTTACAGCAACAGGTCGCTCATGGTTTTTCGTTTCATGTTTCACAACGGAAACACTAGAGACCGCATCTCTGACCAAACCACTCATTGCTTCATCCACACTCAGCTTGGAAAGAGCACAACTTGTTGGCTGATCATCACCACGTAGACTCTTCATCCATTGCTCTTCAGGTTCGATCACAATCGAATCAGACAGAGGGATGCCTGGTATAAAGCATTAAGAGTTAAGAAAGTATAAAACTTTTAAAAAGAATCAAAATTGTCCATAAATGAAGTACCTTGGTTCACAGAAGCAGAATGCATATCAGAAACAGACGTGAATTCCAAATTTTCGAATATAGAATCATCCTCCTCTGTAATAATAGAAGCTTGACATTCCTTCCCGAGCGGTGCTACTTGGTTTGCATCTTCCGGTACACTAGCAGCTTGGAAGCTGCTTTCGACATCACTCAAAATCAGATCAGCTTCCACCCAGAAATCGATCTCATCCACTGCATCACAACTCGGAGCCATCTCATCCTCCCACTTGAAGAATCCACAAGCCCCGAAACCCTACAGAGAGAGGGATTTGCTTAGTAACCCAGATATTCGGAGTAGCCTTAAAAGTTGCGTGCGATAATTCAAACCTCTTTGATGCCGCATACCAAGTATGCTCGACCGGCATTAGATCCGGAATCGGCTGTAACTCTCCGGCAGGGTCCAGAACCGCAGGGGCAATCGGGGATGGTGAAGGCAGGGCGGAATCTGATATCTTCATCGGTTACGTTGTCACACCACTTGAAGAATTTGCAATCCTGAGCCTGAGGAATTCAAATTTATCAGTAAGAATTCGCGTTTTCTTCGCGAAACGCAGGAGAAAACCAGTAAAGAAGTGGGTACGAACAGCAGGGCACTTGTAGAATCTCCTTTTCGGGTTCTTTTGAGTTTTCGAGACCTTGATTTCACAGAGACCGCCGCCGCAAGGGCACTGGATCGACGGTGGAGAATCATCGGCGTTGGATTTGAGAGGGCAATCATTGATCCAGTGGCCAGGCTGACGGCATCGGAAGCAATTTCCGGTCTGCATTGCGTCGTCACGCAGCTCGTCGACATCCTCCTTTCCATTTTTATTTTTCAGTGATGTTTATATGGGCCAAATGCGTGCGTCTTACAAGTTCTAGGGCCCATAAATATGGGCCGATGTATTTTGTTTTTCCAAAAAAAATATCTTTTTTTGGTTCAAATTAAAGCATGAATTCCCTAAAAATGATGTACTACTACAAGTCTGCAACGATTGTTTGTGGTCGATAAAACGAGTGAATACTAAACAACTATATAAAAAGCATATGATAATCTCTAATAATTCATGTTTGTCCTAATAATTAATGAAAAAAAAATCCTAATAATTAATGGAAATTAAAAGAAAACAAACGCATCTTGCGTTGTTGGAAGGCGAAAAAATAGCAGATTCAATATCACTATGATGGGATGGGGGAGAGAAAACGAGACGTACCTAATGTGTAATACTATTTAGTTAGTTATAGGATTAGACGGTAAATGAGAAAAAGAAAATTAGATTAGTATATGAGCTAATGATGGAGTTAAGTATGCACGTGTGGGAAGTATGTTGGAGGAAAATATACAACTAACCCCAAGATAGCTGTATGTAAGTTTATTTTGTATACATCGAATATCTCTAATAAATAACCAACATAGGAATTAAATGACTTGTTGTTGTTGCGAATATACGTTTAAATCAATAAAACCCACCATTCAATACATCTTGGTAAGTAACGAAATAAAAGGGAAGCAAAGAAGGACAACCACAGAAAAGGGAGCTAACAAGGAGACACGTAGTGATTCATCTGCCCGTCCATCAAACCTACCACACTCCATTTCTTCCTTTCTCTTCTTTGTCTTCTTGTTTTATATAAACTCTCACTCCCCGCTAGCTTTCTAAATATACACATTAACTTGCATAGTAAACAAAGTCACACATCGATCAAAACTCAAATTGTTTTATAACAATATGGTGATGGGTACTCCTTCGTCGTTGGATGAGATCAGAAAGGCACAGAGAGCCGATGGCCCCGCAGGCATCTTGGGTATAGGCACAGCCAACCCTGCGAACCATGTGATCCAGGCAGAGTATCCTGACTACTACTTCCGCATCACCAACAGTGAACACATGACTGATCTCAAGGAGAAGTTCAAGCGCATGTGTATGTTTCTTGATCATAACTATATCCTATTTTGTATCTCTTTTGGCATGATTGACAATAGTTAAAGCTAACATGCACACTTGATTAATATTACTCTCTAACAGGCGACAAGTCGATGATACGGAAACGGCACATGCACCTGACGGAGGATTTTCTCAAGGAGAATCCGGACATGTGTGCCTACATGGCTCCTTCTCTGGACGTAAGGCAGGACATAGTGGTGGTTGAAGTTCCTAAGCTAGGGAAAGAAGCGGCAGTGAAGGCCATCAAGGAGTGGGGTCAGCCCAAGTCCAAGATCACACACGTCGTCTTCTGCACTACATCTGGAGTTGACATGCCTGGTGCCGACTACCAGCTCACCAAGCTCCTTGGACTTCGTCCTTCCGTCAAGCGTCTCATGATGTACCAGCAAGGTTGCTTCGCCGGTGGCACTGTCCTCCGTCTCGCTAAAGATCTCGCCGAGAACAACCGTGGCGCACGTGTCCTCGTCGTCTGCTCCGAGATCACAGCCGTCACCTTCCGTGGCCCATCTGACACCCACCTCGACTCTCTCGTTGGTCAGGCTCTCTTCAGTGACGGTGCTGCCGCACTCATTGTCGGCTCTGACCCGGATGCTTCCGTGGGAGAGAAGCCTATCTTCGAGATGGTGTCTGCTGCACAGACCATCCTCCCAGACTCGGATGGAGCCATAGATGGACACTTGAGGGAAGTGGGACTCACTTTCCATCTACTCAAGGACGTTCCTGGGCTTATCTCCAAGAACATAGAGAAGAGTCTTGACGAAGCGTTTAAACCTCTCGGGATAAGTGACTGGAACTCTCTGTTTTGGATTGCTCACCCTGGAGGTCCGGCGATCTTGGACCAGGTTGAGATCAAGCTAGGACTCAAGGCTGAGAAGATGAGGGCAACGCGTCACGTGCTTAGCGAGTATGGAAACATGTCCAGCGCGTGTGTCCTCTTCATTCTTGATGAGATGAGGAGGAAGTCTAAGGAGGATGGTGTGGCCACGACCGGAGAAGGGTTGGAGTGGGGTGTCTTGTTTGGTTTCGGACCAGGTCTCACCGTAGAGACAGTCGTCTTGCACAGCGTTCCTCTCTGAACACAGAACGCTTTCTTTGCTATATGCCTACCTACCTACACATACTTTGCTTGACCGTCTCCTATGTTTTTCGATCTCTTTAATATATATGCATGCAATAATTAAGGAAGAAATTATTTTAGTGTGAAATGTTAAATGTGGTGGACTCTCTGTTGATGGGTCCTTTCAATTAATTGTCAAATTGTTTGTCTTTCTGTCTTTTCAAATCAATACAATTGTCAAATTTCTTGGTCTTGAATGATATTACATCCACAAGGTCTCGAACTCGTCAAATCGAGATTGGAAACGTTCTTCCTTTGCTGTGAGCTCATCGTGAGGATTCATTTGAGGCTCAATCTCTGCTGCATCTTCGTCTTCGTATGCACCACCATTTCTTGCCTTGAGTACCATCTCTTCCGTCGTTGTCCCCATTATCTCGTTTGCTTCCTTCATATTCACGCATCTATACTTGTCTTCTGAATCCTGACAAACCCTTTCCATTTTCATAATATTAGTTTAATCACTGGATATACATATGGAGACAAGTTCAGATTATAAAAGAGAGATGGAGGGACTCACACGAGAGACAAGTCCAAGCTTCTCAAGCTTCGTGACAGCATCATCCACATCAAAATTGCAACTTTCGTTGAATTCTTCTTTGATGAAGGCTTCACTTTGCTTGTCAAGCTCTTCCTTGCTCGTGGGACGCCCTTGCTTTATCAGCATGAAGAAGGAAATGATGACCTCTTTAACCTGGATTTAATCAGTTTGTTAGCGAAACTCAAGAATATGGTATACAAAATATAAGAAAGGGAGTATTAATTAGCACCTCTTGTTGGATAACTTCATCGCACAGGTGAAGCAGAGTGCCTCTTCCACTGTCTAGCTGCTTATCATACACAGATCTTGTGATAAGGCTCTGATAATCTACCAAGTTCCTCTGAAACCTACATTTCATTCAGGGGAAGAGACAGAGCTAATTAAGGATTGATTTAATCAAAGTGAGAGGTGTTGTCTGATTTTTGAGTGCAGATTACGTGAAAAATGTTTTAACACAGTAGGCCACAACCGTGCTAAGTATGGCAGCGATGACTCTGATGTCGGTATTTTTTAGGCTCACTGAACTTACCACTGTGACCTGTAAAGGCAAAGTTTGATAAAGCACATTTTTCATTGTCCATGTCTTCATAATAATAAATGTAGCAGAACTGACCAGTCCAATGGCAGCAGATACAAGAAACTTGACCCAGTCCAGTGGCGTAAGACCTGGATTTTTTTTCTCTGGCTGTGTCATTATGAGAAACCGATTAATTTATAATTAAAGAGATACATTTGAACAGAAAGTGTTGGTTAATGGATGCTCACAAGTACTATTTCCATATCAGCCATTGGAATGCTTTTGAAGTGTTTCACATATATGTTCCTTTCTGATTCTTTCTTCCCTGAAACTCTCCTGTGTGTGTGTGAATCGTAGACCAAGATAAGAACCAAACTCACATACCTAAAAAGATACCACTACTACTCGAATATTGTACCTGTATACTACAATGATTCTCTCAAAGGTAGGCTCTTGGATGGTTATCTTTTTCATCAAGTTGGTGAGACTGAATCATTGATGAAAACAGACAGAGTCAATGATATAAGCCTTTAAAAAAAGGAAGAAGAATTAGTTGAGAAACCTGAGCTTCAGCTTCTCTATGCGGATTCTTTCGATGTATAAACTATCCTTCTCTGTTTCAATGCTAATATCAATTTGTTGTGAAAGCCCTGTTTCCTTCTTCTTCCCATATATAAGTCTCTTTAAACTGCAACAGGAAATATCAGAGTATAAGTTTTGCAGTTTGATAGCATGTATTTAAAGAAAGCGGAAGGTAACTCACCATGTAATGGTTAGTAGAAAGTTCCAAATACGTACAAGGACTGTATTTACTTTGGCTAGAAAGAAGTAAGCTTTCATATGATCAATCCCAAACCCACGTCTGAATATTATATACTAAAGGAACAAATTAAGACAGATATATTAGATCATTATACATTAAGTAAAGGGGAAGCAGTTTGTTGGATTGATGATACTGAATTTATTAGAAAGCAATTACCTTGTTAGCAAAATGAGGAAGATCATCGCGGGGAAACTTGGAGAAGAATCTTGTTAACAACCTTGTATCAAGCTATAACAAGGATCCATACGTACGTATATAAGCTATCATTAAAGATGTCAGTTCCAAAAAAGCAACTCGTTGAAGATTGTCGTAGTATAGGTACGTACTTTAGCTTCATTAACTACAATAGGAAGATTGAGACGATACTGAGCAGAGAGAGCTACTTGTATTTCTTCATTAGTTATCACTTTAAAGTTGCTCTTCTCCATGACCTATGAGATTTCTCGTTTCATATTTCATTGTTAGTTATTAGTTAGGAAAAGGAATGGAGAGGAAAGAGAGATAGAACCTGGAACAAATGAAGAAGAAATTGATGTTCAAGAGCATCGATTTCTTCAGGAGATAAATTCTGTTGATGAAGCCTGTGCGCGCCACGGACGGGCTCAAAGAGTGAATACAGTTGCTACAAACACAATCACCTTTTACTTCGAATGTTTTTTTTTTTGTTGTTCAAGAAAGATGATGGATGATAGATTATTACCATAAGATCCTCAAAGTGAAGGTGGTACCAAGCTCTAATGGTGTATTCCACTCTCTGGCAGAATCTCAGGAACTCCTCTCTCTCCCATTTCTCCGCTGGAGAATGATCAAAGTGCAAAAAAATTATAAAGAGGAAAAACAGAGAAATGTAGAAGAAGAGAGAAACAGAAAAATGTAGAAGAGAGAAATAATGAAATGTAGAAAAGGAGACCAAAGTGAAGAGACAAGGCAGTGATGAGCTTGTGCTTTAGAATTGGGATCACAGCTTCTCTCTCCAATCTGATCACCTCTTTTTTCTTCTCCCCCATCTTGATCTTGTGTTTATTTCTGATTATAACAAAAAAAACTTGTAGATGCCTTTCAGATAGCAATTTTTCCGATTCAGGAAAGGAAGAGGAATGAATACAAAACAAGAAATTTCATAGTTGTTCCTGTAAAAGCAATAGCTATCCATTTGTGGCATCACCATTCTTCTCGGAGGATGTGTTCTTTTGTTTGGTCTCCTCCTCTCACATGTATACTTAATTTCCCTCCATCTCCTACTTGGTAGGTTATTTCCGTTTTTACTACAAAACCAAAATTTACTCTATTTATTTTTAATTTAATTTCTACGTTTATATCTAATAATCTCAACGGGAGTAAGTTATTAACTATAAAAGAGTTTTTAAAATAAAAAACAAAATGAGGACAAATTTTTTTTTATTAAAAGAGGCCATACTAACAAGGGAGAAGCTCATCCTCTGTATAACATATATAATTACACTAGAATTATAAACGGCAAAACATGAAAATAGAGTTGAAAACAGATGTGGAGAGTCAAGAAAACAAAGTAAAAGACATTGGTATTGTCCAACATTTTTGTGCTAAAAGGAATTAAACAATCACTATCTTTAGAGAGAAGGTGAAAAGACAATGTAAAAAACAAAATAAAAAGGGAGCTGGAGTATCCTCACTTTGTTCCTAGCCCATATCTCAAAACCTAAATATGTACAAAACAAAAGCTTCTCTGTATCTTTGTATGTACAGGCAAATAAAAAAAAAGGACGAAAACTAAGAAACCCATGCTGGGTTTTGTATATCTTTTTTGATGACCAGGTGCGTCTTCTACAATGCAAAACTTCACAAACATGGTTATGGATTCCATGCCCTTGGATACAGCTTGCCTAGTGGGTCATGGAGGCTAGGGTTCTGGCGACTCTGGTTCATCCACGCTACATCATCTGGCATCAAAGATGTTGCCGGGTTGCTACCGCTCAAGTAATCAAGCGGGTTCGTAGGCAGAGCCAAGCTGCTGCCTACCTGAGTGGTGCCTCCCCCCATCAGCATTTCGTAGTTACCAGATGCAACCACTTGATCGCTCGAACTTTCTGGCTCAAAAGCAGATCTGGAACGGCGCAATTGACTGCACTGAGAGAGAACAGAGAATAAGCTTTGATCTGAACTACTTCCCCTATGAATCATCTGCTCCGCGTTAGAAGCAGCTCTGAGAAGATTCAGATCTCTCTCGGTCCCATTATGACTGCTTTGGCTTGCACATACAACGCCGTTTGTGTTTGCCCACATGCTCTTGAATTGCCAGTTTTGATTTAACAAAGGGCCAGTGTTCAACAAGGGCTGTGTGGAGACACCAATCTGAGCAACACTGGTGTTCCAGTCCGGCCGCTGCATCAAGAATCCACGTCCATCGCAATAAATATTGTCTGACATGGTTCCTTGGCCATATATATCAACCTGTCTTTGCTGGTCCTGGGGCAGTGCTTGTGGTACAGTTATCTGATGCTGGAACTGACCAGAAAATTGACTGCCCTCCATCAGATTGTTGCTTCCTTCCTGCTGTAAACCAATGTCCATAATTTGTTTATGCTCCTCGTTAAGCGGAACTTTTAGAAGAGAGTGAAGCTGCTCAGTGGTGCGAGATGCCACGCCTTGGCCTTTAAACAAAGACTGGAGCAGGTCATCGTTAGGGAAAGAACCAGAACTGTTGTTTGCTTTCTGCTGCAACATCTTCCTTCTATCAACTTCTTCAGGCATGTCCGATCCTAGTTCTATGAAACAGTTTTTCTCTTCTTCACCACCTTCACGATGGTGTATGATTGGCAATCCACCACTAGGGGTATAAGCTTGGCGGCCAATGTAGGACTGCCTAGTTCCTCCCACTGGCTGCCACACATCTCCACCAGAACAAAACTGCAACTCTTCTCCACGGCTCAAAGTATTACAAGGAATCCTCTCGTCTGATGAAGTGTTCTCTAGTTCTGGTACGCAGTTTCTGCCTACAGGAATTATATCTTCGACATTCGAAGCGTGGGGCTCCCTAGGAAATGAAGCCTGTGGGAGAGGCTGGCCTTGAATGGAGCTGGAATAATCATTTGCTTCAACATCATTTCGATTAAGGCCATGACAACTGCTGGGAGAAGAATATCGTTTTCCTTCTATCTCAGCCAGATTGATGCCATTATCACAATCTGGTGAGGAAACATGTGAGGGGTAGGTACCAACTTGCAAGCAGCGACCTGAATCTGTGAGTTGGTCACCGTCAGACGAAGAATCCTTCGAAAGGGAGTGATTCTTCACAGAGACTTGACCAAAACTTCCAGAATCTTGAAAGTCCGGTGCCAAATCACCACTTTGATTTGGATTCAAACTTTCTCGATCGTTCTTCCTCAAGTCTAGTTGAACATCATGCTTCTGCAGAAGATTTTCTGCAGGGTGAAGTTGTTGACTATCCTGTACCCGAGAAAGTCGTTAATAACATGGGAATGCCGAAACAACATATAATACAAGTTTATGGAGAAAGCAAACCTCCATCCATGGATTGAGTTTTTCCTTCAGTTCCATTTCCACAGAGTTGATTATATCTCGTTTCTGTAGCTGTAGCTTTTTCCAGATTGCGTATGCTGCAGGAATATCTTTAACCAGTTGCAGCCTGCATGAAACAACTAAGGTTTAAAAAAAAAAAAAACAGAATTAAAGGCCTGATGAAGGAAGCCGCTTGTTTCACAAGGAACACTGACCAGTGAGCGTTCAGTTTCTTCTGTTCTTCTTCCACGAACACTCCGTATGGTTGAACATCCAAATTGTTGATGTTACCCAAGATTCGAATAAGTGCTCTCGACTGAATGCTTTTACCAGACTGCTTCATGCTTGTGACAATCTGATGCTGCTTCTTGCTTATCTGAATATATAAAATGCAGTTAAATGCTTGATTCTTTGAACAGCAACTGCACATCAGCCCAACAAAGGCCACATAGGATAACAATAGTTTGATTTCCAAACAGTTCCAAGTTAGGGTCCTACTTCCGAATACAATTCATGCAGGTGTATCATAGAAATCAGAACATTCTAATAATTTTCAAGCTAATAAATTTGGACAGCAAGTTTAGTGTTGTTTTACGATTGGTGATAATTATGGATGACAGCATGCGTATGAAGTAAATAAAGTAAGAAATGTAGAAGGATAACTAACCTTAAGGTAGGACATGTATTTAGCACCATCAGTTTGCTGAATGCTATGTTTCGGTAGCTTATCCTTTTTTCTAGCTTTCACGCCCACGTTTGCAACATTCTCTTGAGCAATCAAAGGACTTTGAGATTTTTCTTTCTCTATAGCAGAACTCTTAGACCTAAAATGGACTGGAAGAATTAGTATGCAGGTTTGGAGTAAGGAAAGAATATCAACAGCAATTGCATACACATGTGAAAGAGTTTATTTTCAGCACCTTTTCTGAACCTCTCCAGTCCTCCCCATGGAAGAAATCTTATTATCACTACTGCATGGTAAATCGTCTGCATTCCAGGAACTAGACTCCGAGGCAGCAGTTAATTCCTGGCAGCTACCGTTTACATGTGCATTGCCTCCTCTTGATCTCCTGAAGAATCCATGTAGGCAACGGACAATCGGTAAATCATAATTACTAGACTCAAGCTCAACACAATTCATCTTCTGTAAGGCTCATACTAAAATCAGCAGCATATATTGGTTGACTATATGTTCTTCTCCAAAGTAAAGGAAGTTTTAATGCATCTGCTTGATTACATTACATTCTAAACAGTTCTCCTTTTAATAGATAATTCTAAAGCACTGACCCCCACATCTTCTTAACAGCATCCTTCTCTGGATCTTTGCAGCTTTCCCATTTCTCCTTCAACATCAGCAAATAATCTATAATACTACCAGAAACAACGGAAAGAGGAGTTACAATCATGTGGACAAACATTCCAAGTGTTCCTATTATCTGAATAGAGGGAAAACTGCACATACTCATTATGGTATTTCTCTAAATCCGAGTAATGTCTTCTTTTACCAGCCCTCAGGCATTTCTCCCGAGAAACAATCTGATCTGGATGAGCTTTACTGGAGCAGACGGCTTTTCCCCTGAAACACAAATTTATATTCAAATGAAGTCGAATTGCCTAAGCATTAATTAGATCATCACCACGACAGGTTATAATGAAGGCCTATCATGGAGCTCGGCATTATTTCAAGCCAAAACACTCTGCTTTGTTTACTAATCAACCACAGAGTTAATTCTAGGAATCCAAAGAAACAAAAGTCCAGTGTCACTAACCAATCAAGAAAAGGATTTCCAAAATGAAAATTGTCCCCATCAAGCAATGCTTGTACGACTTGCTCCACATCAACTCCTTCGGGGAGGAATTGCTGAAGATAATTTCTTTCGCCATCAGATAGACAAGCCCGCCAAACCTAAGAAACAAAAGTGCAGAGAAATGGTGAAAACTTATATCAAGTGTAAGCAAATGCTACGCAAGGATAGCACTGTAATACCTCGTTAGAAAGCACCTCAGACAGATTTTCCAACTGGAAAGTTTCATGAGGGACGGGGCATACTTGTGCCAAGAGATTCCGCCTAGGAGGAACATAATCAACAAATTCGCGAAGATGTCTCAAACTTAGGCCAACTTGTTCCCTCTTAGAGATCACTTTACTTCGGCTGCCGTCCCATTCAAGACTGATGTGATCTCCCGAACGTAGAGCACCATCTGGTGAACCAATCTTTTTCCTTTTGGCTCGGTAATGCTCCCTAGAACTGAAACCAATAACATTGGCATTGTTCATTCGCTTTCTCCTCTGATCAGCTGCCATTCTGAGAAGTCCATAGAGAATACTTATTGTAACAAGTGATTGACAAAAACTGAAATTTACGCACAGCCTAACACGAGAGTCAGAAATGGAAAATAGTGAAGTAACAACATCTGATTCAGGGATCAAATCAAAACCAAAGTACTAACTTTTACACGGCTGAACAAGAAGAGAGCGGCGAATGGGTTATCGATGATCGATTGGGTCGGAATATGAATCTCTTGGTCTATCTGATACAAAACCCATAAAAGGAGAGAGCGAAAATCGAGGTAAGGAGATATACAATCAGGGAGGGGTAGCAATGCGATAAAGAAAGGAACCAAGCCCAAATTAATCGGAGAAGAGAGTGATGAAATTGGGGCGATTGAAGAAAAACCTAGAGCAGGGAAGCGACGGGAGGAGTATACCTGGGCAGAGAGACTCAACGGCCGCAGAGCAGAGAAGAGAAGAAGAGAAAGATTTGTTTGGAAGGAAGATAAGGCAAAAGCAAGGATTTTTGGGCTCCGTTAAGTAGCCGTCAAACACCCTGCTGCTTCGCCCACCATGGACCACTGCTTCGGTTTCCACTTTCCTACACCCTTAATTTGTTTCTGACACCGAACCGAACCGGACCGATCTTTCCTTTTTTCTAAAGGAGTTTACTTGAATTGTTTTTTCCAACAATATGAGAAGAAAAAAATTGCATATTACAGAAAAATGGGCCTTTTGGGAAGATGGGCTTTGCAATAACGAATTAACGATATCAAAGTCGACATTTAGATAGCTTTCGCTAAACAAAAAAAATAGACCATTTTTTTTTTTTTGTCAGAAAAAATAGACCATTTTAAGATACAATACCTGGATGAATATTTGAATTTCCCATCCCACACATGTGTATTCACCTCATAGATTTCCATATCCGATTTTCCTACTCACATTGGGATTTTTCTGTTATTCATTGACAAACATACAACGTGGGACTACTTTTGTCAATTTTGTTAAACAACCAGCATAATGGACATAAAATAATTTTGGACTATAGTTTACTTTTTTCGTTAATTTATAAAATAAAAACTTATATAATGAAAATCCATTGAATTTATCAGGATATATAGGTAATTGGCCATATGAAAATTAACATAAACGTGATACATGAAAACTTAATTTTTGAATATTAAAAAAAATTTAATTAACTTTTATTTATTTTTATTAAAAATTACAGCCCATAAACCCATTTAAATCAGAAAACCCTAATCGTAAAGTTATTATACCTCTATTTAATAGAGCCGCAAGATAGACAAATAGCAAATAAATCCATTTAAATCAGAAAACCCTAATCATAAAATTATTCTACCTCTATTTAATAGAGCCGCACGATAGATAAATAGCAAAGATAATTATGAGTAAAATAATTTTGCCGCCGCCAATCAACCATCTCGAAAGCTGATCAACTGTCTCGAAAGAGAAACCACCTTACATAAACATAAAGTAAAGATTCAAGATAATCGGAGCCGAAAACAAAACTGATTTGCTTATTCGATTTGAAAAAAAAAATTCTGAGATTTGGCAAGCATATACATAACTATCTAAATATATATTGAATTCGTAAAAATATTTAACTACTTTATTGCTTAACTAATGTTTAGAGATATTTTTATTTTAGACCTAGACTCAACTAATGTTTAGGAATATTTTTATTTTAGACACTAAGTCCTATCTCAACCGTTCGACTAGCGCCTTCCCAGCAATCTAGGGCCTAGGGATTTTTAGGTTTAGCATTGGTTCATAATTTTTATTAATTTTTTTTTCTGACAACGTTCATAATTTCTTTTTAATAAATGGAGCATTTATATAAGGATTCTTCCGAGTGCTGGACAGAAATTTAGGAGGGAAACCGAAAAGTCGAAACAGCAGGAAAGAGGGATGTCTAATTTCAGATTCATTTTCTCACAGAATTAAAAACAGAAAAAAAAAGCCAAAAAGGAAAAAAGAAAGACAAGACAAAATATCTCTTCTCGTCTTCACCAGTTGCCCTCTCGCGCTTTTCTCAGTCTCTCCCCCCATTTCTTCTCCGCTTAGCAATTTCCTGGTTCGGTTCTTTCCCTCCCTGAATACTTTTTCATCTTCAGATTTTGTCAATCTCCTCGTTGCCTTGTTTCGCCCGTGTCTCGATTTGAATCTCTACTGTGTTTGGATTGTGGGTTTCGGGTTTTGTTTGCAGTCGAAAAGAGTGATTGATGGCTGGAAAAAGGAAACTAGCTGATAACCCCGACCAAAAGGAGCGACGATGGAGTTCCCGGGTTCAGGAGCTTAGACAGAAAAAGGTAGACGAGAAGGCGCGCATTGCACGCGAGAGGTTGAAGTTACTCAGCGACAAAAACTCTAAGCTCTGTGTCGATGACACTGAGTCGCATGCAGAGGAAGATGAGGCTATGCTTGTGAGCCCCGAACGAAGCAGCCCTTTAACCCTAACGAAAACGGAGAAAGGAAAGACGAAATTGGATTTTTACGCCGATGAAAATGACGCTCACCTCAAAGTTAAGAAGAATCTGAGGTTTTTCAACACGCAATATCTCCTTATGGTCCAGGTACTGTTGTTTCCTTTTTTGTTTTTGTTTTTGTTTCTTTTGTCTCTTGCAATTGTTTCTGCTGTGTTGTTGATGTGTGTTGATTCACTCTTTTCTAGGCTAAGTTGAGCAGACCTGATTTGAAGGGGGTAACTGAGGCAAGTAACTATAATATTCTCTCTGATTTTTTTACATCTGTTGTTAGTTTGTTTGATGATATCCTTTCAACTTTTGTGGATCGGATGCAGCATTGTGTCTAGTAATGTGCGCACTTTTAAATTGACCTAAGCCTTTAAGACAATTTTACAGGTGATGCGAGCCAATGCAATATTGTACTCAAGGAAAAGGATAGGTGACCTTCCAGGTTGGTTGGTTTGTGATTTTGCTTTTACAACCTTTTCTTACACATTTTGGTGTTGGTGTTCAAATTCTTGTATAGAGTGTTAACTATGATATTCTGATCATACTGGCTTGCAGGTATTGACGTTGGACACCGGTTTTTTTCAAGAGCCGAGATGGTCGCTGTGGGCTTCCATAGGCATTGGCTAAATGGCATCGATTCTATGGGAATCGAATACAAACGGGTAACAGAACTTATTGTTATATTTTCAGATGAAAATATAAGGTATCATCGATTTCACCTTCTTCTTTCCACTGTAGGAGTATAGTGACTACCAGTTTCCGCTCGCTGTTTCTATTATTATGTCGGGCCAGTATGAGGATGATCTAGACAATGCAGAGGTGGTTACTTACACTGGTCAGGGAGGGAATAAATTAACTGGTAGTAAACGCCAGGTTAAGGATCAAGAGTTAGTGCGGGGGAATCTGGCCCTAAAGGTCTGCTTTCTTTCAAATCTTCGTTTTAAGAATGCAATCTATCTTACCGTTTGAGAGTTTATTTCTAGCTCGCCCTACTTTTCTTTTAGTTCCTTCACACACCTCACAGTCACTCACATGGAACTTACCTATTACTTGCATCTGTTACAGAATAACTTAGAACATAAGGTGCCTGTCAGAGTTACTCGTGGTCACCAATGCCAAACTAGCTATTCCAAAAAAGTATACACTTATGATGGACTGTACCAGGTACTCGTGTGTATATTCCTTTATTATTGGTCTTGAGTTCCTTTTATCTGTTATATTATCTCTGATTTCCTAAAGGGGAATATGTTCATCAGCAATACATCAAAGGTGTTATGGTTTTTTCTTATTCATTGGTGTAACTCTGATCCTGTTCCATACCTTCTTCGTACAGGTTATAAAGTACTGGGCAGAAAAGGGCGTTTCAGGATTTACAGTGTATAAGTATCAACTGAAACGATTGGAGGGGCAACCAGAACTAACTACTAATCAGGTCTGTATGTTCTCTTGTGATAGTTGCTACTTTTAATTTTCTGTAATTTAATTACCTAGCGTGTATGTTGCAACATTGTTGAGTTAAATTATTACAAGTCCACATGGTTCCTTTATGTTCTGAACAACAAACGTAGCTCATTCAAAAGACGCCTTACAGACTAAATAATTTCCTTCAAAACTAGGATTTGATACTCTCCTTTGTGTATCATCTGAATATGGTTTAGCTTCCTGCTGTGATAGATCCCACCAAGACAATATTATTTTTTCGAGCACTTCCAACATTTGCAGGATTTATATAGACACCTCAAGAAATAGGATTTTTCTTGCATTATCCTCCTTCTTAGACTTGCGTTGTATTCTTGGCGGTTTTAATTACCACTTAGTTGGTTTGTTTAACATATTTCTTTTGTTGATTATGTAAATCTTCGCGCCTTGTGAATGCTTTGAATCGTAAAAGTGCTTTTATTACTACAAATTGGTCTATGTTCATGCATAATTACCAATCGTATGTTTCTTGTCATTGCAGGTCAACTTTGTGGGTGGACGCATACCAAAGTCTACCTCAGAGATCCAGGGGTATCTGTTTTTAATTGCTTTCTGTGTAGTATACAATTAGTTGCGTTTTTAAATTTATGAATTACATGGTTTTGTGAAGCTTGGTATGCGAGGACATCTCTAAAGGGCTAGCATCTAAGCCTATTCCAGCCACTAATCGTGTTGATGATCCACCAGTTCCACCGTCAGGCAAGTTGAAGCAAAACTAGAACATAAGATTGGCATTAGTAAATAACTGATGATTGTGCACGAGCTGAATTATCCTCTTTTCAAGTCTCAGGTTTCACGTACATCGATTCTTTGAAGATTGGACCTAATGTCAAAATTCCAAGGAGCTCAACTGGGTGTAACTGCCGAGGTAGCTGCACTGATCCAAATAAATGTGCCTGTGCTAGGCTTAATGGGGGAAACTTTCCATACGTCGACCTCAATAACGGAAGGTGAAGTTACTTTTTGACTCGTTTGATTGACTTATGCGTATACTGCGATTGCTCGTTCACTTATATTTTTTCTTCCATGGCTTTGACTAGCTGGGCTCTTGGTGTAATGTTGCGGTAAATGGTTACAGCTGAACAGTGATTGGATTGATTTTCTGTCTTATTCCTTTTCAGATTAATTGAGCCTCGAGACGTTGTATTTGAATGTGGTCCGAGCTGTGGGTGTGGGCCTGAATGTGTCAACAGAACCTCTCAGAAGCGACTAAAATTTCAACTCGAGGTATGTCTTTGTTAAGACTTAGGAACATCCAGTTATCAGTTGCCACTAAAGTCAAAACAACACCTTCATAGTGATTATATTGGAATTTTTCTATTAGTTAGAGAAAAAGAACCAACCTATATTTGGATTTCATTATGTAGTCCTGTATCGTTGTCTGTTAATAAGAAAAAGTGCAAAATCCAGTGTTTGTCATTTTTGATATCTTTTAGAATCTAGGCTTATCAAGTCTAGCAGACAAATCACAATCTGAAGCCTGAGATTCTCACTTTAGTGTTTTGTTCTGTGACCTCAAATAGGTATTTCGTTCTCCAAAGAAGGGTTGGGCAGTAAGATCATGGGACTTCATACCAGCTGGGTCACCAGTCTGTGAGTACATAGGAGTCCTCAGAAGAACAGACGACGTGGATACTCTTTCTGACAACGACTACATCTTTGAGATTGACTGCCAACAGACAATGCAAGGTCTCGATGGAAGACAGGTAACATAGAGAACTTATTTGCTTTGTCATCATTATTGAATCAAAATCATGCTCTTTTGGGGCAATATCTTCTTTTTTTCTTTTTCTTGCCAACAGAGAAGATTAAGAGACGTAGCCGTACCAACGGATATTAAAGTCAGTCAGAGCAATGAAGATGAGAATGTACCAGAGTTCTGCATCGATGCTGGTCCAACAGGGAACGTTGCTAGGTTCATTAATCACAGCTGTGAACCAAACCTATTTGTTCAATGCGTCCTGAGTTCCCACCAGGATATAAGGCTTGCCCGTGTGGTTCTTTTCGCAGCTGACAACATTCCACCACTGCAGGTACTGATAACTCATCTGTGGGGGTGACTCACCCGAACATGCTCTTTATATTAAACAACTTGAAACATTCTCTTGTCTCAATTGTAGGAGCTGACTTACGACTATGGATACACGCTCGACAGCGTTCATGGGCCGGACGGGAAGGTGAAACAGCTTACTTGCTACTGTGGAGCTATAAAGTGTAGGAAACGTCTATACTAAACAAGGAGAGGAAGAATCCGTATGGCTTTTGGTAACATATTTTGGAGTAGGAAATCATCAAGGCTATTGGGCAACATATTTTTTGAACACACTATTTTGGGGAGTAGTACATAGCAACTATCTCCCAAGTGGACCCTCTTAACAAGGTTTTTTTGGAACTTAGCCATTTTCTGCAGCGTACAATTAGTGCTGTCTTGTTGGGCATTGTCCCTTGTGTAACCCATTTATGTCACTGGCATCTAATTTGCACGGTCAACAATATTAATATCTATTAAAGATTATTAATCTAAGTATATTTGACAATGTGACCATTGACGTATATAAACGTATAAGAGTTGTTTGGTTCATTTCGTGTGTTGAGAATGATCGTATTTCATTGTAATAGACCTGTTTGGTTTAATTCGAGTTGATGTTGAGAGAAAAAAAAAAAAAAAGGTATAAGAGTTACTACTCCCGCAACTTTATCATTCCTTATTAAATCGAAAGTAATACAGGCAAAAGTCCCTATAAATTTCGATTACTGTCAGCCAGACTGCTAAATTCAAGTAATATATAAAGCAAAACCGGCAAGGCGAATTTAATGATACTCTCAACATTCATCCCTCTTGATCTTCCTTGGCTCTGGCTCGATACTGACGACCTGGCCTTCTTATGACATTTAGAGCTGTTTCCGGTTCATCTTCTTCCATGGCAGATACGGTGCTGTCTTCTATGATATCTACGACAGCTATTGCACCTCTTCTTCCATCACAACCCTTGTCTATTTTTTCTTCTTTGCTCTCAGTCACTGGTTTTCTCTTTGGTACAAACGCCACTGATCTTGGAAGCTCAACTAAAGGATCTACCAGAGGCTCATCTCGGCTCTTAATCATGTTGAGAAAGTCCATGTATGCTTTCCGGTTGGATACTTCATCAACCTCACCTTCATCAAATGTATATCTGGTGTACTTTGCTGGGTTTCGCATATAATCTGGAATCCCAGATGGATAGTCTGGCTGCACTATCTGCTCGTCGGGGGAACTTGTCTCCATCACAGAATCTTTGTCACCTCCAGTCGAGTTGTCGCTGATGTCAGAACTAAACCGAACACGCTTCTGCATCTTAGAATCAGCCTGGTTTTCTTTCCTCTTCAATATCGGTTTCAACCCAGCATCATCACAAGAGCCAACATGTGCCTCCTCAGACACCACAAGTGCTTTCTCGTTTTCAGACGTGGACATGGACATGTTATTCTGATGTACCTGCAAAAATTTCATATTTTCATTAGATGACACTTTTGGTTTCAGAAAGAGGAGAGCAAATAGCTCTTCTCAGGCACATGCTTCTAGGTCTTGAGATACAAGACAGTGAGAGATCATATGCTATTGAACTAGTTCTTTTTTGCACAGTGGAAGAGAGTGACTGTCAAAGTACGAGACATAGAAAGAGGGAAAGAGTAAAGTACCTCAGAGACATGTAAAGAATTCAACTTGTTAACAGCTTCAGCGTCTTCTTTAAGCCTAATCTTTGCTGCGATGAGATTCGCACGCGGATCCTTCTCTCTTTCTTTCAAGGACGCTGGAAGAACCTCCCACTCGTCTGCCTCCGTCTCATAGTCATTCACATCCTTCGTGTAACCGTACAATTCGTCGCCTACAGCCACTTTGTCGTTTTCGTCTTCCTCTTCCTGAAAATATAGAGAAACCTTATTAGCTTAGCCTGATGATACTGAAAACAACTACAAGCGCAATTCAACATAAATAGATACATACCTCCAAATCAAGAGTAGTGTCCATCCCGATAGAGGATTTGATCTCCCACTCCTCGTCATTGTAATCGTTCGGTTTCTGCGATACACTAGACTTTCCTTCGTCTCCATCAAAGCTCAAATCTTCTGGATCATTCTCCTGGATTCGGGTACCTGGGAAGCTGTTCGAGTCAAATTGAGAAGATCGGGATCCAGAAACTCCCTTTTCTCCGCTCCGTTCGTTTTTATCGATTTCGTCGTCCGCGAGACACCAGAGAGAGCTCAGAGATGAAGAAGACGCGGATGATGATGAAAGAGATCCAAATATCTTATCGATCCTCACTCTGAAACTTTCCTCCATTGCTAGCGAATTTGGGACGACGATGGCCGCGGAGAAAATAACTGCGGGAATTTTATGCGGTGTTGTGATATATCTGCCCTTGTAGCCAAACAAAACCGACATATTCAGCAGCCGTGCTCAAATAATGGGCCAAATTGATGAAGTCCAGTTAATATATTGGGCTTATTGGTAGGTTTGGCCCATTGAACAAGAAATTCACCGTTACGCTCGAGCTTCTCGCCTTCTCCAAGAAAGTTCCACGCGTCCGCGTGCTTGCTGATGCAATATTCAATCATAAGCAGATGCAGGCTGCAGAATAAACGTCGCTTTTTTTTTTGGATTTTTGGATGATTTTGTCTGATGATGATGTGTATGTTACTATGTTGGACCGTAACCTCCCTTCTAAGGTTTGTCTATGGATAAGGGCCACTTATTAAAGTGAGCAGTGAATTATTAAAGAAGCAAAAAAAAAAAAAGGACAACATTTTCGGAAACAAAGTTTAGATTTTGAGAGTTGAAAAAGGGCAACTCTTTCTTCTTCATCGTCACTCTAATTGAGTTGACTAAACACACTCTAATTGGTTTGATGAATTGGTTTGAGAGGATGGATCTTGCCAAGTTTCTCTGTTGTGTTGTTTTGCTACGAGGAATCTCAAGCGTAGAATCAAGGTACATGGTCTACAATACTTCCCATACCATGGTTCCTGGAAAACTTAATGTCCATGTGGTTCCTCATTCCCACGATGATGTTGGTTGGCTCAAGACCGTTGACCAGTACTATGTTGGCTCTAACAACTCAATCCAGGTCAACCCCTTTCTGCTTTTCTTTTATCTGATTATTGATCAGGTTCTGTCGTACTTACCTCTTCTTATTTTTTTCTCGTAGGTTGCTTGTGTTCAAAATGTGCTGGATTCAATTGTTCCTGCTTTGCTGGCTGATAAGAATCGCAAATTCATTTATGTTGAACAGGTAAATTTGGTCTCTTTTTTTTCCTAATTGATCCGTGGAAGCTGTTAGCTTTTTCTTGACTGGGCTTGTAAATGAAGATTTAGGGGGAGAACAATCTCACTTTCGTAGTCTCACGAGCTGAATGACGGTTAAATTGTAATGAATGCAGGCGTTTTTTCAGCGATGGTGGAGAGAACAAAGTGAGGAAATCAAGCGTATTGTGAAGGATCTTATACGCTCAGGCCAACTAGAGCTCATGTAAGGGTTCTGACCAGTGTGCTCTGTATATATTACACTTGTCCTTGTCTTTTTTTCAAGTTGTCATTGCCTCTTCTTTAGAAATGGTGGTATGTGCATGCATGATGAAGCAGCACCACACTATATAGACATGATTGATCAGACAACCCTCGGACATCGATTCATTATCAGAGAGTTCAATGTGACTCCAAGAATCGGTTGGCAGATTGATCCTTTTGGACATTCTGCAGTGCAGGCTTACTTGCTAGGCGCAGAAGTAAGCTCCTCTTCCGTTCCTTCATTTTGGTTTTATGTTTGTTTCTTGATCCAGAGGTGTGAAGATATTCGTTTACTGATTTATGCAGGTTGGGTTCGACTCGGTGTTTTTTGGTCGGATAGATTACCAAGATAGGGAGAAGCGTAAAAAGGAGAAGAGTCTTGAAGTTATCTGGCGGGGCTCTAAGAGTCTTGGTTCTTCTTCGCAGGTAATATACAAAGCAGAAAAAATTGCATGTGGTAGCTTACACTCTGCATTTTCACAGGATTTTCATTTTCTTTTGGTAACATTGATCTGACTTGATACAGATTTTTGCCGGTGCTTTCCCTAAAAACTACGAACCTCCACCTGGTGGCTTCTACTATGAAATCACCGATGATTCCCCCGTTGTCCAAGTATTTTCTTTTTCCGATGACTACCTTTTTCGTTGTATCTAATCTATTCCTATGGTAAGTTTTGCCTCTTAATCCGTGAAGGATGATCCCGACCTTTTTGATTACAATGTTCAAGAACGAGTGAATGCCTTTGTAGCTGCAGCTTTGGATCAGGTAGATTTGGAAAATGTTACTTTTTCGGGCAGAATTTTCTGTTACATTTTTGTGACATGTTTCTTGGTATCCGCAGGCCAACATTACTCGAACGGATCACATCATGTTTACCATGGGAACAGATTTCAGGTACCAATATGCACACACCTGGTTTCGACAAATGGACAAGCTTCTTCATTATGTTAACCTCGTAAGTCTAAAAATGTTATGTTCCTTTTTATGTCTCCAAAGTCCAGATATTTGTCTCTACACAGAAACACACGAGATAACCTTAACTTGTGGAACCTTAACTATTTTAGGATGGGCGCATCAATGCTCTCTACTCAACTCCTTCCATATATACAGATGCAAAACACGCGGCGAATAAGGCTTGGCCCCTTAAAACGGAGGACTATTTCCCGTGAGTTGGGTCTTACATTTTCTTAACTCCTTGATCCAGTTGCTGCTTACTGAACTAATCTTTACGAATTTTCTGAACTTCAGTTATGCAGATCGTATAAATGCTTATTGGACTGGATATTTTACAAGTAGACCAGCACTTAAGCGTTATGTCAGAGTGATGAGTGCCTACTACTTGGTATTTGTTCTCCCACGTTTTAAATAATACTGTTGAAGTTGTATTTTTATTCATGTGTCTGACTTGGAGAGTTTAGGCGGCAAGGCAACTTGAGTTTTTCAAAGGGAGAAGTGAGAAGGGTCCGAATACAGATTCGTTAGCAGATGCCCTTGCAATTGCTCAGCATCATGACGCTGTTTCTGGTACATCAAAACAGCACGTGGCTAATGATTATGCCAAAAGACTAGCAATAGGCTATGTGGAGGTAGTGTGCCAAATTTCTCTCTGAATTGTGGCTCTCTAATGGCTTGTTTGCTCTATTTGCATGTCAATAAGATATGTTGATCTTGCAGACTGAGAGCGTGGTTGCCACTGCTTTTGCTCATCTGACTAAAGTAGATCCTGCCCTGAATCCTACCTTCCAACAGGCAAATAATCTCCTCTCTTATACGTATTTCTCAGAAGAATCTTATCAATATATATTGTGAAGAAGTACATTAAATCCGTTTGACAAAAGGTAACTCATCCATTTTTCTTAGTAATAGTTTGGCCTTTCTTTATTTCAGTGTTTGCTGCTGAACATAAGTTACTGCCCTTCAAGCGAAATCAATTTATCCGAAGGGAAAAGTTTGGTAACGAGAAAATTATTGTTCCTCTGGGTTTTCAGCTCGTCTGTTATAGCTATCTGTGCCTCCTTCCTGAAACTTGTACTTCTTTATTCTTCTCTGCAGATCGTATTGGCTTATAACCCACTTGGATGGAAGCGAGTGGACATTGTCCGGCTTCCTGTGAGTCAATCAAGTTCTTGTTCATTAAAATCACTGTTATGAGTTAACAACTATCCGATGAAACTTTGATAGGTTGTGGGCGGAGACATCGCGGTGCATGACTCTGAGGGAAACGAAGTTGAGTCTCAACTCGTTCCATTTACGGATGAATATGCGGCCTTAAGGAACTATCATGTTGAGGCATACTTAGGCCATACCCCTACACAGGTGCCAAAGTACTGGCTTGTGTTTTCGGTTTCTGTCCCTCCTCTTGGCTTCACTACTTACACTATCTCCACTGCTAAGAAAACAGGTACAGTGGTGCAGACGTATCTATTTGGTCTAATGGAACAAGCTTTTGACCTTGATTACTATTACGTTTTGTTTCCAAATCTAGGTGGATATTCTAGCAAATCATACGTCTCCAGATATCAAAAAGGCGAACAATCAATTATTGACGTTGGTCATGGGCATATGAAGCTTAGTTTTTCCACTGATCAAGGGACAGCAATCAATTATTTAAACAGCAGAACCTCGGTATGTCTGTTATCTTTTTAAACACTACCTGGCAGTGATCCTTGAAGTTGCTGACAAATCTCCTTTTTTTTGTAAAGATGACAGAACCAGTTAAACAGACATTTAGCTACTACTCTGCATACAATGGAACAAATGACAAAGAACCTCAGGTAAGCGGAGATCAGTTTCTTCTATTTTCTACACTTTCCTTTCGATGGCTAAAGTTCAGTATACTTACTCCAAGTTTCCCTGGTCTTTTTGTCTTGTTTGCAACCATTAGAACTCGGGTGCGTATGTTTTCCGTCCAAATGGCACATTCCTCATCAAACCGGAAGGACAGGTTGATACTACCTTTTGAAAAATATAGATCTTCAAGACGTTAAAATTTTTTTTTAAAGTTACTGTCTCAAGTTTCAGGTTCCTTTGACTGTTATACGTGGGCCACTGGTGGATGAAGTTCATCAACGGATAAATCCATGGATATCTCAGGTACCTACGTTTCAGTGTGTTCTCTTTCCACACTTCATTGTCTACATTTAAAAGACTTCATGGCTTTTTAAACTCTATTTGAACTTCCAGAAGTGCTGATTGTCGACTCTTATACTGTCTGGCCTTATAATTGTCTGTAGGTCACTAGAGTTTACAAGGGCAAGGAGCATGTGGAAGTTGAATTTATTGTGAGCCTGATGCATTAACTATTCCAATACCACTTTTCATGTCCTGTATTCCATTGTAAAGGCTTTAGGATTATCTGAGTATTTAGGTTGGTAGTATACCGATTGATGATGGAATTGGCAAAGACGTCGTGACCCAGATCTCAAGCTCCCTGGAAAGCAATAAAACTTTCTACACAGATTCAAGTGGACGTGATTATATCAAAAGGGTATGACGTCCATTTTTATCTTCTAACAACTTTTATTATTACATCAGGTTAAGGACCTGTATCCTTCTTTTGTGCCTCTGTTCTTATTTGTCCTTTCTAGTTGCTGTTCAAGAATAAACTAATTAACCTTGTTTCGCAGATCCGTGATTATAGGTCAGACTGGAAACTTGAAGTCAACCAACCTATTGCAGGAAATTATTACCCGGTATGTGAGTGAGTAACTGACATTGATCAAGTAAGAAATCCGGTGGTAGTTTACAGTTCTCTGCAAATGATCATGGATTGAGTTTGACCTCTCTAATCAGTTGGATATAAATTCCATTTTCTGCTCAGATAAACCATGGAATTTACCTGGAAGACAGTAACAAAGAATTCTCAGTGATGGTAGACAGAGCCTTTGGAGGGTCAAGCTTAGTGGACGGACAAGTTGAGCTTATGCTTCATAGGTAATCAAATTCGAAACTTGCCTTACCCTTCTCTCTCTGGCTCTAATCAAACTATCACCTCGATCACAGGAGACTGCTCCTTGATGACTCCAGAGGTGTTGCGGAGGCTCTAAACGAGACGGTGTGTGTTCAAGACAAGTGCACTGGACTAACTGTAAGTAGAGATAAGATAAACTAGGTTCAAGAGGGAAATGATTCACTTTAAGCAGACTCTGTTTCTATTAGTCTAAGGTGCAGATTCTGACAACTCTTACAGATCCAAGGAAAATACTACTATAGAATCGATCCATATGGAGAAGGTGCAAAATGGCGGCGAACTTTTGGACAAGAGATCTACTCGCCACTCCTCTTGGCCTTTGCTCAACAGGTGAAAACAAGAGTACAATTGAAATGTTTTTAGGTGAAAACAAGAGTACAGTTGAACTCTCTGGCTGTCCAAAAGCATTCATACAACGGATGTTAAAATGTTTCAGGATGATGGAAAGCCGATGAGTTTTGGTGCAGCATCATTCTCTGGGTTTGATTCATCCTACAGTTTGCCTGACAATGTCGCACTTCTGACTCTGCAGGTGCCTTTTTTGCAGACTTAAAAGTTATAGATAGTTTGGGTGAGTTGAGTTGAGTTGATAACTTGTTTTTCACCATTGGGTTGTTGAGAAAATATCAGGAACTGGATGATGGGAACGTGCTCCTACGTCTTGCTCATCTTTATGAGGTATTTGATAATGTCCAGTTATTTTTGTTGGTTTGGTAATAGAATGAAGGATTTGAGGTTTTGGAATTAGGTGGGAGAGGACAAGGAACTTTCAGGAATGGCAAGTGTGGAACTGAAGAAGCTTTTTCCTGGAAAAAAGGTAGAAAATCTTTTCTAAAAAGATAGGTGAACTTGGGGGTACAAGATAATGAAAAAGGTGTGTCGCAGATAGCGAAAGTGACGGAGATGAGCCTATCAGCAAATCAAGAAAGAAGCGAAATGGAGAAGAAGAGGTTGGTGTGGAAAGTAGAAGGTGAAGGATCTGATGAAGCGAAGAAGGCGAAGAGAGGGAGAGACATCGATCCAAGAAAGCTGGAGATGGAGCTTTACCCGATGGAGATTAGGACAGTGTTGATCCGCTTGGAGCATCCACCTTCTCACACCCACAAATACAGATTCGATGCGTGAGGTCCAGGCAAGCCTAGATAAGGAGTAAGTAAGTTTTATTGATAAGAGTCTCATAAATCCTTCCTCTTGTGTTTTCATTTCAAACGCTTACTAATAATAAAAAGGTTATTTGAGTCTTGCATCGAGTTCACATAATTTACCATTAATTATGCAACCAACAAAGATAAATTGATTTTTTATTGATAAATGATGGAACTGATTATAATTGACATTTACACATGGCAAGGAGCCACGATCGTTTGTTTGAATTGGTAGAAATATGAGTCATCCAAGTTTGTGGGCATTCAGACAAAAACAGTAGATGAAGAAAAATTTGAGGAAATGTAAGAAAAAGTGTTGCTGCAAAACAAAAAAGAAAAGAAAGAAGCTACGTTCTTCGCCTGGCGGTGGCGGTGGAAGAGGAGGAAGTATTGCCATCGAAGAGCTGGTCGATGAGATCCTCGATGTCCTCAGGCTGGTACTTGATATACTTCTCGGTCTGGCGACCTGGATCCAAGTACTGTCCAAACCTGGCCATGAAAGCCCTGTAGGCAGGTATCATAACCGCGGTTATAGAGACCCTAAGCTCGCTCTGCAGCTGCTCGTCGTTGACCACCCACGTGGTCTGCGTCTTGTGTATCTCGTCGAAAGTTGCGTTGAAGCTCTTGAACCTCTCCTTAAGATTGGGCTTGACTATCTTTCCGTTGTGCATGAGCCCCTCGTGGCCTAAGAACCCAAGCAGCTTCCCCCACGTCTCTCTCTGGTAGTTCTTGTGGTAGTTCCTTAGCTCTGAAGACCTCCTCCTGCACCACGTGTCCCCCATCACCTCGTGTATCTCAGCTGATCCTTTGATCTTCTGCACTATGTATCTCCCGTTGTTCATCATGAAGATGCAGCTCAGTGGTATGTCTTTGTACTGCTTCGACTTGGCCTCCAGATTCACGTCGAGTAGCTCCATTATTCTCATCAGCTGGTTCGCAAAGGCCGAGTTCCCACTCTCTGCAGACTCCTCCTGATCCTCTCTCTCCATCTTCGAGTGGCTCTTGAACACTTGTTCCAACGTGTCTTTGTACTCGCACGAGTACTTGAGGTAATTCATTGTGTACCTAGTCAGGGGATGCACTGCGCCTCCTGGCACGGGAGTCTTGCTCGAATCAGATTTGATGGAGTTCTCAAGATCTGAGAATATGTGAATTGCTGTCTCTCCTAAGCGTGAACGAGCGCTGGTCACCTCATTCCTCAGCTCGCTCCGTAGCTCCTCGGGGAACAGCTCCTCCATGGGAGGAAAACTGTCCCGGAGAGTCTCGTAAATGTCGAGGATTTTGAATAGCTTCTCAGTGGATCGTTTGGTCATGGCCACAGCCTCGGCGAATCCCAAGAACTGGATGGCCAGACCATGCGTGACGATGCAGAACAAGCTCCCATCGTCCCCTGGGAAAATCTTCTCTGCGAGTTTGAGCTCACCGGGGAAGAAGCGGGAAGAGCAGTCCTTGAAAGTCTTGTTCCAAATAGGGATCTCTCTCTCCAGCGTGTCCCAGCTCATCTTCTGCACCTCGTCAATACTCACTTTCTCAAACTCACAATCATGTTTCAAAGTTCGCATCAAGATGTTCCTCCTCCCAACCAAATAAACCTCTCTGCATTCCCATCCATACCCTCCTCCTTTCATTTTCTCGGCTATTTTCCTCAGCAACACAACCACCTCCTCCGGATAACCGGGATATTCAATCTCCTGATCGCCACATTCCGGAACAATCATCTGGTCGTGATCTTGTGAGACCACCGCATCGTTCTGGAGGTGGTCTTGCTGATCGGCCGTGCTCTTCCTCTGGCTGCTGCTGTCATCCGAGGCCACCACGGGCTCTTTGACAACGGATTCTTCTAAAATGATGCGGAATTCGTCTTCCAAGAAGGCCATTGCACGCTGCTGGATGGATCCGGCATGGTTGATCAAGGGCTCATGATGGTCCAGACAGGATTTTGTATTGAGCAAAAGCCCCATAAGCTTTGAGACACGATCCACTGCCTCCAGAAGCGAAGACGTTTCTTCTGGATCTTGGTACCAAATCGTCTTAGGCTCACCAGAGTCGTATTTTGAGAGTTTGTCCTCGAAGAGATCCAAGAACTTGCCAACAAATTGTGGGATCTGAAAGTAATCATCCTCTCCTTTCTCCTCGGTGTTGTTGTCTTGTTGATCCTCCTTGTGAAGGGAGAGACTCGTGAGAAGCTGGTCGAGTTCTTCTGACAAGGACTCGAGGGTTTGATGAACCTCAGCTTGTGTTTCTTCTCCTTGTGAATCGACATTGTTGTCTCCTGGATCGTGATCTGTCTCGGCATTACCAACATCGACATTCTCTTTACTGCTTCCGTTCTGATGCGCTTCATCTTCCCGATGAGCATCTGAAACTACGTCGCCTTTCTCCTCTCCCTTGGATTTGTCATGATCATGATGATGATCAGGGTCCTTGTCGTTCTTCTCCATAGCTTATTATTATTATTATTTACGTAAAAGCTTAATTAGAATGGTGAAGTGGGATTGGGATGGTGAGGGAGGAGAGATTCATGTGTTGTGTTTTTCGTTTAGACTTTAGGATTTGTGGTTAGAGAAGGGGAGATGGAGATGATCGCTATGGCTGAATCGAAGAAGTAGGGGAGCCTTGTTTTTTTGGTGGTTGACCGTTGACTTTGTCTTTCATCCCAACACCAATACCGTGTATATTCTTCTATTTTTAACCAAAAAGAAAAACCTCGTAATTATTTAACTCTTTTTTAATTTGTTTGTTTTATAATAGAGAGATGCATGAAAGGGAAGAGGTATGCAATTAAGAACAATGATTTGAATAAATATCGGGGTATCGTGGGAGTATGGTGCGCACGCATGTTCCTCACACAACTCTATACGTGCATGCATAAACCATCCTTCATTTCTTAAGTCTTATTAAAAAAAAAAAAACTATTCCGGTTTTCAAATAATTCTGCATTTTAGCTTCCTTTTCTAATAATAAATTGGTCATCGTATAAATCATCTAAAATATTAAAAATAATACATAATATGGAATAACTAACCAAAAAATAGAGTAGAGAGAATGGCAAAAAAAGAAAAGTAAAGTGGAATAGAGAGAAATACAAAATGGCATTGTGGAGGAGAAAGAAAGAAAAAGGCCATAAAAGCCCAAAATAATAATTGGGCCTACTAAGCTTCAATTTTAAGGGTTCACTATATTCAAGTTTGCCCTGACTTGCTTCATTCAAATAATAAAAAAAACCACTAGGGGGAACAAGTAGGCGGTGTACTGTCGCATATATTTCGGGCACATTCACGAATAAATGCAATTGAGCACTTTACAAAAAGTATCCAATTAAAATTGGATTAGATCAGGCTATACTGTAATTAATTGATTAGGCGGACGTGGGCTGGCTCGCAATTGTCAAAAGAAGATCCAACTTTACTGTGTTTGATTTATGGTAACCAAAATACTTTCGTTCAAAAATCAAAATATTAACTGGATTGTAAAAACCAGAGAGAGGATGATGAAATGGTGAGAAGTGAAATGGTCCAAAAGAGGGACCCTTTTGCAAATTGGAGAAACCCCAAACTTGCACGTTTCTCTCTTCCTTCCATCTCTCTCTCTTCTTTTTTATAGGAGGAATATATATGACATTTTCTTCTCTGTTTTTTTCTTTTTTTCTGAACTTTATAAAAGTCAATGAACATCCCTCATAAGCACCTTCCTTTTTCCCTACTCATTCTCATCAACTTTCTTATTATGAACTAAATAAATGTTCAGACAAAGAAGCCATTTCTAACATTTATAGTACACAATTATATATATATATATGTGTGTGTGTGTGTCCGTGGGGATATATACATATATAAAGAACCTCTCCTACTGTCATTTACCCTGCGAAGCCCACAAACAAAACGCTACACGAGTCTTTCCTGGGTTCTTTCTCTCCCTGTCTCTCTCTCTCTCTCCCTCTCCTCTCTTCTCTTCCTCTCTGTAGATGGAGTGATGGATCAATGCTTGTAACCGATTTGAAAATTTATCAATTTTCGAAGAAGCAGTTCAGGAAAAAGAGGACATATGGAGGTGGAGAAGAGGACACTGGTGAATGGAGGCATGAAATTACCAATTGGATACAGGTTTCACCCAACGGAGCAAGAGCTTATCCTTCATTACTTGCTCCCAAAGGCCTTTGCTTCTCCTTTGCCTTCCTCCATCATCCCTGTCTTTGATGTCTTCTTCTCTCACCCTCTTACTTTCCCAGGTATCTCTCTCTCTTCTGTTTAAACCTTTCTATGTATGTAGTGTATGTCTCTTTGTATTCTTTTAAGTCTTTAGATTTTTGTCCAAATGAGTCTATCTATCATAAGTTGTAACTTAACAGCAGATTATGTTTCCTCTGTATCATTTTCTGATATCTGGGTCTAGATCCATGGGTTGCCTGATGCTAAAACTGAAAGTGGGTTTTTTCCAGGGGATCAAAAGGAGAAGCAAAGGTACTTCTTTTGCAAGAAGAGAAGAGAAGTGTCAAGTAAGGATCAGCATAGAATCAAGACTTCATCTAGTGATGGTTATTGGAAATCTTATGGGAAAGAGAGACAGATCATTTCTTGTGGTAGAACAGTTGGGATTAGAAGAACACTTGCTTTCTATGAAACAAACAAGTCTTCTTCTAATTGCAACAAAACCAGATGGAGCATGACAGAGTATTGCCTGGCCGGATTCGCATCAACTAAGGTACACTCGAGTATAATAAGAAAGAAAGAGTTTAGATTTAGGACTAATAAGTTTTGATTTGGTAAATAAAACAGGTGTTTGGAGAATGGGCTGTGTACAGTGTGTATGAGAGGAAAGTATCGAAAGGAAGAATGCAGAGGAAAGCAAAAGGGAGAGATGATGAAGAAGACTTGAGTTGCATCCACTTTACGATTGGGTCCGATCATGAAACCGGTCCTCCACCGCCCTCTCCTCCTACCTCAGCTGATGAGTCAGGGAGCATTATTTAAAAGTTTCTCCTTAACCTTAACCTACTCTGTCCACTCACGTTTCCAAGCTATTTTTAAAACATTTCCATCATTTCTACGTCTTGATTCATTTGTTAGAGAAACAAGTAACTGAGGCTAAGGGATCTCGTTTTGATATGAAAATGTTGTATGAGTGGAGATTCGTTGAGCAACCCATATATATGTCAAACTTGTTAATTTTTGCCTTAAGTTCTGTTGACATTATAATGGAGTTAAAGTGATAGCCGTGTGAGACGAAGTAAAGTTTATTAATTAATTGAAAAAGAGGTATCTTTCTTTTTCTAGGATGAGAACTTGATTCCCTTTCTTTTCAAGGCAGAACAAGAATCCATAGCATATATAATCATAGAAACAATATAGACTTTTAATTAAATCAATATGTATGGAAAATAGATTTACTAATATATATGAGATGGAGATGCATTGTGTAATAAGTAATAACAAGTTGATATTTTATGTGACAGACAATATAGATGGATGGGCGACTTATGTAAATTGGTGTGTAAAATGGTACAAAGAGACAAAAGAAAGAGTTGAAATTGAAATTAAAACAAATGGGAAAAACGAAGAAGCCATCGCATGGGGTGTCGAGAAGCTAAATTCTTCGTGTTGAACCATTTTATTTAATCAAAAATATATATGTTGTGTTGTCATTGACACATATTTTTAAACTTCTAGAAACCAAAATCGTGGAGATCATCGTTATAATTTAGTAATGTCTTCCTCTTTTTTAATTTAGTAATGTCTAATAATGTGTGTGTGAGTTGTATACCAACCCAAAAAATAAAGAATGCGAGTATGATATAAGAGAGAAATATTTGAATGAATTTCAAGATTTTTTAGAGAAACTATGTATCCAAAACTTTCTGAACTACATATATAAAAAGACAAGTATTATGTATTTATGTGTGTTTCCAACCAAAAAGTAATCAAAAATCATATGTATATAATATTTATGTGTGCGAACAAAATGACTCAATGCTAAAAAAGACAAAAAAAAATTGAACTTAGTTTATGCAAGAAGGAAAGAGTGGAGACATAACATGGGTATGTATTTGAACATTTTAATGATTGAAAATACAAGAAAGCTCGTATCAATTTATTGTATACATTTCTAACGATTGTAAAATAAATAATGGAACACATTAAATGGTGGAGAAGGTCAAAGACAAGTCACATGTGCATTGTGCACCATCTTCCAATGTACAATCCACAAAAAGACAACATCGATTAAGGCAATCTAAGTTTCTCCTCTTTCCCACACAAATACACATATTACCATAAACATGTCCTCTTTTGCTTTTAATCGAAGCAATTCTTGGTTTTCACATGTAATCAACGAAAAAATGTAACAAAGTAACCAGCATTAAATAAAAATAAATAAGTAATGAAATGATGAGGAGGCATTAAGTGAAATGTGAATGGGAACAAGTCTTTGTATTGTGTGTGAGAAGAGGTAACTGGGTGCCAATTGGCTTTTGGAATATGCTTAGCAGAGAAAGCAAATTTACTTTTCAGCACACAAAAGGTAAATTAGACGTGGGGTTGCTTCAAATTCAAGCAAACATTTCTTATTTTGACCAAGACTTAATTACCACCCAAATTATTATATAAACAATCTATCTAGGTAGATAACTATATTGTGAGAATTAATTAAGTAAATGGCTTTAACTTCTAATTTTCTTACTAAGAAAGTACCTAATTAAAGTGCTAGTTTCCGAATAAATGCTACTTAAAATGTTACTTACAAAATAGCATGATATTTAGAATGAACATGGTTATTTAGGACAATCACCCTAGTCGTAACACCTAACTCTGTTTAAGATTAAAAGAAGTAGATCTCTTTAATTAAAAAGTGGCACTAACAGAGTGACTTGGATGAAGCTATGGACCATGTAAACATTAAAGGTTCTATATTTTCTAATTTTGATTGAGAGCTGGTTGAAGTCAATAGGCCTTGTGTGTAATCCTATGTATATGGGCCTTACGATACCATTACTATTAGAGTATTGGGCTCGGAGTGCAGAAATAAATGTATTTGTACCCTATTTGTAAAGGTGTAGTAAATCAAAGAAGCAATGAGCAGAAGAAAAGGAAAGGCAAGGCAATGATGAGAAGAGGAAAGAGAGAGAGAGAGAGAGAGAGAGAGAGAGAGAGAGCGATGGGTAAGTAGTTAGAGAATGGAAAGAATAAAGAAGGATAGAGAAACATAGAAGCCTTCCTTGTATGGCAATTCCATCTTGGAACTTGACCCTTTCTTCTTGTCTTCTTTGGCATCACAACAAGGTACTATCATGTCAATCAAACACTTCTCTCATTAATAAAGAAACTTAAAAAAGTGTTGTTAAGGATTTCAAAATTTTAATGAGTTCAACTGTGAGGGGATGTGTGTGTGTGTGTTCACTCGTGTATGTGTACTGCACAGTGCACACAACTGTCTCGTTACCAGATTATCTCTCTCCTTGCAGGATGTAACAGTCCCAACACAAAAAAGCAACCAATCCCTTTTTTTCTTAAAGAAAATATATAATTTTTATTTTAAAAGCAAATAAAAGAGTGAGAGAAGAGTCCAGATCCCATCAATAACAACTTCATTTCTCTTTCCACTCCATATCTCTTTTTTTTTTATATATTTAAAACGACGCAGATTCCAATTTAGAACCTCTAATTACTATCTCAATCACTCACTATTCTGTCTTCTCTACGTTCCTCTATTCTCCCAAGACAATCAAAGCGATTTTAAAGATTAAAAACAGATTAGCAACGCACTTACCGTTAACGTTATCCGTTCTAAATGTTGTTTTTTTTGTTGTATCAAGTAATATTGTGCTCTTGATGTGTCTTCCTCTCTCAGCCTTAACTACGCTAGTACGCTACACATTAAATAACTTTATTTTTTTGTTCCAAAAACGAAAAAACAAATCGATAATGATGTAACTTGGGGAGGAAGTACAAGTTTTAGTTTCACTCGAGATTATGTATGTATATATACATACAAGCATCCCATGCATATACGGACGGAGCAAAAGGATTAATTGGGATCTGTGAAATTAGTTAGAAAGAGAGAGAGAGAGAAGAAGGAGCTGAGGGCAAAAGGGTAATTTGGAAAGCAGATATTCTCTGCAACAAACGACGCAAACAAACAAAGAAGAGACAACTTAAACCCTTCCATAAAACCCACACAACCTCACTCTCTCTTTCACTCGCTCTCTTTAATATATCCGACGACGCTTTTTCTTTTTCGTCATCTCTGTCTCTCTCTCTTTCACTCTGTAGCTAATAAGCTTCGAAAATGGCGGAGCAACAACCACCGTCGCCTTTCCATCAGTTCGTGGCCGGTCCTCCATCAAAATCTCGATCATCATCGAGCAAGAGATACTCCTTCTCCGGAGCTCAACATCCGACCTGCCACCGTCTCTTCCCCTGTCAGTACTGTCCCCGCAAGTTCTACACCTCTCAAGCTCTCGGCGGTCACCAAAACGCTCACAAACGCGAACGCGCCGCCGCTCGCCGCAACCTCGGCGTCGTTTCTCATTCTCCATCCATCCTCGACGACAACACATTGTTTCGTCCTTATCCTTGTTTTTACCCTAACCCACCTCAAGGATCCACTTCCGCAGCCGGGCCCTGGACCGGACCGGATCAACAGCACCAGACGACGATGATGATGAGTGGGTACGACCCGTATCCGTATCCGTATGGTTACCCATTTGGAATTTCCAGCAACGGAAACGGAGGCATAATGGAGGAAGACGAGCCTCTGGATCTTTCTCTGCGTCTTTGAGTCGTTTGCTTTTCTGTTTAATTTTGTTTTTGTCTTGTTCTCATCAGGACTGACTCTTTTAAGTACAACTTTGGAGCTATATATGTAGCGTTTCTATCTTTTTTTTTCTCTTTCTGTGTTACTTTTGATCTCCTGATGAAGAGAAACTAGCTGAATGATACCCTTTTTGGAAGATATGATGATAGTGATCTTATAAGTGATCGTTACTTTCGGTTTTTAATTTATCATCATTAATAGTCCCTGTTTACCTGTAGAACTTAAATACTTTTTTTATCGTTAATGTTGGATGATGCATTTGAAACAAACATTAACTTAATTTGTTCCGGAAAACAGTTAGATGGACGAACACATCACCATTAATTGGCTTATTGAGGGTAATTTTGAATGGTATATAGGAGTTTAAAGACAAGTGATGAGTGAGAATCGGAATCGAGTCCTTCCATTATCGCCTTCTCCAGTTAATACGACCTTAATTGATTTCCAATAAAATCCGATCATGTCTCTTTCGGAGATTACCACTATCACCGTCTTCTGAAACCCCTAACCGCCTCCACGAAGTTGGTACGTGCGAGAATCCAACATCTCATCATTACCCCACACGTGACTCCCTCACGTGACGCTGCCTTTTTAAAACTAGTATACAAGCGTGCCGTTTTTAGGCGTCTCACACTACAACCACTTTTACTCCAACATAGCTAAACGTCTTCTTTACCAACAACATCCTTTTCTTATAACTTCCTTCCAAATAAGTAGTCACTCGGATAGATAAGTGTTACATACTATACTCAAGTAAAAGTGTAAAACAAATATCAGATATTTTTTGTCTGAGAATAACAATATTACATTACAATTATATATAGGAATGTAAGTGGTAAATTACCCAAAGAAAATGTGTAGATAGTGCTGCTCAACGATCAAGTTCATCATCATCATCTTCATGATTCTCAGAGGAATTGTCAAGATGTTCACTAAGAAGTTGGGTCTGGTTTCCCGTGAAAGAGCCAGCTTCCATTTCAGGCAGTTCAAACTCGTCTGGTCTCAGTGACAATTGAAAGTCTGGGAGCTCTGGTAAACATTGCATTGCCCTGTGGTTTATCATAATCATCAGCTTAATTACACCATCTAATATTTTCTTTGTTCTAATTAGTATTATAAACGCCACAAGCTAAACACTCTTAACGCTTACTTTTCTTCTTCTTCAAGCAAGTATCCATACATTTGAGATTTCCTAAAAGCAACTTCTGGAATCTTCTGGCTCAAATGCTTCATAACCCCCCACATAGGAGGAGGTCTGATAAAACATACTTATTTACATTCACATGTTAAATGAATGTTGGATATTTTATAATAAAGACACAAACCTGGTGACAGGAGGAGCCAAACAGAAGCTAAGACAAGCCTTCTTGCTTTCTCCTAGGATCTCTGCAGCTGCAAGGAAACAACACACCGCACTTACGTGGCAAGCCGGTTCACTTCCTTTGTCGGTTACCAGTCCATGGTAGTAGTATGCCGCAGCCTGTCAAGTTAAAAACAGAACATAAACAGAGAGTTTGATTTATGAGAGAAGAATATATAGAGATGGAAAAGATGAACCGTATGATCACTTCCCAACATACATACCTTTGCTTCCAGAAACTTCCAGTAGATAAACCGGAGAAGCTTTTTGGCGCATCCATGGCTGACTTCTTCACAACCAGACAAGCAGTGATATGCCTGAAATAGTAATGGGATAATTTACAGGAAATTAATACAGAGATTACAGCCAAAAACCTATGATTGTCCCAAAAGCATCCCCCAAGTAAGAGGATGAAGATTATTATTAAACTACTAGGAGGACCTGAGAGAAGTAGATGACTTGCTCACATGCAAGTCTCCTCTTCACAGACAGTGTTGCTTTCTGGCTATCAACTGCCAATCCAAGTTGAATCTCAGTTCCCTGCAGTGAGATTTAACCATATTTAGTAATTATAACCCATACAAGACTCAGCTTCAGGAGTCACAGTCTCAAAGAGTGTAACCTGGCCAAGTGCTTGGATAGAGAGAGTTTGTATCACGTTCTCATGCATATCATCTGGCAATCTATTTCTGCAGACAGATTTCAAGTTTGCAGATATGTAAGTATAAAATTTATGTCCGGCCTGATCCAAATATTTTCTGTGTTTGTGGCTTCATACTTTATATCAGGAGGGAATCGAGAGAGAATCTCTCGAATGCAGAACTCCAAGTATCCAGACGCCTTGAGAAGCAAGTCAACGGCATCTCTCCTGCAATCTGTTTGAAAGCGACAGAGTAATCAGGTTTTGTAACACACAGCAAAAAGATAAGTGTGAAGATCGAGGAGGACAAACCAGTGGAGACCACACGGATGCCATTGCCAGAATCAGAGCAATCCTTTGGAATCATAAGAGAGTTAGCCTCAGTCAATGCCAATGCAGCCATCATGTGGATCACGGTCAACATCTCCATCCAGAGGTTTGTGAAACATATCTCTGCCTGTATACACCTTCACATTGTTAAGTAGTAACAAAACAAACAAATCCCAAATCCTCAGGATACGATTGGCTTTGAGGAGAAAAAAAAAAAATCTCAAACTTACTCGTCGACCATCTCCAAGGGTTCTCCACTTGAACTCCACGCATCCCTCCATTCCATCATTCTCTATATAATGTTAAATATTCTGATTTATAACACATTAATCTGTTGACTAAAAATCAAAACTTTCGAATCCGTACGTACTTTTCTTGATTAGAATGTTTAGAAGAGACAAATACTCCTCCAAAGCTGTACGCAGCTCAGAGATGGCAGAACCGCCTGCAAATTTTAACCGAAACTTTGAATATGAACCATTATTTCTTAGCAAGCAAGAAAAGCGGAACAAGATTGGTGATTTACTCCACCTGTGTCCTCAGCTACTAACTGAATCTGATTCCTTAGACATGTCAATCGATCGATTGTTGTCTTGGGAGCAACACCTTTGAGTTGGCGCTGAAGATCAGACTGAACAGGAACACGAAGCTGCAAAACAAACACTACGGATTCTTGGATGATCCTCTTCTTGTTCTTCCTTCCCACAACAGCATAAGCAGATGTAGCACAACCCATGCTTTTCTCTCTGCTATGCTTTTTGCTCACAACTTATCATCATGGATACAGACATACGCAACATTGACAAATACATAAGCTAAAAAATAAGGAGGTTTTGGAACAACCTGAAGCGGATAGATCCGGATATTGGAAGCTTAAGAGTAATATAAAAAGGAAAACCTGTGGGAGAGAATCTCAGATGGCTAATAGAAAAACAGAGGAAGCATGTGAAGGAAGGTTGGTTTGAAGGTTCCAAAGAATGATGGGGAGAGAAGAAGTTGGAAACAGATTTACTTAGGTTTCAGAATTCGATGCAATCCCCACACATGCTCTATATTCAATGGCAAATAAATAGGTAGATACATTATTTAGTTAATCAAAAAAAAAAAAAAAAGGAAAAGAAACGGCACATGCCTTTCGGTTTAATCCAAGTTTTAACTATGTTTCTTACGGGATGATGTGAATTTCAATTCCCACTTGCCTAGTTTTAATTGGCTCTCCGGTTTTTAGTTTTAGTACTTCATCGTTGACTTCTTTCCTTAACTTTCCCGCCACCTCGATTAACCGAATCAGATCAACTCCTTAGTGTATTTTTTTTTTTACTTTGTTTTCTTACTCCAACCAATAAATAATTAGAAATGGAAATGAGATTCTGGAAATAACAAAACCTCTATGTATGCCCTTGAATGAATGAATGAATGAATCGTTGTAAAACATTATTACGTTCTAAGATTTGCAAGTGCGTAGACTTTATTATTAAACGAGATAACTACTAGAATCAAATAAAAAATGTGGCGTGAGAGAAGAGACATGTTAGATTGTGGCAGGAGACAGGCTGTGTGTTACAGTTGATAAATCTTCATTGTTGTTGTACTGTTATCTCTTTTTAACGAAGAAAGAGCTCATTCCCCAGAATTAGTTCCCAAGAATTATTAATTAAAATGGGCCTGACTTTTAAATAGGCCCATTATCAGGTGAAAAAAATTGGGCCCATCATTGACTTTTTGTTTCTCTGAGTGTGGTCAGTGGCGTTTATATCGTCGTCGGAAGGTTTATGAGCGGAGGAAATCAATCGTAGATCTGTTTTCGCATCCGCCTACCAAATTCCAACAATCTACATCGTCGAAGATCACACACCATGGCTATCTCTTTAGCTAAGCTTCTGATCTCCGCTATGGCGGTTTTCATGTTTGTCTCTGCTTCGTTTGCGACCTCGGAAATGCCGTTCCTGGTTGTTCACAAAAAAGCTGCTCTTAACAGGCTCAAATCCGGCGCTGAGCGAGTCTCCGTTTCCTTTGACATCTACAACCAAGGATCCGCGTCAGTTTTCCACCTCTCCTCTAGTTTTTCTTTGTTGTTTTTTTCGCAATCCGTCTGATTTCTCTGTTTTCATTTCCGATCCGATTTATTTTCTGATAGTATATTTGCATGGAGATATTGGCTACTGTAGCATTAGGAAATTATGCTTGAGCTATCCTTAGATCTATTGTATGGAAGAGTGACGTGCCGATGTGTATAAGTATCTAGTGAACGGAAACGCCATTTGATCTGATCTGATCCCCTTTGTTGGCTTGTTCTTCAGAAAATGTTTGAATTTCGTTTTTGAACCTTCGTGTCCGATTTTGAGTTATTTTACGAACCTCCGCTGAATTTTTTTTTTATCTGATCCCCTTGTTCTTCGGAAAATTTTGGATTCTGTTTCTGAACCTTCGTGTCTGACTTTGGAGTTATTTCATGAATGTTGGCTGAAAGTGTTAGATATTTTGGTGTTTGCTCTCAGGCCGGCGTATGATGTGACTCTGACTGATAATAGCTGGGATAAAAAGACTTTTGAAGTTGTTAATGGAAACACTTCAAGATCATGGGAAAGGCTTGATGCGTGAGTTCTTCCTCCTTAATCATAAATGTGCTAATAGCTGCTTTAGCTTTTCTTTTGTCACTAATCTGATATTTGTGTGCAGAGGAGGTATTCTGTCTCATTCTTTCGAACTGGAGGCCAAGGTTAAAGGACTGTTCTATGGAGCTCCTGCCCTGGTTACTTTCCGCATCCCCACAAAGACAGCTCTACAGGTTTGTCATTTATAAACGCCCTTTTACTCTTTCAGTGGAATAAATTTCTTGTGTGCATCTGTAAAGCCATGCATGATCACCTCTCACCTATTTTCAAAACTTTATTATGTAACAAATATCCTTAACTTCTAGCACTCAAAACTGGTACAAGCAACTAAGCTTTGTAAGTTTGTAAACCCACAAATTTAATCTTTCTAGTCATAATTACTTTCTCTTCTAGTGGCCATTGTTTTACTAAAACTATGCTTATGTGATGTAATCATGTATTATGGTTATTTTTGTTTGTAGCAAGCGTACTCAACTCCAATCCTACCTCTAGACATCCTTGCAGACAAACCTCCAACGGACAAGTTTGACCTGGTATATTTAATTTTTTGAGAACTGTTCTTTTCAATCATCTCCTTAGCTTTTTTTTTTTTTTCCCATTTATTGACTTTCATTGTTATCTTGTGTTGTGTCTTGGATGTTGCTTTTGATGCTGCTAAAATAATCTCAGGCCAAGGTAACTCGATGTGTAATTCTCCCTTCCCTATGAAATCATCAAATATAACAGTTCTCATCTCACTGTAATTCAATTGTTGCAGAGGGTGCTGGCAAAATATGGATCACTTGTATCAGTGATCTCCATGGTGGTTTTGTTCATATATTTGATAGCAACACCTTCAAAGTCCAACGCAGCTAAAGCGAGCAGCAAGAAGAAGCGCTAAGTTAGTAAAATGAAGGTGAGAAAGGTTGGTACGGTTCTGTGTTGTGTTTAGCAGTTAAGCACAGTTTCAAAAACTTGTAAGAATTTTATAGAATTAATTTTGGGTTTGCAGAGGACTATTTCAAAGAGTTATTTTGGTTTTGCGTAATAACGTCTTTATAAGAGCATATTTTGGTACTGCCTTCTGCTTGCTATGGTTTTGTGAGTCTGTCTGCATTCTCTTTTGCACGTACTGGCTATCCTTTGGTATATTTGTTTGTTTAGTTTAGTTGCATCTTTCTTTGTATCCTGTTTAATGGTGTAGCCTTATGTTGTGTACAAGCCCCACCTTAATTGAACTTCTTTCAGTTTCGTTCGTTGATTCGGATACTGTCCATTTACGCTATTAGTGATATGCAGACTGGTTAGTGTTCATTTACGCTGTTTAGATCCAGTCTGGTTAGTGTTCATTTACGCTGTTTAAATCCAGTTCTCTTCTTTTGCTTTATGAAAATGATCACGCCCATTACTTTAAATAGATGGTTTGGATCCTTTTTTTTTTTAATTGAAACCAATTTGAGTTTAAACTTAGTATTTACGAATGAACCAAGTATAATGTTTTTTTTAACGTATAGCTTTTCCAATTATCACCACCAGACATAAAAGATTAAAAAAAAAATAAGTCAACGAAGCACACAATTGCTTCAACAACATCGATCGCTTTCCAAAAAAACATTTCTAACTCGTTTAACAACAAATTAGTAACTATCTGTTACCTGTATAACAAAATCTGGAGTAACATAGTAAAAGGCTAGAGTCAGCATCAAAGCCCGTCTAGCTCAGTTGGTAGAGCGCAAGGCTCTTAACCTTGTGGTCGTGGGTTCGAGCCCCACGGTGGGCGATTGGAAATTTTGTTTTCACTCTTCACATTCTATATAATTTTTTTCTTATATTATGTAAACAAAAACACGTAATTATGATACATTCAGAATCCACAACAGATGATTTGATGCTTCAATAATCTGAAACAAAAGCAACATTAGTAAACTCATGACATAGAATAGAAACAGCCAAAAGAGATTTTCAAATGAAACCGAACAAAAGTAGTATAAGTGGGTGTGTGCCCACTCTGTCTATAGAGTTTGTCACTCTCATCTTTTAAAATTACATCACGCAAACAAAAGTGGACAAGAAAAAAACAATAATAGGGAAAGAGTCTGGGGTGAGTGAGAAAGAGGGTAAGAGTACTATCCTGAATTCAGGAACACAAATTTCAAAAAAAAATGACCAAGTTGGGAATTAGGAGGATGAGCTCACTCTTCCTCATTGCCATACGTTTCTCTTATTTTTTCAAACAAAAATCCTAACTTTTATCATCATCATTTTTAGGCTTCAGCAGCTGCGATGGCAGGGGCCGGAGGGGCAGGAGCAACACCACCGGTGGTAGGCCTGCATCAAATTAAAAGCATGAGAGTTTGCACTTTTTAAGGTATTGAGGACGGAAAAAGAAATGAGGAGAGAGGATCTTACAGGCCAACAAACACTTTGAAGGCATCGTACAATCCCCACTGTGCTCCAGTCAATGTCCCTATCATCACAATTCTTAGAGGCAGCCCTCTTGTGAACAGTCCCAAAACTCCTATCTTCTTCACCGCCTGCAACAATTTCATCACATCAGTTGAATATCAATCTTCTCGACACATAAGTCAATACCTTCCTTTGTATACAACTACAAAATGCAACCATCCTAGTTTTTGGCTCTTGTATTCAATAAAAGAGAAGCTTATTTTCAAATTGTGTTAGATGAAGACATAGTGACTTACATCTCCGACGGTTGCTCCCTTAGCGTTGTTGAGGAACGACACTAGATTATCTGCTGGATGAGAAACGATTGCACAGAACACTCCAGCAACGTAACCTCCTGCAAAACTCACTCCGAGTTGCAGACCTTTGCTGCACTGATCCTTTGGGTTGGGGATTGCGTACTTGTATATCATCTCAACAATGGTCTCAAACGAAGCAAACTTCATCATCGTGTCTGTCACATTTGAAGATATCATCAACACACGTTACTTTAAAGAATCATCTATGCTTCCTGACCAAAAAAAATAGAGTGCAACAGGTTGCATAATCGAGGCCAGAACTTACAAGGAATCTGACGTCCCCAGAGTGGACCAAGACCCTTATACAAGCTGCAGAAAAACAAGAAATCAGACACAAATGGCTAGCTGTAACGCGGGAAAGAAAGCTATTAGTATAAAAAATAAAACTCACCCTCCGTATCCTTCGGACTTGATAAACTTAGGAAATCCATCAGACATTCCCCTGGCAAATCCAGGCTGTGTCTGAACCCGGACCTTCACAGCTTCAAATGGGCAGAGTGCAACATCGGCAATGATTTCAGCAGAAGCAGAACCAGCAAGGTAGATGAGGGTTTTGTATTTGGCAAAGTACTCAGGTCCAGCAAGATCAGAATAGTATTTCTTAAAGTACTCGTAGAACCCAAACTTGCAGGCGCCCTGAGCACTGTAACCCAACAGAGTAGGGACCCATCCACGGAAAAATCCTTTGACTCCTTGCTCTTTCAACAAAATTCCAAAACCAGAAGAGATACTCTTGTACTTTGCCGGATCAATCTGGATGGCAAGGAATATAAGTATCGCAAGACCAAGTTAGTGAATCAATCCACAAATAGAACGTCAAGTCAAATTTGGAAAGAACGCTCAACTAACCAGAACGTGTATAGGATGATTGATAGAGAAACATGTATACGCACGTACATCACATCCAAGAAGAAACAAAAAACAGATACACGCGAAGGAGCAATAACAAAATGGAAATGGATGGACGAAGATACGTATAACAGAGAGAAAACAATTCTTCAAATAACAAAGTGCAACGTAAAACAAAATGATAAGAACAGGTACAGGCTTAAATATCAGTCTTGAGAGAAAATCAGATCACGGATTTATCCAACACAGAAAACAAGGCTAAAACGTAGATCTCAACACCTGAGCAACAGAGGGACACGAATCGGCGAAAATGAGTCCGCAATAATGGATCTATGGATGCATACCTGCATATTGCACTTGACGAGATCGAGAGGGGTAACGGTCATGTGAGTCAGACCACAGCTGAGAACTCCACCGAAGGTACAGGCGGCGTAGAAGGCAGGTGAGTACATCTCGATCCCCTTCCCTGGCTCCGTGGGAGACGCAATGAGGAAATTCTTCTGAGAAATCATCGTCGTCGGCGAGGAACGGGCGGCCGGAGAAGGAGATTTTTCGAGATTGGAGGATGCGAATGCAGCGTTGGAGTTGGAATTCAGCACCTGATCGAGGAGAAAAGATCTCGGCGATGAAGAAGAGGAATAGAGGAAGCTAGGGATCAATGAATGCTTCGGCGATTCCATCGCGGCGGAGAATGGAGGAAGGAGATAGCGTAGGAAATGAGCACGGTGGTGATGTCCGATCTCACGCTTGCCAAGAAGAAAAAAAGAACACCAATGATATTTCTCTCGAATCTCGGCTCTTTATTGGGCAATTGGAATCTAATGAAACAAGGCATATACTATGCAATAAATCACGAAAGTACCATTGTAATATTTTCTATTCTGTTACCTGTCATGGCCCATGGGCTTTTCAAGGGGCGTAAATCCGTTGACCCATTACAAAGGCTATGCAACGAACTTTTCCAATTTTTATTTGTTTATTTTGTTGGAAAATGAAGTTCTAAAACCCTAAATCTCCAACGAGAAGAGGAAGAAGCTCACGCCGACAGTCACCGTCGAAAGGGGTTCTGCTCGTCAACGTTGTAAGTTGTCTCATGTTCCTTCAGTGTAATCAAACTTTGAGTTCTATCCAATTGAAAGTAGTAGGTTTTGTAGTAATCTTCACCGAAATTAGAGCTCAATTAAGCTCTGTTTTTTTCCCAATAGATAACGAACTTGGGTGCGAATCTTATCGTTGTTCATTTATGCAGCAGTAAATTTGTGGAATTGAGCGATGAGCATGTTATCTCAGAATGCTCCGAAAAGTAAGGTTAAAAGAGAGAAGTCCAAGAAACAGTACATAGATGTTGAGGATGGGAAAGACATTGGGTCGGACGGTGACGCTAGGGGTAAGAGAAGAAAGATGGAGGAGGAGAAGCAACAAGAGTTGGAGCAAGTCGAAATGAAAAAGCTTGAGAATATGTTATTCGGGTCTCTCTACTCCCCTGTTACGTTTGGTAAGGAAGACGACGATGAAGAAGCAGATGGTTCTGCTTTGTTTCATGTTGACCGGTCTGCTGCGAGGCAAACTCCGGATTACGAAGACGATGATGATGAACAACTTTCTGATGAAGAGAAAGGTCAAGCGAAGGGAATTAGAAAAGGAGAAGCTGCTTGGGAGGATGAAGAAGAGAAAGAAATAAACATTAACATATCTACTGTTAACCGTCTGAGGAAGCTAAGGAAAGAGGAAAATGAGGGCTTGATCTCCGGGTCTGAGTACATTGCGAGGCTGAGGGCTCATCATGCTAAGCTAAACCCTGGAACAGATTGGGCTCGGCCTGATTCACAGATAATTGATGTAGAGTCTTCAGATGATGAATACCACCATGGAGAAGTCGATGATGATATCCTCCGAACAAATGAAGATCTTGTGGTGAAGTCTGGTGGTACCAAGCTGTTTCCTGGTGTTCTTGAGTATTCAAAACTCGTGGATGCCAATGCAGCCGATCCTTCAAACGGCCCAATAAACTCTGTCCACTTCCATCAAAACGCTCAGCTGCTTCTCACTGCTGGGTTGGATCGACGTTTGAGGTTTTTCCAGATTGATGGAAAGAGGAACACCAAGATCCAGAGCATTTTCCTCGAGGATTGTCCCATTCGTAAAGCGGCTTTCTTGCCCAATGGCTCTCAGGTCATTGTCTCAGGGAGAAGAAAGTTCTTTTACAGCTTTGATTTGGAGAATGCAAAGTTTGACAAAATAGGGCCTTTGGTTGGTAGAGAGGAGAAAAGCTTGGAACATTTCGAGGTTTCACAAGACTCTAACACCATTGCTTTTGTGGGCAACGAAGGTTACATCTTACTTGTGTCCTCAAAAACAAAAGAGCTGACCGGAACCCTAAAGATGAACGGTTCAGTCAGGTCCTTAGCATTCAGTGATGATGGGAAGCAGTTGCTGAGCTCAGGAGGTGATGGGCAAGTCTACGTCTGGGATCTGAGAACAATGAAGTGCTTATACAAAGGCGTGGATGAAGGCAGCACGTGTGGCACTTCTCTTTGCAGTTCGCTAAACGGAGCATTGTTTGCCTCGGGAACAGACAGAGGGATTGTAAACATTTACAAGAAATCTGAGTTCGTGGGAGGCAAAAGAAAGCCGATAAAGACAGTGGACAATCTCACTTCCAAAATAGACTTCATGAAGTTCAACCATGATGCTCAGATTCTAGCTATAGTCTCTACAATGAACAAAAACAGCGTAAAGCTGGTCCATGTTCCGTCCCTAACCGTCTTCTCAAACTGGCCTCCGCCAAACAGCACGATGCATTACCCTCGCTGCTTGGACTTCAGCCCCGGAAGTGGCTTCATGGCCATGGGAAACGCTGCCGGAAAAGTTTTGCTGTACAAACTGCATCATTACCAGAATGCTTGAAGAAGTGGGGCAGTTTAGGGATTGTTGTGTCTTTTTGTCGCATTACTCTTCTGTTATCAATTTTACTTATAAACATTTTTGGATCAATGGAATATTTTCTTTCTGAATAATGGTAGTATGGTACTGAGTGGGCCAAGTCTTTTCGCACGTTATGTCAATATCAACACTATTTTGGTATCTAAAATAATTGTAGGAGAAGTAGAAAAATGTCGTCATTGTTTCACTAATTAAACACACCTCCACAATTTTTAGTGGCCTACCCGAAGCCGAAAAGGTATCTTTAACCAAAGACCATTGAAAATGAGGAGATTCAATCTGAACCGTCCATTCTGGGAAGGGCAAACAAAGCAGTGTTGTGTCTCACGTTCTCTAATTTTGTCTTAAGCCGCGTTTTTCACTCCGTAAAACAAACGAACATTATTTCCTTCGGAACCTGGCCGGCGAATCCGACCGGTCGTTTCAACGGTGTCCGAAGGAACTCAGAGGAAAGTTCGAATTTTTATTTCTTTCTGCGCAGATCCAGCTTAGGTACTTGTCTACATTCGTCGTCTTCCTTTGGCTGCTCCTCTTCTCGGAGTTTGCTCTTTCTTGTCTTTTTTTGTGCTATTTTCTTTTTCAATTTCTCCAGTGATACATTATTTCTTGCATTTGAGTGATAAAGAATCACCATTTTACACATTTTCTGGTTTCTATCCTTCACATTCTTAATTATAACAGATCCATTTCGGTTTGACTCATTCAAAAGAACTATACTAGTGTTCCTCTTATAATGGTTGCGTGTACAAATGGTTGTTTGGTTTGATTGAAAAGTAGTCGTCATTTGCCTCTCCTAGTCAACTTACATACTAGTTAGTTGAAAAAAGTTTTTCATAATCATTCCTTAACAGTCTTTTCACCTAATTGATAATCATAATATATTTAGATCCCATGAGAAATAATTTTTTTTTCCTTATTCATTCTGTTATCTTGAAAGTTGCATCCTTCCAGGTTCCCACATTAAACAATCACAGCTGTGCCATTCGTCGAGATCACAACACTCAGTTTCTGAGTCTTAGCAAGCTTCACTATTGAGTAAATGACGGCTTCATTGCAGTTGTACGGAGTTCAAGCTCCAGGGCTTGCTTTAAGTTCAAAGAGGCTTGAGTTTGGCACGAAGGGGATTAATTTTTCAGCTACCCTGACCTCAAGTTGTGCAATCTTTAGAACCGTCGAGCGTTCTTGTAGGAATACAGCTTTGAGAGTTAGTTGTGAAGCTGCGAGAGTCGATTTGCTTGAAAGAAAAGAAACGGAGACATGCAATTTAAGCGGAACTGGCAAAGAGCTGACATGTGTCATGAAATTTGGTGGCTCATCAGTGGCATCAGCGGAGAGAATGAAAGAAATTGCCAATCTTATACTCAGCTTTCCCGATGAGAGGCCTGTTGTTGTGCTATCAGCAATGGGGAAGACGACTAATAAGCTTTTGACGGTAATAAATGTTAATTTTTTCTACTGATTTCTGATGATGTTTCTGTTATCGGTAGAGTGAAATGTTTTCTTGGCTTTTGGCTTTCACTAGGCTGGAGAGAAGGCTGTTACTTGTGGTGTCACTAACGTAGAAAGTCTTGAAGAATTGAGCTTTATAAAGGAACTCCATTTAAGGTTAGAGAAAACAATGTTTTGTCATTTATATTTGATCGTTTTCTAGTGTTCACTGTCCAAAATAAAAAATTCTCATGGGAAACAAAACTCTCTCTGTCCAGAACTGCTCATGAGCTTGGAGTGGAAACAACGGTTATTGCAAGTAAGTGCCTTTTTTCTCTTTCTCAATGCTTGAAAATTGAAATATTGACGTTTTCCCTAATTGCAGTTTCTGAATTTTGCTTTGCTCTATCAGTCAAATTTTCGTTTCTGAAATCCATTTTCTGGTTAATCCATTTGTAGAACACCTAGAAGGACTACATCAGCTTCTGAAAGGCATATCAATGATGAAAGAGTTGACCTCACGTACAAGGGACTACTTGGTTTCATTTGGAGAGTGCATGTCCACGAGGCTTTTCTCTGCGTATCTCAATAAAATTGGCCACAAAGCGCGCCAAGTATGCTGCTTTATAATACCCTGATTTTCATATGATCTTGCGATTTATAGATTACAGCACTCGTTAAACAGATTAAAGAAAGTTGAGAGCGTGTCAATACTCACAACTATGTACACTCTAATCCATGATTTAATGACGTATTCGCTTGTCATTGGCAGTATGATGCATTTGAGATCGGATTTATCACCACAGACGACTTTACAAATGCTGATATACTTGAAGCGACATACCCTGCTGTCTCGAAAACACTACTTGGCGATTGGAGCAAGGAAAACGCAGTCCCTGTTGTTACTGGCTTCCTCGGAAAGGTTTATATTTTTCTGACTGTTTCACATCATCTTATTCTCGTGGATCCAAAAGTATGTAGTGCAAAACTCTTTGTTCCCATCTATTCTATACAGTGGAATAGGTTTTTGCTCATGAATTATTTTGCTCATCGTGTCAAATTTCAAAACTTCAATCTCTCATATGTGGTTCTGCAGGGATGGAGGTCTTGTGCTATAACTACGTTGGGTAGAGGTGGTAGTGATTTGACGGCCACGACGATTGGGAAAGCGCTAGGACTGCGGGAGATTCAGGTAATTGATAGGTTTAGCCAAGATTGCATCATGAAGATGGCATTTTGTTAAGCAAAGATTTCTTTTTCTCTGGCGCAGGTTTGGAAAGATGTGGATGGAGTTTTGACTTGTGATCCTAACATATACCCTGGAGCTCAATCTGTTCCATACTTAACGTTTGATGAGGCAGCTGAGCTAGCTTACTTTGGTGCGCAGGTAATCTCGTATATTATCTATGCTAATGAGCTACTTTGTGTCTGATTGCTGAGCATATTCCTCTTCCATGGCAGGTGTTGCATCCGCTGTCCATGAGGCCAGCAAGAGATGGCGACATTCCTGTGAGGGTCAAGAACTCGTACAACCCAAATGCTCCAGGAACTGTCATCACCAGATCAAGAGACATGAGTAAGGTTCGTGAAACAAGAGTGTTTGTAAACTCATTATATAAAAACATCAATGACCTCTTCCCTCTCCTTAAAATCCTTGTAGGCCGTGCTGACAAGCATTGTTCTGAAACGTAATGTGACCATGTTGGACATAGCGAGCACCCGTATGCTCGGCCAGTATGGTTTCCTTGCGAAGGTAATATAATTGGATAATGATATCTTTATTCTACTTTGTTTAATAACTCACTGCAAGAATACATACTGTCCTTGTGCAGGTGTTTACTACATTTGAAGACTTAGGCATATCGGTAGATGTTGTGGCAACAAGTGAAGTTAGTATTTCTTTGACACTGGATCCAGCAAAGCTCTGGGGTAGAGAGATAGTTCAGCGGGCAAACGTAAGACTCGTTTTACTCTGATGTATATTTTGTTGTGTGAGTGATATGTAATATTGGTAAAATGATTGGGTGTGAGTAGGAGCTGGATCATGTGGTAGAGGAGCTAGAGAAGATTGCTGTTGTGAAACTGCTTCAGCGCAGATCAATCATTTCTCTCATTGGAAATGTTCAGAAATCCTCACTTATATTAGAGAAGGTGACTTGTGTTTCTCTTTAAGTTTTGAAGTTGTTGTGTTTTTAGCAGATTATTTAATGTGAATGGAATGAACGACAAAACAGGTGTTCCAAGTACTTAGAAGCAATGGAGTGAATGTGCAGATGATCTCGCAGGGTGCATCTAAGGTTGAAATCTGCTGCTACTTGTATATCTGTTTATATATAATGATAAATTATGGTTTTCTAATGAATGGAGAGGCGTGTGTATCATCAGGTAAACATCTCACTGATAGTGAATGATGAAGAGGCTGAGCAATGTGTGAGGGCTCTTCACTCCGCTTTCTTTGAGACTTCTTCTTAATGCAACACAGAGCTAAGAATGTGTCTTAAGACTTGGAACAACTTCACATTCTTTTTGTTCTTGTTGGTCTTGTTGTTGTTGTGATACAATAACATAATTTGAACCAGATTTAATCGTCATCAGTAATGTTATCTTACAACAAACATGACTTAACGGTCAACAAAAAATTTATTCAATTTAAAAAAGCCAACAAAAAAAGGAATAAGGAATGTGGAAAAGTGGGCGTCAAAGACTCAAGGTGCAGGCTTTGAATGAAATGAAAAAACAAAACAAAACCATTTCTCGTATATCCGAAAATACCCTTCCTCGAATGCATATGCACCTCACAGTCGCTTGCTCGCTCCAGGGATATAATTGACCGATTGACCACAAAAAAAAACCGACCGACCAGCTGGTCAACAAAAAATACACATCTGATGACATCTGTTACGTAAGGTTTCTGTAACGACCTTCGATTTATTTTTAAATATTAAAGTGGTCCGACAAACGCAATCCCTCAAGATTGTTTTTTAATTTATTTCTTTATTTACTACCACCTTAAGAACAAAGATTTAGTCTAAAATAAATCAGCTTTAGTTATTCACCAAATCTAAAGGAACCAATGAAGGGACATATAACTCTTCGGACTCACTTAAACCATGTCATAATAATCCTCTTTTCTTTTATTAAATAAAAAAACCAGAAATGTGATCAGATAGATGAAAAAATGAATAATTTACGGAGCTTTATTCATATAGAATCGATGATGGGTGACTCTATATAGCAGATTGGTACCTACAAATTTCGTAACAAGTTGTTTGTGCTGTCAACAAAAATATTTTTGTTTTAGCTTTTTTTTTAGAGGGGTTATGTTGGTCAAACATGAGAAACAAGAAGGCAGAAGCATGCATGGAAGCCAAAAAGGCATGTGACCAACTTCGTAAAATTCAACCTTTTTTCAGGCTTTTAGTGAACTTATCTATAATCTACAATATATGAGTTTTATGACCTAACAGAACTTGCAACTTTTAATAATTAATGCTAAATAAAGAAAAAGATGCTAGCAAGAACATGCCAACTTGTAGTTTCCATACATCAAGAACACTGACATTCTGATCGTAGCAAGTAAACGCTGGTTGTAACTATATCACAATCCATAGTGTCTTCTCTTTAAAATTAAAGTTCATTCCAAGAATATCAATGATGAGTCCTTTATTTCTTTTTTGTAATAACATTGCTCTATTTTCTATATTATATTGTGCTAAGAATAAATGTTAAACGAAATTCGATCCTAAAAAAAATATATTCCAACTCATATATATATACACATATGTCTAGCTATATGTGTAGGATGCTCGATCTAGATGGATTACATTCAAAACAAAATATTCCATATCCTTTTATGATCATAATGATATTATATGTAGCTTGTTTAATTATAGAGATTGATTAATTAGAGGATTTGAGCATAACGTGAAAATGGAATATAATAGAAACCACCGGCCATATCCAAACATTCGACCTCATCTCAATGTTACGACTTGCTCACATAATGTTGGCGGCATCAAAGTCTTATTCGGCGCATCTCTGTAAAATTATATTGAATATTTGATCTCTTTCACATATATTATTGGACCATTTATATACACGTAAAATACATGGACCAATTTTGTAAACAATAGTTAGTGTAACGGTTTAAGACGTTATTTCAGTAAAAGCCGACAAGAAGGATGGATAACTACTACCAAGAATTCCCTAATTCTACTAACCTATTTAACTGAAAAATATCTAAAAATATTCGACTTTTCATCTTGTTGGAAAAAAAAATGAAAAAGAATATATAACTTTAAAATATCATATCATTACGAAAGCTACTAACAACCATGGCTATCACATCAATTACTTTGTTATCATTTGGCATATTAAAAATAAATAAATAAAAAAGGATCAACCAATTAAATGTAGAACTCTACCTTCTATAAATAGTCTGCATGTCTAACAGATCTCTCCCCAAACCAACTCACACTTTCTCTCACTCACTCTCGCTCTCTTTCTCCCTTTCTCTCTTTCTCTTGGAGAAAAACAAAAATGCAATACAAATCAGAAACTCGGGGCTCGTTGTCATACAACAAGGTGAACAGCAACATGGGAGTGTTTCCGTCAGAGACTCTGGTGAGGATAGAGTCTATGGCGGCAGAAAATGCGGTGGTTATATTCAGCGTGAGCACTTGCTGCATGTGCCACGCCATCAAGCGTCTCTTCCGCGGAATGGGAGTCAGCCCAGCCGTCCACGAGCTCGACCTCCACCCTTACGGCGTCGATATCCACCGAGCTCTCCTTCGTCTCCTGGGATGCTCCAGCGGCGGCGGCGGCGCCACTTCTCCGGGGGCACTTCCGGTCGTTTTCATCGGAGGGAAGATGGTAGGATCAATGGAGAGAGTGATGGCTTCACATATCAATGGCTCACTTGTCCCTCTTCTTAAAGATGCTGGCGCTCTCTGGCTATGATCCCAAAGTCCACCTTCTTCTTCTGTGTATCTTTCTTCTTTACTTTTTTTGTGTTTAAAGAACAAAACAAAAAGAGAGATTAGGTTAATTATATAGTGTTGAATTAGAGATAACTAGTGAGGGGAGAAGTCAGAAGAGTGGTGCGTTTGTTTTAAGCTTAGCTCTTTGTCTATCTTAATCACACTACTCAATATATGTGTTTAATTAACTAATCTTTTGTCTCTGCTTAGCTTTCTTTTCTTTAATTTTCCAATTAGGACAGTTGATTTGGAAAATTTACTGGTCAAATTAAGACAAGAATAAGGTTTTTTTCATATGACCTAAAATCTTAACCGTAATAACTGTTAACTGTGATGCCTCAGGGGTCCCCACAACCAGATTACGTGGACACCCACCAGCAATAATTCGTGATTTTGACCCGACCGTTGCGTCGGATATGAGCTCTTTATTCCGTACATGCTGAATTGCTGATCGAATGCTTCACAATTTTTTTTTTTTTTTTTTAACATAATTATAACTTCACAGATTTTTCAGCTATGAATGTATAACCCGTTGCTCTTTTGATCTAACTTTTGAAGTAAAAATGGAGAATAATTTCTTTCTACACACTTTATTCACACCAATCAAATTGATTAGAAAACTACAAAGGCCACATTTGCTGATTTAGAAAGGTTTCATTTGGCATTTTACTTCAATAGCATTTTAAAGAGTTCACCATGGAAACAAAAGAAGAAGAAAAAGAAGCTAAATTGCATTTATCGTATGAAAATTATTCATTCGAATATTTCTTACATAGACAATATAACGACTTGTAACTTTATACAGTCACCTAGAGATTGGTTACAACCTATAGGAATAGGATCTACACAGAATAAAGGGAAAAACACAACTGAGGGAATCTAATTGCTAAAGGCTAAAGCCTATTGGTGTAATTATGTGTGCTCAAGTGCATGAATAAACGGAAGAATGGAATCAGGATCAGATGATGAACAGAAAGACGCTAACAGGTCAGAAGAAATGGTGTGAACAAGAGATGGCGATACCTCTTTGATCCATTTCATATGTCTGATTCCAATCTCAACCTCTTTCGCGTCAGCCACACATTTCAGCAACACTACATGTGCACCTGTGTGTTCTAAGTGTTCTCGCTTGCGCAGCAGCTGCGATGCCTCAGCAAAATGGCCTACACACACAGACACTAAAAGAATCAGGCAAAAATTGATTTAAGGCAATGAAAAAGAAAACTAGAAGACATGATTGTTCTCTCACCATTGCTGCATAGATTTAAGACAAACGTGCTCAATACCCTTCTCGCAACTGTTTTATCCCTCTCCATACACTTTTTGAAGACTTCCAAAGCAGCTTCAAGTTTTGTATCTTTGCATAGGCCTTCAATGAGAGACGTATAGATTGTTTCATCTGGTTCTATCCCTTTCTCAAGCATCTTCTGAAACAGCCTCAAAGAGTCCTCTACCTCGCCTTCCTCTGACAATTTCTTGATAAGTACATTGTACGTCGTCAGATTCATTCTGCAGCCTTCTACAAACATCTCATCCCAGAGTTTCTTCGCTGGACGGATCATTTCCGCTCTGCAACAAGCTTCAATGAGCGCATTATAGATTGACACGTCTGGATCAAGCCCTTTCTTCTTCATTTCGTGCAGAGCACTGTAACCTTCTCTGACTCTCCCGGCCTTGCACAGGAACGATATCATCAGACTATAACTCTCAAGCTCTGAAAAATAACCTTTGCTTGACAAAAGCTCATAAGCCTTTATCAGATGGTCGCTCTTGTCGTGCCGGCAAAGATTCTTACTCAACTTGCTCAGAGTCCGAATTGCAGGCAATTTCCCTGTGTTTATTACCATGAAATTTAAGAAGCCAACAGCAGAATCTGGATCGACTGCAGAGACTGATCCGATTAACGAGTCTAAGATATCATAATCAATGGGGAAGTTTCCACTCACAATCACCTCAGCCACTTCCTTGGCCTCCGTTAATCGCTTTGCGGAAATCAAATCCACGATGAAATATCTGTAATCGCTGCTCCTGGGTGCTACTCCAAGCTTTCTCTTCTTCTTCAGGACGACCTGTCTCTCGTAGAGATTCCCAGTTAACACAAACGCTTCAGCTATGATTCTATAGGCCATAAAATCCGGTTTGCAATCTATGTTTCTTAGCTCTTCCAAAATGTAGAAAGCTTCCATCTCTCTAGAAGATTTACAAAGACCATGGAGAATCAACAGTGCAATAATGGAGCCATTGATGTTCAAGTTAGCCTTTTTAACCTCATCCACCGATCTCAAGAGTTGATTCGTTTCGGAACTCCTACAGAAACTTCCTATATACACGCCGAAGCCAAGAGTATTCAGAGAAATACCTCTTTGGCGCATTTTAACAAACAGTTTCTGAGCATAATCAGAATACCCATCAGAAGTCAGAGCAGCTAAAAGACGATTGCATACATCGGGATGAATCTCCCGACCCGTCGAAAGAGCTTCTTCTAAAACCCAGAACGCGCTCTGAGCTTTCCTACCCAGCAGAAGCGCATCAATGAGGGAGCGATACACGGAAGAATCGAGGAGGATTTTCTGCGATTTGACCTGTTTGAAGAGGGCATCCATGGCGGAGAACTGTCGAGAAAGCGAAAGAGACTTGAAGATAGAGTGATAAGAGAGCGAGTCGTGAGAGTAACCCGGTTGCTGAGCGGCCCAATTGAAGAACCCGAGAGCGAGGGAATGGTGGTTCAGGAGGAACGGGTCAATGACTCGAGCCACAAGCAAAGGACTTACCGAGTGACGAAATCCGAGACCGTGAAGACTCTGTTCAACCGATGGACTCCATGTTCGGGCCGAGCGAGAGCTTCCAGAAACTTTTAGAAGCTCCCGGCCGATCCTCACCGCGAGCTCCGCCGCTGGTCCCATGGTCGGAGGGAGCTCCTTGGATAAAACGGTTTAATTAAGGTCACGGCGGAGAAGGTGACGTCACCCATTTCAGGTCGCTGACAAGTTGGAGAAGAAGCACAGAAATTAGTGAACCAGTCCATTAGTTAGCAGTCAAACTCATACTGGCCCAGTCCAATTTGTGACTTGTAATTACCCAAAATTACAACGTTCCATCCGAGATTAATCCTGCCTCTCTTTATTTATTTATTTATTTGGACAAACCTGCCTTCTCTTTATTTTACTACCCATTTTTGGCCTTTAAAAATATCTGTTAAACCCCATAAATGTCGTTAAATTAAGAGAAGTATCTTAAAATTTTTGTTGACGTATTTTCTATAAATAAAGAATTTACATGGACCGATATTTATTCCTCTGTATCTAACCGATATTTTAGGTTAGGTTAGATACAATTCTGGTGACGACAAAAACAAAAACAAACAATTTTGGTAATTCTTTTTTTTTTGGTCGAACATTTCTGGTAATTCTTTTTAAAAACTTTTTCAAATTTGTCCCAGTAAACCAAACCCGATTACTTCTCTTTCGACTCAGCTTCAAATTACTTAATTTGGCTCTGGAGAACAGCACCAGTGCACCCACTGGATGTAAGCCTAGATGTAGCCTGAAGAGAAACAGAAAAGTTATTACTTCTTTAATGGTTTTTATTATTTTTAACTTGAAAAAGAGTATAGAATAATATCGACTTCTGAAGTCTGATGTAAAAAGGAAAGTGAAAATGTTGTATATCATACCAAAAGAAGATATGATTGAGGAACAGGAAGGGAAACTGACAAAGAAGAATATCGACTTATCCACGTGAATCAGACATAAGATGATCACATTCTAAGAAATAAGAAAAGATAATGAAGTAGGAGAAATGGAAGTGACTCCAAATTGCAAAATTTAGCATTTGTAAGTTTATTTAAATCTGGAACAAAAGCGTACTGCTTCCCTCTTGGTCCCCATACCCATACTATCTACTTCTGTTTGTTCCTTTGTCCCTTGTTCCTTTGTTTCACCCCCTAGATGCTTCCTCCTTTTTTGCTTTCCCATTTTCTCTTTTTTTTTCCTCATCTTAATCTCTTTGTATTTGTTCCCGCTCACCTAATCCAATCTTATCAAACCTAATCCAATCTAATCTGCATTGTCTATGGTGTTTCCATAGGTTCATAATTCATGGTCCAGTCCTAGCAAGTTCTTCCTACTTGATCTACCAAAAACGATGTGCTTCTACGGCTAAGGAAACTGGTATAGGATATAACTAATAAAGGAGAACAAACCCACTGCATTACAAGTTGTAATATTTGGATGGAACAAAACATTTAAGCCAAACTACAGTACCTGATGTCGTGGACAGCTTCACTTGTCTGAATCAACTAGTACTAAAGCCTTCGTTTGTTTTGTCACGGAGCTCCCATATGCTTCCTGGATAAAGCACTTCTTTCTTTACTTTTCTGCAGGATGGTCATCATCTATATTTGCGTTTTCTTCTTGTCGGACACAGCCAAGTCAACAAAAGCAGTGTACTCTTTTCATTGAAAAGCGTTTCAACATAATGCACCCTCAATCACTCCAAGTGAACTAGGAGCCAGAACTGCTTGTTGTTTCAAAGTTTACAGTTCTTCTATAACCAACACAAAATGAGTTTGTACCATCCAGTCACGTTGGCTATGTAAGTAGATCTCAAACACAATGCATATTCCCTTCTAGCGCACAAGAGATGAATGGCTTATTGTATCGCAATTTGCGGGAAAGAATGTCTAAATTTAAGGTCCACACAGCACAAAGCAATAGCAAAAATACATTTTGCAGCCACTGTTTATGTAATGCTTTATTTTCCAAATGGCTTGTGAATTTAGTATTAATAGCTCATGAACGTGCCACATAAAAATCAAAGATCAAATAGCAATACCTGAGATGATTGATGATTGTAATTACGGATAGCTACTCCACCAATGAATTATCAAGTCATAACCAGAACAGTAGACTCTGTAATGGCCCTCCCAACTTGTTTTTGATGTGATCTTAAAGAGAATGGCCAACCAAAATTTTGTAGCTTTCTTGGTGTTGGTCTCCACTGTCATCAACCTAAAAGTTTCAAGATACTGTTAACAACCAATTCACTGCTATATGAAGAGCTTTCAAGCAATCATAGTTCTCTATAAAAGTCACTTTCTCCTCTAGTATTGTGTGGCAACTGAATTTTGAAAATGAAGGTACGTTCCATATCTACAAAAAAAAATTACCTAAACTGTAGCTCACTTACCAAAGCTTATTTTCTGGCAGTTTTGGGGCTGGATGCATCATAAGTTCCGAGAGAATAGCAAAGAGCCACTGAAAGATGCTACAACTGGTAATGACGTACTTCTCTAATGCTTCTTTTTCCTGTCAAATATGTAGGAACAAGAATAGGAGGTGTGTTGAATTCTAGGAGAATAGACTTAGAAAGCATTTCTGAGCCTCGTAATTATCTCACTACTTTAACCATCCATTTCTAGAAAGGTAGACTGCTTACCAGATAAAAGACTAGGGTCATGTGCTTGTGTGCAAAGCAATGTGATGGGAGTCAGCTCAGCTAGCTAAATAAAAAGATCACCCACTTAAATTGATTACACCAACTTTGTCTTTGGCCGTCAAATTTGTAAGTGACAGAAGCTAAACCAGACATCTCTCGCTAGCGAGTATCGTCCAATACATGTCATGCCTCCACTTACCTGAATGCATCTATTCCCAAACCGCAGTGGCTGTTCTTACTTTTCTAAAATACTAAACAATTTTTCTCTTGGCGTATTAATTCCATTTCAGGTAACAACCATTTCCCCCTTTCAGCTCATCCATCCCTTGATAGCCAAGATGTTTACACCGCAGCATGTGCTGGCTCCAGATACAATACTGGATCCAGAAAGCAGCTTAATATGTTCCAGGAAAGCTCCTTCGCAGGACCCAAGGAAAATACAGAAGAAAACTTCAAGGATGGGAGAAACAGTGATTTCTTTCATGGGTTTCTTGCCATTGGAACCCTTGGTGGAGAAACACTTTTGGATGAACCAGCAACACCAACATTTGGCATGTCATTTGGGGACACAGCAACAGATAATGAAGAAGTGACAGAGAATGATCTGAAGCTCATTAGCAATGAATTGGAGAAGTTCCTTGAGGCAGAAGCTAATGAAGGACACAATCAACCATCAGGAAGGAACAGCGACACTAACACTATTGCATCCACCATTGAGGCAGCTGAGGGACTAGATGCTGAAGAAGATAATCAGCCAATGAAGTTCCCGCTTCAAGAGTATCTTTTTGGTTCTCTAATCGAATTCCCAGAAACAAATATTGCAGGGAAGAAGGAAAGAGCATCGCTTGGAGAACTGTTTCAAGTAACAGAAATGCAAGATAAACATCCAGAAAACAAATGTGGGGAGAAAAAGAAGCAAACCAGTTCAACCCACAAGTCTGCAAAGCATCTTGTGAAGAAGGTACTGAAAAAGCTACACCCAACGTCAAGGATCCCTGCCAATGGTAAAACTGAAGTGGCTTCCACAAAGAAGAAGTTCCACAAGGTGTGGTTTTCTATGCTCTGCTTTTTCAGAACCTATAATCTAAAACGCCTGCGTGATAGATGTTATATCTTGTATACACATAACGATGATTTATCCCATACTTTGATAGCATTTTCTGGAGCAACTCCATAATACCTTTGCAGAATTAGCTATTATGCTCCAATGAAAAGATTGCTTCTAACAAGCTTGAATTTATTGTGAGGAGTGCAGATGGCACAAGTTTTCCATAGGAAAGTACATCCTGAAGACTCCATTATGGAAAGCGAAATATACAACAGCATGGCAGACCCAAAACATAGCAGAGCAAGCTCTATTGGGTTAGTCCCCGCTAAGATGAACCCCTGTCACGAGACAAGTAAAAGATGGATCCAGTATGAGCTAAAAAGTTCACCTTCTGCTGGAAACGGAGAACACTGGATCAAAACAGACGAAGATTGTAAGTTCACCATCATATGCAGTTAATAGATATGTTTGTGCATAAACCCATCTATTTCAAAGAAAGAATGCGATCCTGGTTTACAAGACTAAGTAATTCGAAAAAAAAGTTTTTTGATACACTGCCATTTAGTCATGCACAATTGTTTTTCCTGTGGCCCAACCAGATAATACTAATCCATGATTGCTTTGCAGACTTCGTGTTGGAGCTGTAGCAAAGGGATCAGAAGAAACGAGTAAACTAAGAAGTGTGAGTGTATTATGTCATTTCATACATGTGTGAATTGTGTGGTATGATTAAGGCAAATGTGTTCAAGACTTATTGGGAATGTTCATTATGCCTCCTTTATGTGATAATAAATGGTTACAACTTACAGGGTGTTATAATTGCAGCAAGATATCTCATGCATTCTTGTAAGCATTGATTCAAATCATATTACATGTTTTAATCTCATAAGGGAGACACTGCATGTTGTTTCATATACAAAACTTACATAGGCAATCCACCATAAAGGACGCAACAATAAACATATGCCTGGGTAAACCAACAAATATCAAAAGCGCCCGAGCCAAATCTGGTATGGACCTTCCGCAATAGTGAATATATATTGAACTAAACTGGTGGACGTTCTGCAAGAAGAATACCGCCTGTTTCCATTCTCCATGACTGGTCGACTAAGGATGCTAACTCTCTGCAGCAAGGTTTACACGAAAAATGAGAGAGGAGAAAAGCCGTAGCAGTTTATGTTAAAGGGAAAAATTGAAAATCATCAGTTTTATGAGAGTTCAAACTATTTTAAGTTAAAACGAAAAACTTGGAAAGGATTGTATAAAAATAGTTCAAACAGCTAAAGTATTTGGGCATAGAAAGCGCTGATTCAGTACCCCATACCTTTTGATGAGAAGAAAGAAACTCTATAAAATCACAAACACAGAAGCGAAGAGAAATGATATTTGAGCATACCTGAGGTCATGACTTACAACAAGTAAAGTCAGTTCCTTCTTTAGGTGCTTCAAGAGCTTTGCAACATCTGCACGTGCTTTCCAGTCTGTTTGTAGAGCAAAATTAATGATGAAATAGTATGAGAAAACTTTCAAGTTTTTTCATGCAAAAGAAATGAAATTGCAGAGAGAACGGAAACATCTTCTGTAAGGAATGAGAAGCACAGGAAGGAAGAAGCAGGATGCATCATATTCATACCAAGACCAGCGAGAGGTTCATCCAGGATCAATAAATCTGGAGTTTGCACCTATAAAAGGCATGAGTCATTAGAACAGGTCACACTTTTGAATGCGTAAGAAATCTTTGGACTCACCAATTGAATAGCTAATGCAAGCCGACGCTTGTAGCCTCCACTTAGTAACTGGGGGTCTTTATCAAGTGGGATGCTGTCTAATCCAACCTAACGATTCAAGAAAAAAGCAGCTATAAGACAGATCACTGGACACAATACAACCACTGTCCAAACCAGGAGGAGTGGGGGGTACCCAATTAAATGCTCTCTGGAGGTTCGAGGTCAGATGCTCCTTCAACTGCAAACTACCCTTTTGCCTTGGCCAACCAAAAGTAATTTCATCAAGCACATTATCAGCAACAAAGAACCTGGCCACAACGAAATTGGCCCACGTCAATATCTTCTTGTCATATAAACAGCACAACCAAACCTGACAAGAAATAACAATCACCTCTCTGGAAACTGGAAAACGATGCCCACTTTTCCAGTGGGCAACAACTCAGGATCCGCCTTTGGCTGGCCATCATCCCCATATCTTTGGATACAAATGGAACCTGATGTTGGTTTATTTAACCCAGCAAGAAGCTGCAAAAGAGAAGAAGATGACTCCAAAAGTTGCTAAGACTACAACTCGAAGAAACAGTACCGGAAAGCTGGGTATGATGATTGATGAAATAATGAACCTGTAAAAGGGTAGTTTTACCGCTCCCACTCTTCCCAAAAATCAAGCCAAAACTGCGAAAAGGAATTGAACCTAAAATGCCACCAAAGGGAAGGGAAAACCACTAATGACATAAAGAAACATTGCATTACCTTTTCTCACGGAGAGAAAAGTTAACTCCATTCAAAATATTCAACTCAGTTCCAGGAGGACGGTAGCAGATATCCCTAACCTTGAGAATAAATGAACAAGGCTTAATCACAAACCAATAGATTAAGTTGTATCGTATCAACAACATCCACTCAAACGAGAGAATAATCATTGAACTCAACGGGCATACTTTTCTTTACTTGACATTGAAGAATGAGTAAAGTTTGGAAACCCACCTCGAGGCAAGAATAATCGCAAGAGAGTACCCTAGGCTTCTTCTTCCTGCGAAATCTCAACCTGTCGATAAACCACCGAACCGAAATCACCAGACAGACACGGTGAGAGAATCAACTAGTCACGATAAGAGTAGAAGAAGAATGGAACGATTGTGAAGGTCGTTACGAATTGGCGTACGCTTGCTTCCAGCCAATTGTGGCGGAGAATGATGCTAGTGGCTCAGTGATATCGGAGATAGGCGCGCGGCTCGAAAACGTCGATACTGACATGGTCATCTGTATGAGCTTCGCCAATTTCTCGAACCAAGGAGTTGAAATGTAGAAGAAATTAAAATTCGGAGGAATTCTCAGAAATTTTCAAATCACTGAGGATTGAAAGTGAAAAAAAAAACTCAATTAGGCTTTTTCATTACAACATCCTTAAAATCATCAAAACCATCTAAAATTTTATCCTCTAAGTAATTTACTTTTCATTTTAGTTTTTACCGCGATGGATGAATACATTAAGCTTTCAAGCTATTTTGTTTCATTGAATGGGCTACCCGATTAAACAACAAAAAGCCCATAACCCTGCATTAAAACTGTTTTATTTTTTTTTATTTAGAGAGGTAATGTGTTATACGACATCAAATTGGACTTCAAAAGAACTATTGTGTTTATCGTGAGAAAATTCAAGATCACTGTTGCTTGAAACACTAAAATCTCGGCCTGAAGTGGAGGCCATTGGTGGGATTGATTCTGCTGCTGACATAGAAGAAGACGCAACTTGGTTCGAAATATCTTGTTCAGATTTGGGGACTTGAGGACTTCCCATCCGATGTTTAGCCTCTGAAGCCCGTTGGAAAGCTCTTGCATGGCCTTCTCTGCTCCTTCCTGGGATGTGTATGTGACAGACGCACGGCCTTCCTCGGCCAAGTATCCGATAGATTTGATTTCTCCATAAGCACTGAATTGAAGTTGGATGTAATGCTCAGTACTAGTTTTATGTATCGTATGTCGGAACAAACAAATAGAAAAATACATCATTTCAGCATGAATGAAACTCCAAATTCAGGTAGATGCAAGATTTTGTGAAACACGTGTTTACATTTGTGTAGGCTAATCAGATGGACGTTTGGTGTATGACTGGTACCGTTTTGACAAATAATATATTCAATTCAATGACAACAAATTCTTAAGGTGGGTTTACACGCCAATTGTTGGCTACAAAACTTTGGAGCTCGAAAGACAGATTGTGTTCAAAACTGTTAGTAGCATCATCAACAAATGTTGATAGATTTGCAGGAATTGGTTTTGAGCACAAAGTAAAAAAAAAAAAGGACATTCAGGACTTTGGCTCTACTATGTTGGAATATTATGATTTTTTTTAAAAAAAACTTCTCTTTGCCTAAATCTATATTTATAAAGTTGTGATTCTAAATTAGAATATAAGCTCATATATTCTTCATGATTTCATTTTTACCCAATTCTCTTTCTCTTTTTGCCCTTTTTTGATGATTTTCTTTTTAACTAATTGAACGCTTCGATATTACCGTTGTATGGTATACGGACTAATTTCACATTCTTTGTATCCCTATAGTTTTTCAAACATTTGTTCTATATTCATGATTTAGGTATCCAATTGTAATCCGATTCTCTCAATAACTAATGTTGTTTCAAAGTATTAAAGAAAGATGTCACAGAAAACAAATACAATAACTGCTGCAAAATGAGTAGTTCAATTAAAAATATCAGATATTTAGAACAATCTCTTGGGAAAACGATGTCATTACAAAAGAAGATCCTATGCTATTATTATGTTTCACTTCCAAGAATGCTCAAACGTCAAGAGGTGAGACTTATGACAGAAAACAAAAACCTTTAAAGATAAAACCAAAATTCACAGCTAAGTAGTAGACAATGGTGTTGCATAAAGCCAAGTCCAACAAAGACCCTTCGTGTTAATCCTTCTCTTTTGGAATGTCCTTCCCCGGAACCTTTGTTTCAATCTCCTTTGGTTTTATGGACTGCGCTGCCCTGAAAATCGCATCAAACTCATCATCAGTCACACACATACACACCACTTGATTTGTGTTGCTACAGATCTATCACTAATACCAGCATTGATCAATCACGCTCTTTATCCACACCTATACACACAGTGCCATCACGTCATAACATTATCAATCTTTTCTGTTTTCTCAAGTTACCAAATCTCAGAATAGCCTGATGATCACTACAACTAATAATACTCTGAATTATCTTTAGAACTCCAAATGTCTTTGCTTCGATACTTGGATACAAATTCAACCAAAGAGAATCAATTTGATTATATTGACATCCAGACGACTAGAAATGACTCTAGAATTTTGATTACTTCAAAACTAACTAGCAGCTGCGGATAATTGAAACATAGTACATCCAAAGAAACGAACACAGAATCATAATATCACCAAACTTATATAAAATTCATATATCATAAGCAAAAACTAAGCTTGCTTAGGGTAAATCGAGAAATTAGAGACTAAACCGGTTTGCGAAATTAAACAGCAACTTCGTGAATGTGGAGCTCAAAAGGAATCATGAGAGAGAGTGGGAGAGAGGACTAACTTGGAGGCGGCGGAAGTTTCTTCTTCGAGCCAGTGGCGGATGTGCTTGACGTTGCGCTTGAAGACGGTGGCAGATTGCTTGACGTCGCTCCTCAATAGCATCACGACGGCGCCTACTCCGGCCACCGTCAATATGAAATTCGTCAAACCCATTCTCCGATCAAGGATCCGCAAAATCAGGTTATCAGATTGCACTGCTTCTGGGGTTTAGACGCTAGGGATTTAAGGAGGGCTTATGGTTTTTTACTTGGAGAAGCAGCCAAGGCAGATGATTCGTTCGTTCATCGTGATCTTACTGGTACTAGTCGGTATCCCCTTTTCTATGGGCCGTCGTTTTTGCATATTTTATGACCTCTTTCAGATTATTCAAAGCCCATTTAGCTCGGCAGATTAAAAAGGTCTGTTAATTGTTAACAACATAGGATTATATTTGACTATTTTTTCATGTTGACATAAATTAGAATACACCGTGTAAATTAACATATCTTCCACCAAAGCTAACGTCTAAATTATTTATTCCTTTGATAACCGAATATTTCAATTCGAAATTTCAGACTAATCATTGCTATCGGTGAAATAACCGGATTTTTTTTGTCTTAAAGCAAATTTTATATTGGTGAAGCTGTACTACACTTGACGTGACGATAGCTCGTTCTGATTGTGTGCAAGTTTGGGTCGATAGATACTAATTAATTATCTCTTTTTGTCAATTAATTAACTTGTACTGTATATAGCTTTTCCTTGAATATATTAACATATCTATATCTTCACATGTTGCTTTCGTACGTAACTCGGTCATCAAGTCTACAAAATGCAGTAATTAAAATAGTTTAGGCAATAATATATATACTGATATTGTGATATTTTACTTTAGCTGATTAGTCTTCAACAATTGTATATTATAATTTAGGTAAAGGAATAGTCCATCTCGTCTACGCACATGCTTCTATATCAAATTACCAATGTGGTTCACATATAAGATATGAAATAATTATAGAGGGTAATAAGACAATAAAATAAAATAGAAAGGGGATTCGTTGTAATTCCAGTACAAGTACTTAAGTAGGAATCCAGCCTAAATCAAAGCTGATCAAAAATAATAACAAAAAGACAGGAAATAAAATGCAGCTAGCGATGAGGCCATGAGCTGCAGAGAAATGTTAAATTAATTAGGCAGCGTAGATATGGATATTAAGAGCGATGAGGGAGACTGTGATGCATGCAAAGAAGATGAGAGTGTGAATGACAATGGCTGCGCCGCTTGTCTGAAAACCGCCAAACTCAACCACTTTGGTCTTCCCCGGAAGCTGAAACAATACTCCGGGCGTCAATACGATGAACAGAACCACCGACATTAACACCGGTCCCCAATTCAACGCCATCTCGAATCAATCAGGTTATTGGTATGTATGTAAATTTACGAGTTATATATTGGTAGGATAGCTAATATGATGTGTCTGTTTCAATACACTCATGTTTGTACATTTATAGAATGCTTGAGTCAAGATTGAGATCTTAATGCATCAGTGGCTTGAACCGGACGATATTATGAAGTTTGTAGGGTGAAGGAAAGAACGATTCTCTGCAGCTACTCGATCGAATCAAAACTTTATATTATCATCTTGTCACACTATTTGTTGATTGTTGGGTATGCTAAGAATCTGATTCGATCTCGTGGATGGTCTCTCCCTCTTGTTTTTTTTTTTTAAGAAGAGACACTTGGCCTCTTCTCTTCTGATACAAGAGACATTTGGCCTTTGAGAATTGAGGAGATGCTGTCTTCATCAATGAATTCATAGTAGTAAATTTCTATATATACGCTACAGTAATTTAATTTCTATAAAATAGCGGTTACCCGACTTATTTGAGTACACTATCAAATGGATAAGTTGATCGAATATTAAGGAAACGACATTATTCGCCAAAAACAATGATGATAAAATCAATTCTTGTCCATATACCTAGCTAGAACTTATCCATATCCGAGTCAAGCCGCTCACATATTATTTATTTTATTCTAAAAGTTAATCCCATGTTTTATTTTATTTGTCGAGACGAATATTTAATAGCATGTTGGTCTACTCTAAACCTTTACATATATTTCTCTCATATAAACACACGGGAAAACGACTCCTCACCGAATCCTTGATTTGCAAATTGCAAATGCGATTTTTGATAAGAAAACGTACAACCAAGTAAACCAATCAAATTCATAATTGATTTAATGCCAAAAAAGAAAACAGTCTCGTGCTCTGTTGCAAGGAAGACATGCATGCAAGTTGCGTTCATATAAAGATACTGGCAAAGAAGACATGCATGCAAGTTGTGTTGTATATTAGTATATACATGTATATATATAATTACAAATTAAGTTTGTTCTTTATTTTTTACCTCATTAAAACGGATGGATTAAACTTGAACCTTAATGATTTATAAATTATTTTGATTGGATTTTTTTCTGAAAAGATGACTAGATACATTTATAACTTTAATATTTTCTCACATTTATCTCGTTTATTACGTCCTCTAGTTTTAAAGAAGATATAATAATTGTGATAAGACTCAATTCAAGTTATTGGTACTGACAATGACTTGAAAGTTATTACTTTTGAAGCATTCACATTCTCCATTGTGTCTTGGCGGCATTCTATATATTTTGAAGATATAGCAGTTTCTTCTAGATATATTTTTCTTTTATTATTTCATATATTTGCATAATTAAGTATTTAGTATACAAGAATCGCCGGACTATAGTTTTTGGTGACACGAATAATTATTTAGTTATAATAGTATTAATATTGGTCCTGCAAAGATAGACGAGTTATACAATAATGCTGAATAGCTGTAAGAGATAATCAACGTTAATTAGAAGGACTGGAAGTAGACCCGTGCAAGATGGCAGGCACACACAAGGCATTGAAGAAATATAGTGACCAATCTCATATCAATTCTACATTGACTGCTCATAATTATCATCGAGCCTCTTGTTTAACAATTGTTCACGTCTTGTAAAAAAAAAAAAAAAACAATTTGTACACGTCTTCCTTATTAATAATAGTATGAAGTATCTACTGTATGTTTTTTTTTTTGGAACAACATACTGTATATAAGTTTTAATCATCTAATTTACTGTGAATCAACAAATTTAATCATCCTTTTACAGCTTTGTTGGCAAGCTTTATTTCAATCGATACGATGTCTATCTAGTAACTGTCCGTCATGTCTTGTCGTCTTTTCCAATTTAAGACTATAAAGTGATAAAATCGTATCAAAAAAGACAGATAGACAGACAGATAGACCAAAAAAAAAAGAAATAAAGAAATTACTAAGACGACAAATTTCGCTGATCCTCCTTTGATCTGCTTCTTCCCGGATTCTCCCGGTGTCGGAGAGAAATAACGGAGACCCAAAAGTTATTTCTTCAATGGCGTCGACCACGCGAGAAAAGTTTGTGTCTTTCATAAACAATAGATGGCTCGTCTTCGTGGCTGCCATGTGGATACAGTCTTGTGCTGGCATCGGTTACTTGTTCGGAAGCATTTCTCCGGTGATCAAAAGCTCCCTTAACTATAACCAGAAGGAGCTTGCCAGACTTGGTGTCGCCAAGGATCTCGGTGATAGTGTCGGCTTCCTCGCCGGGTCTCTCTCCGAGATTTTGCCTCTCTGGGCCGCTCTTCTCGTCGGCGCCGTTCAAAACCTCGTCGGTTACGGATGGGTTTGGCTTATCGTCACCGGTCGAGCTCCGATTCTCCCGCTATGGGCTGTGAGTTATCTGTCTACAAATGATTCTTTTTTTCTCTCTTTTATAGTTCCTTTTGTCATATTGTGGGTTAAGCGATTTGGTTTCACGGTTGGAGAAATCTGCATATGGTCCTTCAGATTCATCTGCTCATGTTCTATATTGGGGGAAAACTTTTTGGTTTTTAAAAATTTGTAGACTTTCTATTAATTCAAAGATATGTGGGAGAATCACGGAAAAGGTTTGCTTTTAAGGTTCTTTAGATACTCAGAAGTCGCAGTCAAATCCTTGACAAATTCCACTTTTTTTTCTTTTTCTTTAACAGCTCTTGTTCAGCTTTCATTCAATTCGTTCTGATTCTGGAAAATTTGTTGGCTTTACATGATATTCTAGTAGATTGGCTGGTGTCAAGAGAATCCCTGAGAATTAGAATCCGATTCAAGTTGTTCATAGAAATAGTATATTCTGTGCTGACACAACCTCTTTCTGTATGTTTAATTTTCACTGTTTTTTCAGATGTGTATTCTGATATTCGTTGGGAACAATGGCGAAACCTACTTCAACACTGGATCATTAGTCTCTGGTGTTCATAACTTCCCCAAAAGCCGAGGTCCAGTGGTGGGTATCCTCAAGGGTTTTGCTGGGCTAGGTGGTGCTATCCTCTCTCAGATATATACAACGATGCACTCTCCTGACCCGGCTTCTCTCATTGTCATGGTCGCTGTTGGGCCTGCGGTTGTCGTTGCTTTCCTCATGTTCTTCATCAGACCCGTTGGTGGTCACAGGCAGATCCGTCCCACCGATGGAGCCAGCTTCACTTTCATCTACGGTGTCTGCATTCTCCTCGCTGCCTATCTCATGGCCGTTATGCTTATAGAAGATCTAGTCGTTGTCAGCCACAACATCATCACTGTGTTCACCATTGTGCTGTTTGTCATTCTTGTTGTACCAATCTTGGTCCCAATCATGACAAGTTTCTTCACAGAGTCAAACGCTCCTGCTGACACGGTAGAGGAGCCTCTTGTCCCAAAACGGGAAAACCAAGAACCGGGACAGCAGACTCCTGACCTAATCTTGAGTGAAGTGGAAGATGAGAAACCAAAAGAAATGGATTTGCTTCCTGCATCAGAGAGACATAAGAGAATTGCGCATTTGCAAGCACGGCTAATGCAGGCAGCTGCAGAGGGGGCGGTTCGGGTGAAGAGACATAGAGGACCGCACAGAGGAGAAGATTTTACTTTAACGCAGGCACTCGTGAAGGCAGACTTCTGGCTTATATTCTTCTCGCTGTTGCTCGGCTCTGGTTCGGGTTTGACAGTTATTGACAATCTTGGTCAGATGAGCCAGTCTCTTGGTTATGATAACACTCACGTGTTTGTGTCTATGATTAGCATTTGGAACTTCCTTGGACGTATCGGCGGCGGTTATTTCTCCGAGCTCATTGTCAGGTTTGATCTCGCGGAAAGCCAAAAACTTTTACTCCCATATATGATCCGCAGATTTCATCTCTGTTTATGGTGCTCTGTTTCTGATTTTGATTTGACTGATGTGTAGGGACTACGCGTACCCAAGGCCGGTAGCAATGGCCGTAGCTCAGTTAGTAATGTCTGTGGGACACGTCTTCTTTGCTTTCGGATGGCCTGGAGCGATGTACATTGGCACGCTATTGATTGGACTCGGGTACGGTGCTCACTGGGCTATTGTCCCAGCTACTGCCTCGGAGCTCTTTGGTCTGAAAAAGTTTGGAGCTTTATACAATTTCCTGACGCTGGCCAACCCGGCTGGGTCACTCGTCTTCTCGGGTCTGATTGCAAGCACCATATACGACCGGGAAGCAGAAAGACAAGCACACGTGTCCGTTTTTGATCCGGATGATGCCCTTAGATGCGAAGGTTACATCTGTTACTTCTTGACGTCACTCATAATGTCTGGATTCTGCATCATCGCTTGCATCTTGAGTATGATTCTCGTGCGTCGTACCAAGTCCGTCTACAGTCATCTCTATGGCAAGACCCGCACTTAATCTGTTCGTTATTTATTCTTTTGTTTTGCTTTCGATTCTCCGATTCATATGTTTTTGGTTCTGTATCGAATTTTGTTGTCGATGTTGTTGTTGTTGTCAATTTTGTTTGTTTGATTTGTACGTGTTTTGGATTCATATCCACGGCCGATATCTACGATGGTGTAGATTTACAGAAAGATCTTTAGAAACTCAATATATAAAATAAATTATAAATTTCCTTGGGCTTGTGTTATCCTGAGAAATAGCTTTTAGGACTACAATTTCACAGGTTCCATTGTGGATTATGACATTTTAATATATCAAGCTTCAAAAGCTGCAGAATTCATATGTTTTATGTTTCCAATATTTAAGATTAGTTAAAAGCAGAGCAGTCCCTTCGAATCTCTCCTTGGCTCCCAACTTTAACTCCAACGCGGCCAAGCTTCCTCATCGCGGAGATGAAAGCGCTGTTGAATTCTTCAGCACTGTTAGCAAACCTGACCACCGTAGCCTGAGACCTGAAATCGTTAAACAGAACTTGATCCGAGGTAAAAAGGCCTTTCCTTGCCACAAGGTTCTGGAAGTAGACGTTGTCGAAGACTCTTGGGGTGGTTATGTCCAGGTCCAAGGCGATTTCGGGGTCCGACCGACCTTGAGGGCAGGTTTGCATCAGCTGCTGTGCATAGGCCGGATCGAGAGTGGGATCCAAGGGCATCAACGCTGAGAAGTTGTAGAGACGGTGAGCGAAACGGTTGCAGTGAGAGAATCCGATGGTGTGTGCGCCTGATAGAGCAATCATATCGGTCATTGATAGCCCGTGACTAGCGAATAGATCGACCAAACCTCTCACGTCTAGGTCCGGTCCAGGTATCTTCCCGTCCACGCGAGACGCCTGCGACACGAGCCCGTCTCGTCTCCCTAGCTCCACCTTAAACTCTGGCCCTCCAGCCTAACAATATTATCACATTATTAATATGACATGGCGAATCGAATGAAAAAGTCAATGAGGAGCGTTGTTGACTTACGAGGACGACGACGTCCCTGGCGGCCATAGCCATGATATCGGCACATGACACAAGGCCTGGACATTGAGCTTCGACAGCGAGCTTAGCCTTGATCACAGTGTCGAATCCGTCTCCGGCGAGAGATAGATTGTCTGGAGCGTCCTTCTCCGCGTCTCCACTCTCGGATGCTATCATCACAGAAGCATCACATCCCTATATCACATGAATCATAACTTTTATAATACCAAAAAAAGAACACATGCAAGAAAAGTTTCAAGATCACAACACAAGACTACATACACCGACGAAGCAGTCGTGGAAGAACATCCGTAACGTTGCCGGAGCCGTGGTGAAGGTTTGTTCGATTTTCGTTGAAACCACTTGTCGAACGATGAGTTCCACGTTAGGGCATGTCGAGGCGTAGAAATTCTCCGTCAATCGAGCATCCGACTCGGCCACCATGCAAAAGAACAACATCCCCAAATAGAACCACATCATCATCGTGTGTTTTGTTGAATCATTATCACGAGTATCCATCTAGATCGATATTCTCCTTTAGTAGTCTCTCTGTTTTCTTTAAACCCTCTCCTTCTATACGGTCCTCTCTTGAATATAAAGGACCACAACACTCTGTTTCATCGACCCTCCGATATTGGGATATATCTCTGTTTTTATATAGTAGATGTGTTTTTTTTTGTGTGTGTTAATAGAAATAGCATAATTATGTTTATTTGGAATAATTAAAATCTAGTCATATTCACAGATGAATGCCAGAGTTTTACAACTGGGATTTTCTCAACTTTTACATAAGCGAGAACATTTCTTTAGTTAGGGGGTTTTATTGACAGTGACATTTTAACAAACCTCATTAGGTCAGTCATCTGCATGGAAATTTTATATTATATACTTCTTGAATTAAAGTAGAGTAAATAATCGATAACTAATATATTGTCTTTAACACAAAATGGATAAACTAAATTCAAAAGATGAGTTTGAAAAGTAGCGTTTGTACATCCTAATATGATAATGATTTTGACTGATCCTTGAATTCAGCGAATATACCTGTTCTAATTTTAGTTCATCAACTTTAGCTCAACGGTTCTTATATTGCAGCCGATATTCAAAATAAACATTTAGTATACCCAATTTTGATTATTTTTAACACAGCTTTCTTTTGGTATGATGATTAAACTTTATCATCATACCAGAGCTGACAGCACTAGTTTCCCCTCTCTTTTTTTGTTTTTTTAATATGAGGTACTAGAAACTTAAACAAATATTCAAATTGCTGATGGTTAAAATGTTATTCTCTACAAAAAAAAACAGAAAAACGTTATCGTCGTGTAACCGTGTAAGTAAAGAACATTTCTGTGTTTGCTCATTTCATTTTCAACCATAAATAAGAAAACTAGTTATAAGCCTCATTGCAGGTGACCGATATTATACTATGATTTGCACGTCAGGACGTGTACAAACTACAAGAGCTTAACTGCAAATTGCTTTGACGTATAGAAAGGTTTTAATCATCACTACCAGAAAATTGTCGCATAGGACAAATCAGTCTAAATTGACTACCATATATTTCGATCCTTATTGGTCAAAAATAAATAAATATCGATTCATAGTATGTCGACAACAAAAATTATAAATGAATAAAAAATGATGTATTACTGACACATATTTGAGATGGAACACTACGATTTTAAATATTCAAGAAAATTTTTTTTTGAGCTTATCAAGCCTTTCGAATTATAATTCCTGAGAATTCTAGTTCTTGTATCATGATTGTGACATGTTGTGACATTGTAGAAAATAAGTTTTATTACTGTTATTTTGTTTGTCCGATCCAAGAAGATGATAGCCAAATGTTCAATTTTTTTTTAACATTTATCTTTACTTTTTGTTTTGAGCAAACTTCAACATTTATCTTTATTTATGTGGAATGTTATTGGTAAATAAATCCAGGGAAAAAATATATATGTAATTAACTCATTTTATTCAAGTAATAAAGTAATTTTTGTTCTCTGGACGTGGGCCTGAGCTGGGCTGAATGATAAAGTCGATTGGATCATAGTCCGGAAAAGATCCAATTATAAACCGGAGCCGAGGAAATGTTCAGTTAGATGCTTGACGCTTGGTTTCATGTTTGTGAGACGAAAACGAATGCTTTTTTGAATTTTCTTCTGCGTTTGGAGGCGATGGCTATGGGCATGGCGGTAGACACGGTAGGCGAGTTAGGCTTCCCTTACTGGACTCCTCTCCGTCGAAGATTTCCTCCCGATTCTCCCTTCTTTGCTTCCGGAAATGTCGAGCGCGAACTACTTGCTAAACAGGTACTCCTTCTGCCATCTGAATCTTCTCGAATGCTCTTCTTAGGGAATACTCTTGCATGATCAATTTCCCAAATCGAAGAGTTTTATCGATTCCTTGTCCTTCACAGCTTATCGTTTTATTTTACTCGGCACTCATTTGATCCGGTTCTGTGTTCGATAAGGTCGAAATTATATTGGCTTGTTTCTTCCATTGCCTCCGGAAACGTTTCTGGGGATTTCCTCTACCTAGTGATGATACTCATCATTCAATTTCGATCTGTTGGCTAAGAATTTTCGACTTTTGGTCTTCTAAGTAGGTCTAGCTTTGTCAATTTGGATAAAACAACTAATTCATGTCATTGTTCTATTTCGATTTCCATGATAGGATATGAGGCTTATGCTGTAGATTATTGACAATTTACCAAAATATTTGCTTGAAAGAGTTGAGTCATAAGGAGGATTTTATATACAGGTGGCATTGGACGTAACAGAAGATGAAATCAACCATTTACATAAATTTGTGGAAACTGAGAGCAGGTATCTATCCTTCCTCACTGATGAGCTCCTTAGCTGTGATTGATTTCTGTTATTAATGTAAAGAATTTGATCAATTATGACAATGATTAGAAATTTCAGATTAAGTTCTTTTCTTACTTAGACTATTGCTTACGAGAGTTAAAGGGTTTTTTTCATTTTTTCTATGTGTTGTTATTCGCGTGATGGGATACTGAAGCTAATATTTTGAACCGTCTTTTTTTTCTTGGTGATTCTGGCTTGGTGTCATTTCTTCTACCTCGCATCGTTTACTGTACAGTTCACATGTGTCGATTGTGCGTGTAAGAATTCTAGCAAATAGTAATTAAATGGCAATAAATTGAACACTGCTATGTAAGTAGCTCTCTTTCAATACCCACCTTCGAAGGGGCGAGCAGTAATACATAGCAATGATTATTGCATAACTAATCAAGTTTGTGTATATACTAGTCTCAATTCCAACTTTGGTTCACATTTCTCCTCAATGCTCATAAGCTTGGTTGTTTTGAGCAGAAGAATCTCGTGTCCCATTGTTGGCTGCCCTGAGCGCCTGAAATCTCTGGAAAATTTTGAAGATCACTATAAGGCACGGCACACTGCTTCTTGTTCAGTATGCTCAAGGGTCTACCCTACTTCTCGCCTACTAAGTATCCACATATCCGAAGCACATGACTCTTTCTTTCAAGCTAAAGTTGCTCGGGGCTATGACATGGTATGCACTGTATATTCTTATCTCCTTATGCAACTATAAATAGCGTTTTGAGGCAGAGCTCAAACTGTTAGTGACTGTGATAGAATTCCTGTCAATGCTAAATCTTTATTTTTTCTGCTCTCATGAACATAATTTGCAGTACGAGTGCCTCGTAGAAGGGTGTGGATTGAAGTTTAAGAACTACAAAGCACGCCATCGACACTTAGTTGACAAACACAAGTTCCCAACGACGTTCGAGTTTTTCAAGAAGACTCAACTCTCAAAGAAGCAAAGAGAGAAACTTCAGAGGCGACGTGTATCAAAGTTGAAACATGAAGAAGAGAAAGAAGAAGCTTCGTCAGATGCCATGGAAGTGGAAGACAAAGCCGGCATCGACGGTCTTGTATCAGCACTGTCCACGCTAACCACCTCAGACACAACTCCTTCGAATGTCAGCTTTGGTCGACGCCATGGTCGTGGCCTAACCTTTATTCCACGGTCTGTTCATAGGGAAGAACGGACTAAGCCTTCGTCTGCACCAGAGCCAACGACTTAGTTGTGGCTTGTGGTTCCTCCTAGTCTGAGGTTTAAGATGGTGAAGAAAATTTTTGTATTTCTCGGTATTAAGTACTAACATTGTTAACTACTGGGTCTTTTGAAGAATGCATTCAAACTATTATAAATTCGGCCACTTAACATTATTAACTACCGTGTAAAGATTTCTCTTCTTTTTCTTAATTTTTTTCAGTGATTGATCCACATTAGTTACAATTTGTTTTAGACAAGCATGGTTTCTATTCTCTGCTAAAGGAAATGACAAGTAAGGCATTGCCTACTTTTGTCATTGAAGCAGAAGATTGATAGTACTGAAACATTGATTCTCATTATCTCAAGACAAAGTTCATAAACAGATAGAGCAAGTTAAAGTCTCAAGACAAATTTCAAAGCACGACACTTGCCATTCATTCATCAATCTTAATGATCTTCTCTCTGGCCTTCTTGGAGATTAGGAGTAACTCGGTGGGTTTAATGAGCTTGAAGATACACCTGTCACCGATAAGTAAAGGGTACTCTCGTGCCAGTTTCGTCCATCCACTTGAGAAAATAGTCCGATTCTCCCTCACCAAGCAAAGCACCTCCCATGAACAATTCCCTTTCCAGTGATGTATCGTGAAGATCGTAGACTTATTAGGGATATGACCCTCCACAAAGCGCTTTGGGATAGCCTGATAAAAATTCCGAGATTGACATATCACCAATACAGAGACTGTAAAGTGTTTAATTTGTTGAGCCTTTGGTATTAATCTTACCAGGAACTTGAGGTATGATTTCCTTATGGTGATTTTGAATTTTGGAACACCATTCTTGTCTTTCTTACTCCTGATCTTATTCTTCTTGGATGATTTGGGTTTCTCAGCGTTCGTCTTTCTGACTTTGAGCTCTACTCCTCTTGAAGATTCACCTATTTCTACAGAACTCACCACTTTCTTGCTCGTGAGCTTCTTCTTCTTGGATGTTTTGGATTCCTTAGCTTTCTTCTTTCGGACTTCAAGGTCTTCTCCTCCCGTAGAATCACCTGTTTCATCTTCTTTCTTCACATCTTTGTAGCTGCTCTCACCTTGTTCTTTCTTGATCCCACCTGTTTTCATCATCAAAGTAAAGAATTAGTCATTCTTCTCCATCTCCTCTGTTTCATAAAGTATTATAAGCAAAGCTTACTAGGAGCCATTGTGGGGGTGTTTCGAGGTATGAGAATCTCCTTGCCATTCTGATGGTATATGTTGACATCGAACCACATTTTTCCTTTGTGAGTGAAGGTAACAAATTCATTGTCTCCCAAGGCATTGTCGCTCACAAACTGGTTCCATCCGTGCTTCTCCATGTAGTAAAATCTCGGGTTCTTGGAGATTTCTACTTTCCATGAGCTTCCCCATTGCGCTCTTATCACCATCTTGTAGGAGAAGTCTTTCTCAGAGACTCTTTGCATGAAGTTGTAAGGTATAGCTCTCTGTTTTGAACATACAATGAAGAAAGCAAAAACAGTTTAACTTATTTTTTTCAAATTACATTAAAGACTTGAAGGCCAAAGTTTCAATCTATCACAAGTAATCCTAACACAGGAATTCGAGAAAATCACAGAGGAAAGACCTGAACATACAGGCAGAGAAAGCACAGCTTTATGTTTTTAAAAGCAGAAAATGCAAAGAGTGAACAAATGAAGACATTCCTTAAACGAGAAAGGCAGTGGAAAGTCTCAACCTTTAATTGAACACAGACAACCAAAATATTCTACTTTGCAAACGTAGCTAACAAGATTCACGTTTCAAACACAGTAAAACCTAAAGATTCAACCGTTGAGAACCAACAGATTCAAAGTTTCAAAAACAGAGAATACAAAGATTTAGAGATCCAACAGATTTAACCTCTCAAAGAAAACCAAAAGATGAACCTTTTACTTGAAACCCATTAAACAGAGACAACCATCTATCAAGGAAGTATCAAAGTAAAGGAGATGCAGGTTTGGAAAACAGTTACCATGCATTCAGAGGATAAATCTGCACTCTGAAAAATCTTGAAGAAGCTCAACTTCTTTCGTTCATTTTTAATCCGACAAAAACCACTGTTCCTAGCCATCTCTCTCTGTTTCTCCTTCAACAACTTCTTCTACTATCTAATCGGAAACCTCTTCACTTTCTAGTTCCTCCTCTTTCTCTCTGTCTCTCTCCGTTTATCTGTCTCTCTCTCTGGTATGGTAAATGAGAAAAATGTGTGGTTTCTTTTCTAAGTATTTTTTTCCATTGTGAAACAAGGGTATAATTGTGAAAAATAAATCAGCCATGTATTATCAATCTGATTATAACGAAACAAGGGTTATTGCTATCGTTTTTTTTTAATGGTAATAGTCTAATAGACAGAAACAAGAGCTGTTAAAACTTTCTTCACAGCCACGCAAAAGCAGAATGCTAGTTTTAGTACCTGAAAATCCCTGATGTGGCAAAAGGACACTTCCAGCTTGCCTTTCTTGTGTTTTGTTTAAACTTCATGTCTACAATATTTGAACGTTATATTTTTTGGCAGTCAAAGGTCAAGGTGGAGAACTTCAGAAACTGAAAAGTTAAAACTAAGGTACAAAGATGAGATCACCTTGTGAATCACACTAAATTGATGTGTTTCAGTAATTTATAAAGAAAATACACACAGCTATACACCCAATAAACTATCTTAAATATACCACACAACATATACATGCATATATGACCAACGCTTCTTAAAATGTTAAAGTTGTGAATCTTTTCTTGAGAAATGTATATATTTTCGGAAACTCAATAAATCAAACACTTTAGAGATAATGTAAGGAGTGTTAATATCAAAATGAGAAATAGTTATGAGCATATTGGATAATCAGATTTTAGCTTCTAGGAAAAAAGCCTGCTACGTTAATAAAAGGTCGTCGGTATTCAAATCCAAAATACAATATTGTTTTTGTTTAAATTGTGAAATTCATTAATCATGTGAGAAATATTTACCATTTGATTGGACCCAAAAAGTGAAACCAAAATCAGAAAACAGAGCATAACTTTCAACACAGAGCATCTCTAGCGTGAGACAAAAATAAGATATAATCGATCGAATCAATCAACTAAGTTGCAAGTCATTAAGAGAAAACAAACTATATAAAGTACATGTAGAAAGGAAGAGTCAAATGAAAGTCAGAGATTATTTAAGAAAGAAAAAAAATCACGTGACCGTACGACAGCTCATGTGACTTATTATAACTGCATCCCGTTTATCAATTTCATAGCTAAACATTGTACCATTCTAATGCTGACAGACGGCATGCTTTCTGCTGTTCCAAGCTCTGCTCATGGCATTAAGGACACTCCGTGATTTACAACTTTGTCGGGGAAAAAGAAGCTCCAAGAAATTGAAAACACAAGTAAAATCAACTAGTTTCTTATTCGACATTCAGGGATCTGCATTCTAGGGTTCTTCTTTCTGGTAAGAGTTATTTTGATAATCTCCTTAAAACCTATTTTCCATTTTAGTTCTTTCCCTTCCTTTTGCAAACTATTAGTTCGGACTCTGTTTTTTCTTTTGGTCATAGATCTCACTTCTCAGTGCTTTGCTTTTAACTGTAGTGTTCGTTCGCCTTAGTAATCTCTGAAATAGTCGTATAATGTGAAATGTGTGTAAAGTTTCATACTTTTAAAGAGATTTCGATAAAAAAATCGGAATTGTTGAATCAGTAGCTAATTAAAAAGTCCAAAATCTTTAGGATTGGTTGGTGAAGTGTTTCTTTTTTTTGTTCTGATAGGTGTCTCTATCAAACCAAAGCTTTTGAAGATGGATAACATGCGCAGCTTTTGGCAGCTTGGGGATGAGCTCCGGGGACAATCGAAAGCCTCAGAGGATCAGAAGTGGTTCATGGCTGCATCGAAACTTGCTGACCAGACTAGATCCAAGGGAGAACGTTCGAACAATCTTGATCTATCAAAGGGTCCAGTTGAAATTAGGCCAAGGGAGAAATTTGGGTTTCAAGAGGAGAACAAGTTTGAGACTCTTAACTTCAATATGTTAAACTCCGAGCTCAAGTTCAATGCTAATGTTTTTAGCCAGAAACACTTGGCTGGAGGTAAATTTAGCTACAATCACTTCACCAGCAGAGAAGGCAACAATGGTGGTAACAACTTTAGCGGCACTCACAGCAATGACTCTCTGAATGTTGCTGCTGATAAAAGGTTCAAGACCTTGCCTGCCACGGAGTGTCTCCCAAAGAGTGAAGTGCTTGGGGGATACATCTTTGTTTGCAACAACGACACAATGCTGGAAGATCTGAAGCGCCAGCTCTTTGGTATTCAATTCATCTTGGAGTTTGTCCATTTTAAGGGCAAGTGCTCATATGTTCTTATGTCTTCTACTGTGTCTGTCAGGTTTGCCTCCGAGATATAGAGACTCCGTCAGGACGATAACACCAGGCCTGCCTCTGTTTCTCTACAACTACACAACTCATCAGTTGCATGGGATTTTTGAGGTTTGTTTTATAAGCACTTACTTTCTCAATGTTTCTTCGGACTTGCTCTATGACTCCATGATTATTTGTTCTCTGTGTTTTTCGCAGGCGACAACCTTTGGAGGTTCAAACATTGACCCAACTGCTTGGGAGGATAAGAAATGCAAAGGAGAATCCAGATTCCCTGCACAGGTTCCATTTTTGTCCTCCGATGTGGAATCTCTCTTTCATCTTTTTTTTCAATGATTGATTCACACATACATAAACAAAATAATAGGTGAGAATCCGTGTAAGGAAAGTGTGCAAAGCTTTGGAAGAGGATGCTTTCAGGCCAGTTTTGCACCACTATGATGGTCCCAAGTTTCGACTCGAGCTCACCATTCCTGAGGTATGTAGATCATTCCATACACGCCGTCCTCGTTCAGCTAATTTTGGTCTGTACTAATCAAATCGTTGATGAACAGACATTGGCTCTGTTAGATCTCTGTGAGCAAGCAGATTCTCCCTAAGCTCGAAGCCTTGCAATTCCCATTTACACCGGGGACTTGGTGAGCCGGTGGCGTCTGCTTATTCCAAGGCTTCAAGTGTGTATTTGTATGTGTGATTTCTACATTAAAGTAGAAATTAAGAGTGTATCACTGGAGAATAAACCATGATTGTGAAAGATTAATGTATGATAAATGTGTTCATATATAATCATGAAACTAGAATGGTTATCACATCTCCTGGAGAAAGATTCTGTTAAATGTTCTTTATCAGAAAGACAGATTAAATCAGAGAACAGCGAGATACAACAAAGCAAAAAAGAGTAGCAGCCACGTGGGTTTTACTGACGCTGCTCCACCAAGAGGATGTACGATCACTTCATCAATAGCAGGACCACAAAGAACATCCTCTTTTGTCATTGTAACTGAGTAGCTGGTGAAACTTATCTGTGCTGCATCTTTGTCTGCTGCAAACACTAACCCAAACTTCTCACCAGAGCCAGTTCCATTGCTTTCCAATGTGAAGTTTTGAGTTGTGGATCCAGCTTGAACACCCACCACAAAATGCCCTATGCACGCATCGTTGGCATCTCCTAATGTAAATGTGAGGTTGTATCTCGAACCTTCACTTGTATCTCTTGTTGCTGTTTGTACGCCAGATGGAGTTGTGCCAGCCAGAATTTCTATTGCAGCTTTGCCTTCTGGAACATGGAAGTGCTCTGAGTCTATGTATCTGACTGTTCCTATAACAGACCACTGCCTTAATGCTGATTGGATCAGACTTGGGACCGCGTCCATCAAAACTCCCTCGGTTGAGTTAGGTAAGAAACCCGGTCCAGATTCAAATCCACCATTATTTAAGAGGTTACCTGCACCAACATAATCAGAGTATGAATCTATGCAACTAGGTTCACAAGATTTCAACTTGTATAAACCAGATCTGTTTTCATAATGTTCCATGTTGAGCTATGAATTAATATTTAGCAGTCTCGGATTAGATGACTTAACCAAGCAGAGAAAACAGAACGAACAAGGACAAGTAACTTACCATTGTCTTGGACCACTGTTGTACCAACAGTCTTGATGAGCAACGTGTCAACAATAGGCCAGCATGTTGAGTTTGTATCAGAATCTATTGTCTGGCTTTCAAGAACTAGATTGATAGGCTCGCCATTCCCCCAACTACCCAAGTTATGACTGTAGCTCTGCCATGGAACCTTACTGTAGTTTTGCCGGTAAGAAAAAACCGCACTGCTGTCTGGCCCGGAGACAGTGAGACCAGCAGAGCTTGAACAATTCTGGCCTCCGGGGATCAGCGCAAATGTGAGGATGTAGTTCAAATCTTCACCTTTGGCAATGAATGTTTGATTGATCTTGCCATCTTCACCGAGCTGAACCGCATGTCCGGAATCAGGCAGTTCAAGTGAAGTAACGTATTTCACTGTCCCTTGGAATGTCCATCCAGGGAGCGTACTGTTCTGATCCAGCAACACAAACGCGCTAGAGCTCGCATTTGAGTTTAATGGTGGAGATTCGAAGCCTGAATTTTCTAGAAAATCTGCATATGAAAATGCACAGTCTTTTCTTATTATACCAAGACATTAATCAACAACCGGATCCAGTAGAAATGGAAATTAGTGGCCAAAATAGGAGTTATGAAGACAAGTGAATAAAATCAGTAGAAGAAACAAAAAAAATATATAAATAAATCATTACTGCTTAAGCATTTAAGATTTACCTGAAGAGGCGCAATTGGAAACAAGAAGCAACAGGAAAATTAACTGAAACCACATCGCCATTTTGCTTCAAAGAAAACCTTGAATGTCAACGCTTCTTAGATCCAGTGATTGTGTCTTAGTAACTATTTAAACATCAGAATGGTGTTTTGACATGTTAGCATACAGTTTGACCATGTTTTTTTTAACATCACATACAGTTGACCATTAAAAAAAAAATTTGAGGGAAAACTCAAATGCCAAACTCTGCGAGATCACCTTGTTCGGACAACGTATAGAAGCATAGCAACCTGCTGGACTCGAGCAACAACGATCATATTGGAGGGAAATCGACAAAGATATTGGAGTGAATCTCCCGGCGGAGCATTCCGGCGTCTACTGGTCGACGATAAAGAGAATGTCAAAACTAATATGACAAATCTGAACTGGGTTCGATAGATCCAACTTAAAACCCAAAAGGGCCCATTGACAAAGCAATGGAGCCTAATATTCGCTACTTGGATCTCCAGGGTCTCGCTACTTGGATCTCCAGGGTCTTAACCCGAATGAGCGATAGAGAGATGAGAGAACACACAATATCACATAAGAACTCGGATGTGCGTAAGTGAAACACCCTAATCTAAACCTTTATGATAGTTCACTCCTTGATTTCAGTTTGTTTTCGCATCGTCTTTTCGACTGAGTAATATCAGTCAAAACGTCTATTTTTAACACATACTTGTACAGTTGGAAAAAAAGACCAGAAAAAATTGAGCGTATCAAATCACTTGAAACATAACCTTCATCTAGATATAAGTAATACTGTTTCATCATACACAAGATTACAGATAGACTACTTCCTTTTAAAAACCAGAATAATCTCAATAAATTATTCTTCTAAAAAAGCTCAAACAGATGAAGAGACTTGTATCCTATGGTACCAGCAAGGTACTCACCATCACCAATTCCCTGGCCCCTCGTTCCCAGCTGCTGGCCTCCGGTTCAAGTAACGTATTACTGCATCTTCGACCCTGCAACATTTTATCATTCAGCAACGTATCATCAATCAATCATTCAATCAATTGAAACCAAAGTGAGCAGAGACTGGATGATAAGCTTACCAAGGTTGGTTGAAGAAGTCTGATCGACGTTCTCTCTCAGCATTTCGACTGGCTTCTCCCGCTACGACCTTCAGATCCTTGCTCTGAGATTCGATCAATGCGTTTATGAATTCAACTGGCGATTGGCTGAATCCCAAGAAAAATGCACGTCTCCTCCTATGCTCATGGATTTTCCTTATGGCTGCACATATCGCTTCATCACAAGCCTCAATCTCTTTGTTCTTCTCTGCGTTGGCCAGCAAGTTGTTCAGGTCCCTTTGGATCGGGAAGGGTACGTCCACTAACACATCGTAACATGCTGATATGGCCGGATTATTGCCTGAGAGCTTGATTTTGTGTTCCAAGTGAATCGGAGGTGGAGGTGACAAGTGATGAGATATCTTCTGAGAGACCATTGTGAATTTCAACTTCTCTTCCCCAAAAACTTTCTGAAGTGCAGCGTCACAGTTGAAGAAAGAAGGGTCATTTGGGTTCTGCAGTTTCCTCGCCTTAACGTAATGCCAAATTGCAGCGATGATTCTTGGCCGGGTTTCAACTTCAATCCCGAGAACATCCATCAGTGCAGTAGAAAGCTTGAACTTTTCAGGCACGTAGTTCATCTCCAACCGTATACTAGCAGCAAACTCCTGATTCCCTTTCCTCTTTATCTCAAACCCTTCCTGAGGAGAAGGTGATCGAGAATTCTCCCATATGATCAATGCGTTCTCAGGGTACAGCCTCTGATCCAGGGAAATTGTTACCCTTTTGAAGAAAGACGAGAATTTGGGATGCAATGGGTTTGATTTCTGAACAAATCCTGGCTGGTCGGGATCCACGCCATCTTCCAGGATCCTACCAATGATTTTCAGAGTCCATGTTGGTGGGTCAGCATTCGGATTCCCAGGAATCGTGTTGTTCTGGTTAGCAAACGTGTTGAAAACGAAGATCCTAAGCGTCTTCTGTATGCAAGGAGGGTTTTTAAGGGCTTCTTGGATGTCAACTTTCTTTCTACTTAACGCAGCATCCACCCGAGACTCAAACTCAAGAAGTTGGGTGTATAAAGCAGACTCAGGCAAGATCGCTGCCACCCGCTCCTGCAACGACTTTTCAGGGAGCTTCTGTTTCTTTTTCCGTGCAGCAGGAGTTAACTCCATTGTTCTCATGGGGGAGATAGTGTTGTTAGTCGCAGGGAAGCCAGAAGGAGGACGCATTGGCGGTTTCTGCTGGAACCTCTTGACGTTTAAACTTGAAGGAGTTGTCATAGAAGGCGAAGATGGACCCAACCCACCAATCCCCTGGGAACCTTGGGTATGGTTCATCGTCATGCCTGCTTGTATCTGAGCTTGCAATTGTGCTTGAACTTTAGACTGTTGTTGAGCATGGGCCATGGCCTGAGCTTGTGAGTACTGAAACTGAGCTTGAAAGTTAGCTGCCATTTGAGACTGAGCAAAACCCTGGTTTCCAGGAACCGATGCAGAGGCCATCCCAGGATTCCCGAAAGGTGAAGGTGCAGAACCTTGAGGCTTCTGTGGATTGTTGTTGTTACTCGACATTGGTGCCTGAATATTTTCAGAAGATATATATCACACTTGAAAACTAAACTTCGGTTTATCAGAAATCTAACAAATACGTTCTTGCAAAATGCAGACGCGATAGATCGGCTACAGAGAAATTGAAGCCTCATAAAACCCTAATTTTATAAGATTGATGCACAGTTTAACGAGTAGGAATAATCCCCAGGCTTTAAAGACGCCGAGGAGATATAAGACTGCAAATGCGCAAGCAGACGAAGTATGTACTCAAATTAAGATTTTAAAGAAGCTACTGATTGAACAAGAAAAGATCTAGAATTCATAAAATCGTAAAAGATTCAAAAACAGAAGACCCAGAGCCTATATACTAAAAAGACCGGGAGAGATGAGAGTTCCTTACAAAAGATGAAGATTCGTCGCAGCTTTCGTTTCTTCTGCTGATTCTCCTTTCTGGATTTCACCGGTGTTCCGCTGCTTCTCAGTTGTCGAGAGAGGAGAAAACAAAAAAAAAAATCACCGGAGCTATCTTAATTTTAAACCGGTTTAGAACCGACCCGTATTTTCAAAGCCCACGATGACTACTGAAACTACACAATTGGCCCAACTTTAATACACTTGTTTTGGGTCAAAATTTTGTTTTACGAATTTGTAGTTAGTTATGTGCAATTAATTTTTGACGTCAGGAAAAAACAAACAAAAGAGTTATGTGCAATAATACGCCAATACCTGAAAATAACAATCTTTTTTCATGGAATATTCCAATTTTTTTCTTAAAAATTATTTGAAGTTCAAATATACATACTCTTACGATATATTACAAAGAGACTACGGTTGTTATCTAACAAAAAAGTATTAAAATGCTACGTTTAATAAATTGCTTCTTAGATGCTAGTAACAATATTAATTTTATTTTTTTGCCCGTTTGTTTTGGAGACATACAATTGAAGAATATTATGGGCACATGCAAATTATATATAATGATATAAACTAATGCTAACTAAAATCAAGATTGTCGTTTGAAAAAGGTAGCAACTTGGTTATAAACAACGTCTTTGGCAGTAACACCCATGATGAAATCAGCATGAGCATATTCTTTAATAAACTGCACATCCATCTTATCCTTGTCGTGAAACTTAAACTGGTCGAGGAGGTACTTGACATCTGTCACATCGGCCAGGCAGTCTAAACCGCCGTAGCTGAAGAAAATCGGAAGGTCGTGTGGAATCGCCGATATGTTGTAAGCCGGCGGCAACGCTTGACCGTAATGTTTCATGTTACGATCACCACTTCCATAGTTGTATTTTCTTAACTCCTTGTCTCTTACCGCTACAAAAAAAAATGAAATCTTTATTTCAACGACAGACACCCTAATGCATATATATTATATATATATATATATATATATATATATATGATCATTTGAAGAAAATACAAATGGGTTATTGGTTTTACTTACTTTGAGAAAGGTGGATCATGTTTTTTGTGGAAGTAGATTGAGGTTCGTTCGCCAGGAACAGATCAATGGTTGATGCGTTAAGGCAACAATTCTTGCCTACATTAATTTTTGTTGTAAAATTTACGTAATTAATAAATAACTAATTCATCAATATAATGGTAAAATATTGGTGGTTTAAGGTTGTTGCGTTACCGGTGATAACAGCGATTAAATCATAACAATCGACCCCCGCTTGATGGCATATAGCCTTTATAAAACCCCCTACTAATCCACTGTCAATTTTGCTTGATCATTTTATGTAATCAAACAAAGCCAATAACAAACACATTTTAAGAAAAAGGGTGATGAAGATTAATTACCTTTTAGGGTTAAACTCTGCCACTCCAAGAATGGCCGTGGCCTTTTGATGAAAGACGGTAAGACAGTTGTTTTTCATAAATACATGAACAAATTTTAAAAATATAGTATATATGTATTATAGAGGAGAGAAGATATATAGGGACCTCGGCGAGGAAGCTTCTGGCGGCGATGTCGCCGATTACGGTGGTCATGTGGCTGAGATAAGCAATAGGACTCAGCATCGCTGCCGATCTCAATTTATCCACCAACCCCTTCTCCGAGAATGACGCAAACCCTATCAAAGTACCCTGATAATTTCCATGTTTAAATCATTTCTCATATTTTGATTGAATCATCATTGTAAGGAGAAGAATATATAAACATAGAAAATATATGTTGATAACGTTGGACCCACCAAAGAATGTCCGAGGTAGTGAATCTTTTGGCCTGTTAGGCCGTGGATATGGTCAAACATAGCAGGCAGATCGAAACTCACAAGCTCGTCCCACGTCCAATTCCAGAAGGCCTACGTTACAACGTGCCGAAGGTTAAATCTCGGTTTTAATTAGTAGTAAAAAACTACCTACGTACGTAATCAATTGGTTAAAGAGTTGATGACTGAACCGGACCGGTTGATGAGGGTTTAGGTACTTGTGTCTTCTGCTAAATCTAGTCCCTCTTGTGTTTCCCATCCACACATCAAATCCTTGATCCGCCAAAATCAGAGGTAGGTTTTGATCTGCCGGATTCAACAGCCACGACATCCCATCCTGCACATATTTATTTCACCATTTCTTTGATAATTCAGAACTTCAATTTAATAATATAACAACAAAAAAATGTTCAATGTTTTTTATATGATATTTTCTTCTTTTCTTTCATTGGAAGAATTTTATTGATCCGTTTCCGTGATTCTATTCTACACCTTACATATATCGTAAGCAATGAAAAAGCATAAGAAGTGTGAACCATCATTAGAAATGAAGGACAATTTAGTTTGTCAAAATCGTCAGAAACATCTAACATAAGGTAATGCATAAAAGTATTTTTCTAACAATGGTGATCGAGTTTGATGTGCTCTTGATCTTTAGTGTTTTTAATAATTCGATGAGCACTTGAGTCGACGCATTATATAACTTACGTATGCAACCATACCAGAAAAGCTGTCATTTAGCTTTCTAGTAACGCTCGATTTATCACTTTATTAGTTGGATACACATGTTGAACACTCATGATGTCCCTCATTTTATCATGTTTTATCCCCCACCACTAAAATATGTAATTACTTATTAACTTTTACTCCTGAGTTGAAACAACTGGCACATAGAGAGTAGAGAAGCATTCACTTTCACACTCAGATACTATACACACAGATATACAATGAAGGTGTATCTATATTATATCTAGACAGACCACAGTGTACGTAGCATATTAACGAGGCAAGTACTCAGCATACACGTTGGTCTTGGCCCACATGTTTTATTTTCTTAGAATAAACGTATGAACATACAAAATTCTTTCTACATTTGTATTACTTGTGAAAAATGAGTATAAAGTTTTCACCTACTAATTTTATTCTCAGTTATTTTTACGTCACTTAGCTTTCTACTTTTTTCTTTCTTAATTTGAAAAAGGAAAGAAACAGATTTGTCAATTTGAGTGGGATGTAATTTTTGCCAACGGGAATCTAATTTTCCTTGTAATTAGAAAGATTTGAAACGTATGTGTGTCAGTGTGTTACAAGGAAAATCAGATAATATATGTGTTTAAATCAGATAAACTAACTGCACACGAGGATTTAAATAAATAGCGTGCGTGTGTTACGTGTGTATATAATAATATATGAAAGTAAAAAGACAAAATAGATTTATTTAACGGCTAATATGCGATGCAAAAAGGGTAAAATAGAGTTAAACTTACGACAAGAATTCCATGTTGTATTAAGACAGGCTGTTTCTTCGACATATCTCCGGCGCCGGCTCGTCCTTCCGGTATCCTTTGCATATTCAATATGTATCCATCTTGAGTCACCACCTTCATAATTAATGAATTAAAATCACTCAGTTCATATATATGCTTCTATCTATAATTAATCATCTTAGTTAGCAAAAAAATAAATAATCATCATTTAATAACTATATATTAACTAAATAAAAGTGTCGTACATCATGTTCTTCGCATTTGTAACCATATATGTGGACAGAAGAAGCGCATATGCCGGCGGCGGCAGTCCTCTGCGGTGGCTTTCCGGCAAGCCACCCGAGGGGTCCACGTGCTTCGAGTGGGGTGATGGAAAGAGCGAAGAAGATTAAGACCCATAAGAGCAAACCGGTTGAACCGGATGGAGCCATAACGGAACCGCTGAATGAAATTGGCGGTGTCTCTTTCTAAGAATTAAAGTGAAAGGGTATTTTATATAGTGAAAGGGGATGACGGACTGATTTTTTTTATTTTTTATTGGTTGAAGAGATGACGAACAGAATAATATTATATATCACACACCCCCACCCCAAAAAATTATGGTTTTAAGAAAAGAAAAAAATCAAAGAATTGAAACATTGATGATACATTTGTTATAAAAAAACACTAGTCTTAACCTATATATCGTCAGCAAAAATGTATATGTATATGCGATGTAAAATCCTCCTAACCTAATAAGCAAGAAAGAAATTGATTATTAAAAAAATTAGAATATCTTCCTGATAAGAAAAGCAATCCCAAAATACAAATATAATGAATATACTAGGAAATACATCTCCTTGGTAATTCTAGTATATATAGTAATGCTGACTAGCTAGTATCTATCAGAAAACAAGAATATAATTTGTTCTATGAATTATTAAATTGATTACAGCATATCAATACACAGTCACAAACCTGTTAGAAAAGTTTCGTATTCTACATACTAACTTAGACTTGTAGATTAAATTATTGAATAAGAAAAGCTAAAGAAAAATTTAACCAAAAAAACAAAGCTAATGAAAAAAATACCATAAAATGTTTTCCTAATGTTCATTATCTGTTTTCGTGAGACGTGAAAAAAAAAAAAAGATAGGACGAAAGAGGAAACTGTTAAAGATGATCGGAGATGCTGTAGGGACGGATATGTGGAGTATGACCTCAGCTTCCGTTACTTGTTTTTCTCTAGAACTCAAAACATTTTCTTGTTTTTTTTAGGGGAAAACTTACAACAATTTTTTTAATAAAAAATAAGGGATTCACTTTGGCTTTCATTGCACACCCTACAACACAGTGTAAGGTGTCAAAATACCCACCCAAAAAAACACCCTCGAGACGTGTTTCGTTTAGATAATATAAAAAAATGTGGGATACACAATGTTCCAAATAATTTTATGACCAAGTCGTGCTTTCATATTTGGTGTTCACATTTCAATCCCTACTCCCTAGGCACTCCATTATAAATCGTACCATACTCAAAAAATACCAAAACATGAAGTCATCCACAATTCTCGTGTGGTGGTGTATTTGTAAGTTGTGGTCACAATTCGTTACATCCAGATCCGATTTTACTGTACGTTAATGTTTTGTCTTTGACCATTTGGTTATTGGATTTTGACCTGAATGGATTTGCGAAATATTTTCACTAAGAACTGCAAAAATTTGCTCATTTTAGGATAATGGAATCGCATGTTAAATCTGAAAAAACAATCAGTCATTCTCATTCTACTACTACGTAAAGGAAAAAAAAATGGTGATCCCTCGACTTTGACATTTTGTGGGCTATTTATATGTAACTTAAGAGCTGTCCAACCAATATCGGGTCTCTAAATGGGCCTATATTCGTGAAAGCGGAATCGGTTAATCGAGTTCAACCCAATTGTAGTGGCATGTATGCGTAATAATCGGTAAAGAGAAAGGATATTTCTATAATTTTATACTCACTGCGCTGGTTTATAGGTGAAAAAGATTTGTTTTCAACCATTTCAGAAAAAAATTAAAACGTTGAAGGCCTAATTTCGCAAATGCAAAAACGTGTGTATACATTACCTACCTATCCAAGTGCCAAAAAAACTTTGATGTTGTTTTATAATTTATACTGTGTTACTCACTCACTTGTCACAATTTCAAATTTTCTGACTCCAAAAAAAAAATGACGGCGGTTTTGCAGACGAACATCCGGCTGAGTCTGATCAACATCGTCCCGGGAAAATGCAGATCTCTTGCCGATCAGTCTCGCGCGCCGTGTCGAATAAGGTGCTCCGCCGCTTCACCGGGGGAAAAACGGTTCAACATCGCTCTCCTTCCCGGCGACGGGATCGGTCCGGAAGTCATCTCCGTTGCCAAGAATGTGCTTCAGCAAGCTGGATCTCTCGAAGGTTACATCTCTCGCTCAATGTATCTTATTTTTAATCTAATTTTCAGCATGGAGCTTGTTTGTAAAGTGAACTAGTAGTGATGAACGAGTGTGTTTTAGACAGTTAGAGATTGCGTCTTGATTTTGATGTGTATGAATCACAGGACTGGAATTTAATTTCCAGGAGATGCCTGTCGGAGGAGCAGCCTTGGATTTGGTCGGAGTGCCCTTGCCGGAGGAAACCTGGTCGGCTGCAAAACAATCTGATGCCATACTTCTTGGAGCTATCGGAGGGTGTGTGTCTCTTGTTCACTGGACTCTTGATTCAGATATCTCTCTGCTTCAATTTTTGAGTTTTTGATGATTCATGGTTGGTTGGATATTCAGGTACAAATGGGACAACAATGAGAGACATCAGAGGCCTGAATTGGCTCTGATTTACCTTCGCAGAGATCTCAAAGTCTTTGCAAATTTGAGACCTGCTACAGTTTTGCCACAGGTATTTAAAGGCTATCTTCGGTTTGATCTGCTTAGCACTTGGATTTGTTTTTTGCTTGAATCGTAAATAATCATTTGCTTCCTTTTTTTAGCTAGTTGATTCGTCCACCTTGAAGAGAGAAGTGGCAGAAGGTGTTGATATGATGATTGTAAGGGAGCTTACAGGAGGCATTTACTTTGGAGAGCCAAGGGGCATTACGACCAACGACAATGGCGAAGAAGTCGGGTTTAATACAGAGATCTACGCTGTTCACGAGGTATTTATCTTCACTATGTTCTCTGTGACATGGACTGTTTGTATATCTCTGTTTCAATGCTGCTTTAGTTAGGTTATTATCTTTGTTGTGGTTAGTTTAGTTTGGTTATCAGTTCTAGTTTAGCTTGTATACAAGCCTTCTTCTTTGTACTCTGTTATCAACTGAGTTAAAGAAATCCTAAAGTTGAAAAATGTATCGCTCATGTTCTTCAGATTGACAGAATTGCTCGTGTTGCTTTCGAGACTGCTAGGAAACGGCGTGGCAAGCTTTGTTCTGTTGATAAGGCCAACGTGTTGGATGTACGTTTGTTAATTTTTGTTGAATCTCTTTTTCCACTTTTGTGTGTTTCTCGTAATGCAAGTGTATTTTTCATATAGGCATCAGTACTGTGGAGGAAAAGAGTAACAGCGATAGCCTCTGAATATCCAGATGTTGAACTATCACATATGTATGTCGACAATGCTGCAATGCAGCTTATTCGTGACCCGAAACAGGTGCTCCTCCTCTCGCATATATCAAACTTTCACGCTGATTTACAAAGCTTACGCAGAGTGGAAGTTAGTACTCAAGGTGTTTTTGATCTTCTTAAACATTTTGTAGTTTGACACAATCGTGACCAATAACATTTTTGGTGATATATTATCTGATGAGGCCTCAATGATCACTGGAAGCATTGGGATGCTTCCATCTGCTAGTCTCGGTGTATCGGTAAACAAAAAAAAAAATTAATCTAAACCTTTCAAGGTTCTTCCTGTTTATACATATACCATATATATCTGGATTGTTAAACTTGAGTTGAAATCAGGGACCTGGACTCTTTGAGCCTATACATGGTTCTGCACCAGATATAGCTGGTCAGGACAAGGCAAACCCATTGGCCACCATTCTCAGCGCTGCGATGCTTTTGAAATATGGGCTTGGAGAAGAAAAGGCTGCAAAAAGGATCGAAGACGCGGTCTTGGATGCTCTCAACAAAGGGTTTAGAACCGGAGACATCTACTCCCCCGGAAATGTATGTATGATGGTTTTTTTTTGTTTTTCTTAAGTTTGTAACAAACAGTTCATCATATGTATACTTAAAATCTTGTGTTTTTCTTTTTTGAAAAATGGAATGTGAAACAGAAACTGGTGGGATGCAAGGAGATGGGTGAGGAGGTGCTTAAATCAGTGGACTCCAAAGTCACAGTTACTGTTTAAGTTATTTGAAACATTTGAAGAAGTGTGTAAGCCCTTGGTTTACGGTAATTTGTATGCTAATCCATGTACTGTGAGAAACCTTAACATGCTCGTGCCACTGTGGCTATTATTGTCTTCTCTCTCTCTCCGTGAGAGATGTTCGTAAGCGAAGAAACAGGTTTGACGTGTGCGTGTGTGAGTTTGTGTACAAATTATATACAAGACTCGTAATGAATTAACAACATAAATAACATTTCATAATAGTAGAAGCTATAGTTTATTGGTACCGAATTTGACATCTCTCCTACCTTACTTTTACCTTGTTCTTGGAGATTTGGAAGTTCTTTCCATCTACAAACTCATTATCTTCAATCCATATGTATTTAACGAAATAAAATCCTAGAGAAGGAACTATGCTTTTTTTCACTCGTAAAAGTTTTTTGTTCCCCTGAAAAGCCAAACTTAGAAGAATTTACATTTTGAAGACACAACGAAAAAACTATCAATCATTAGCCTCCGGATTCACGACGACGTGTCAGATTTGCGTTCAGCGTCTGCGGCAGACTGCATTTGAGCTGCGTACTGTAAGTTCCAGAGAACGTCTTCAAAGGAAGGTCTTGCGGAAGGTTCAAGCAAAACGCATTTATTGGCGATTGAGATCGCAATCGCTAAAGACTCCTGTGAACTCGTTGTTAGGACCGTTGGATTCACTATTTTCTGTCGACCGTCTTGGCTCCCAAATGACGTCTACAAAAACGTAACATTGCAGCAACAGCTATTTACTAGCTTCGTTTCAGTCAAATAAAAAATGATCAAGATCTTTTTGTTTCTCTTTGTTACCATTTCGTTGAGAAGAAAGGCTTCTCCTTTTGTAGTGGGCAATGGTCCTATCAGAGATTCCAGAAGTATGAATCCGAAGTTGTATACATCGTCCTCTCTTTTCGCCATTTTCCTGCATAATCCCCAAGTTATGCAGGAAAACTCATGATTTTAGTTGCAATTTTGATTAGATTCTGCTAAACACCAAGAAGTTTTAGCTAAAAAAGAGGCAAAGGGTACTTACTTTGATTTGTGGATTTCTGACTTTGTCTGCAAAACGAAAAAGCAGAAGCAAAGTAGAGTCCTGACTTAGTACTAAAGAAGAGAATACGAAATGAAGATTAAAAGAGAGGCAGACAGAGAGTGGAAATGGATGCAAACCTCGAGCTTTTCGTTCTCTTCAATGATGGTAGAGACTCCATAGTCACTGAGTTTTGCAATCTTGTGTTCGTCAAGCAAAATGTTATTCGTCTTCAGCTGATTGTTAAAGGAACCAGGCATTACACCGGTGTGAAGAAAATGAACTGCCTTTGCTATCTCAATCAGGATTGCTAGCCGATCTGGCCACGTTAGGATCTTCTCCGAGCAAGATTCTACAAAATTTCGAATAACATTGAGATTCCATGCAACAGTGAGATTCAGTTTAACTTTGCGTTTTACTACAAAAGTCCATCTGACCTGATAGATGCGCGCGATAGCTCCCGTTGGGCATATACTCGTATACAAGGTAGAGTATGGTCGCTGCAGGATCGTGTTCTCCGTTGGTTTGAGTGCAATGGCCCAAGAAGCTAAGGAGATGAGGATGGCTGAGCTTCGACATCCAATCTAGGTGACCTCTGATACTCTGGCTTGAGAATCTCCTTGATAAAACCAGACATCTTATAGCTATGGAACTTCCATTTTCCAATGTTCCTCTGTATAGCTGCAAAGAACCAAAACAAGTAAAGTAAAGCAAATGACTGATGTTGAGATCATAAGAATCAATCTTGCATTAAAAGATCATACCTTTCCTAGGGAGCCTTCACCTAAGAAACGTGATGAATCGAAATCGTCTGTGGCTTCCTTTAACTCCTCAAAAGTAAATGATCGGCATGAGGGCACACCTTGTGCACCTAGCTTTGCCGTTTGAGAGATTAACCCTGCAAGAGGATAGCGTGCAAGGATATTAAACTCCTGAAAGACTTTATAGCAGGTAAAAGTCTACATTTTTTAGTCAAAGTACTACTCACTTGCACTAGCAAGAACTTCAGAGGAGAGACTGGTGTGTGAATTATCTGTCACAACCTTAAGCCGAGTTTGTGACACTGACTTTTCTCTTGAACAACAAAAACAACAGGAGCGCTTTGTGCACAACAGGAGGAGTCCGAATGCAAACAACACAAGAACAAGAATAGCTCCACTAATTACAGCAATTAGAGTCCCAATTTTTCTTCCTTGTAACTGTTTTCTTTCAGTTTCAGCCTCTTCACATAAGAATTCTTGATGCTGATCATGATTACCATTTATGGAAAAGCAATTTCCACCGAGTTTTACAACCCGCTCGCCGGAAGCGCCTGCCAAGCAACGGGGAGGTGTCCCAATTAATCGGTTGTTCGACAAGTCCACAAATCCAAGTTTGCCTCCACAGGTCAGATTGAGAGGAAGCTTCCCGCTGAGCTTGTTAGATGCCAAGTCCAAGTAACTAATGCTGGGCAAAGAGAACAAGAACCGAGATGGAGTTCCAGTGAGATGATTAAACGACATGTCAAGATGCTGAAGCTGAGACAAACCGCCAAAACGACTGGGAATTTCGCCAGAGAAGGAGTTCTTGCTCAGTAGAACAGTAACTAATCTTTTAGGCATTGCAGGTAGTTCAGAATCCAAGTGGTTCTCTCTTAGATCCAGCATATGCAGATGCTCTAACTTGCTGAGATCAGGCAATTTACCAGAAATCTCATTGTGTGATAGAGCAAGATTTGTTAGTCTTCCAATTCGGCAGATTGAAGAAGGAAATGGACCTTTGAACCGATTGTTCTTTAAACTAAGAACAGTAAGATTGGTCAAGGAATCCAACGTGTCAGGAACACTGCCGTTGAAGTAATTTCCATCAAGCATCAGACTTTGAAGCTTAACCAGTCTGGAAATGTCAGGAGGGACAGACCCAAAGAGATAATTTGAACTCAAATCCAAGTACTCGAGAGAATTCAACCGATGGATCTTCCCTGGTAACTCACCATAGATTCCTAGAGACACTAAGCTAAGAACCTTCAAGCTTGTAAGCCTTGTCAATGTGGTAGCAAAAGACTCAATTAAGAAAGCTTCAGAGAGAGTGTGGTTTGGGAGTGAAGATCCATGAAACATACCAAATGGTTTTAAAAGCTTGTCCCCCATGACCGTAAGCTCCGTGATAGAATTACCTTCACAGGAGATGCTCATATGAGCAGTTGCAGAGATTTGACATAAGTCTCCGTAGTAATTTCCCCAAGACTCCAGAGCTTTGGGGAATTCCAGATGCTTCCTGAGCTGATACAGTACCTGGGTCTGAGAGTTTTGAAGTTGATGGGTGCTTTGTAACAACAAGACCCATGAAAAAAAGAGCAATGGCAAGATCTTTGAAAGAACCATGATAAATTAGCAGGAAGGAAACAAAGCCCTAGAATGAGCAACAGATTTGGATTCTGAGAGGAAACTGAAAGAGACCCATCTAAGTGTTTTTGCTTTAGAATTTGGAAATTCACACACGAGTGTCTGGCTAGTCAACTCAAGTCAAAGAAACGAAACCAGCTCGTGATCCTAGACGCTCTTCTCGAGAAAACTCCAAGGAAACGAGTTTCTAATCAAATCCCTGAAAAAAGTCAGGAGAACAGAAAAGCAGCAGCAGAAGAAAGAGAGTAGAAGAAGTGAGGACAAATGCAGAAATCGTGGATGAGAATGTTCGGTGTTCTTGTGTGTGTTTGTCGGATTAACACATAGACGAGAAAGAAACTGGGGAAGCTAAAGGAGAAGATGATAAGAGCATTAATGACAGAGGGGCGAGCAGCATTAATGGGGGCTTCTGTATTTTTATCTGAGAAGATTTCAAAGAATCTCTTTTCTCCTTCTTCTTCTTCTCTTTATGAAGGAAATAGTAAATTGAGAATGTGGGTCACCAAAAACAATCATAAAGCAAAAAAATGTGCACTCAATTTGATGAAAGATTGTTCCTTTTAATGACCAAATTGTCTGGATTTCTCCTTTCTCTGTAAAATAAGAGTAATAAACAATGTTAACTTATCAAATGAGAAAAGAAAAACGAAATTTGAATTTAAATTTGGTGCAGATAAAGTATGACTATTGATTTGATGACAACTTTATTTAAGGTATGCAAATGCAATTTGGTTGACTCATAGAAGATGCCGTTAACACATGTCTCCTCTTCTTCTTCCATCCTCGATGATTAATTTTAAGCATTGATTTATGTGTGTGATTAGATTCCATGTCTTGTTAATTCACCAAACTGCCCTTCTACTTTCAACGGAAGCTACTTCTACTGAACAATGCTTTCGTAGAGCAAAAGCTTCGTTTTGTCATTTACGTATATGTATTCGGTATCGTAGAAGGGCAGTTTTGCTCTACGAAAGCATTGTTCGGTAGAAGTAGCTTCCGTTGAAACTTTTGGATATCCATTCGGGTTCGGATAATTCAAGGTTTTCGGATTTTCGGTTTTTAGATTTAAAACCTATTTGGATATTTTTAGAATTTCGGTTCGGGTTCGGTTATATTTGATCGGGTTCGGTTCGGGTTCGGATATCCAAAAAATAATAAAATTAAATAAAAATAATTAAATTTAAATAAAATTGGTTAAATTCAAATAAAATTTGACAAAATTTAACAAATATAACTAAAAACTTTAATATATTTAAATTATTTTGGATTTTTTCATCATTTTCAGAATAAAAATAATTCATATTTTGGATTTGTAATTGTAATTTTAGGTTATTAAGTCTAAATGTAGTTAGTATTTTGGGTATATAATTGTAGTTCGGATATTTCGGATATCCATTCGGATTTTCAGTTTGGTTTGATTCGGTTTCAGTTTTTTGGATTTAGAAATTTAAAAACTGTTCGGATATTTTATCAGTTTCGGTTCGGGTTCGATTTCTCTTTTTTGGGTCGGGTTCGGATAATGTGCACATGCCTAGTTTAAAGGGTAAAATATGGCAAAAAATAATATGAGTCCAACCATATAAAAGTATATCTAATCAGATCTTATCAACCATCTAAATCCATAATGTTTAGACTTTGGATTAAGATTATAGCATCTATTTTTGAGACACAAATGTGCTATACACCAGAGTCGAGACTGTAGGCTTGTACCATTATAAGGGCATGTTAGTCTTTTCTTCGCAGGCGCAAAGGTAGTGATTATGCTTTGATAAAGGTTCAGGGAGAAGAAAAAAAACAAAAAAGGTTAAAACCCACTTTAGTGGGCCACATTTTTGGTCCCACAGGTCTGCTACTCTCAAAGACCGGACCATCATATTAACTATATTTTCTGTCTCACATGCGTCAATATTTTTGATATATGAAAATTAAGATGGTTCGTTTTTTTGGGATAAATTATTAAGATTTTAAGATGGTTCTTTTGGACCGAGAACGAAATATATGATGGTTCTTGAAACACTTTGGTATTTTCAAATTGACAACTATGAATCAATAGTGAGTCCGTAATCATTAATTGATTTTCTATTTACTTAAGCACCACAAAAAGAACGAAAAGACTAGAACAACCATCACAAAGAGACTTAGCAATGCAAAATTGGGTTTAAGACAGAGGACGCTTTATAGGAGAAAGATAAGACAAAACAGAAGACTCCATGGGATGGGAATAGGCGAGCATGTGCGACGAGGAGATCTAGACATTAAGATACTAACATCTGACATTAGGACAACCATTTTGGGACCATTTCATGGTTATGATTTTTGGAGAAGAAACAAGCAAAATATCAACATCCCCTTCTCACCAGAAACCAAACAAGTTTCTCTCCAACTTGTCTTAGTTGTCAAGAGAACAGAAATGAGATATTCAAGATAAGACAGTATCAGCAATTTGTTTTTAGAGATTCTTAAATCCTAAAATCACCCATTCTGTAATGTTCGAGACCAGTGAGAAAACAGACCAAACAATATATGGATCGTTTATGCTGGAATTAGTGAGTTATGAGAATCTGGTTTTTGCTTGAGTTTTTTGGCTAATCCCACGGCTTATTGCATTTTACAAGTTTACAAACTAAGTGATTTAAAAAGGACGAACCTTGGCAACGTTCATAAGCTGTCCTCTGGTTTCTTGTCATTTGAGCAAGACTCCAAGTATGAGATCACAAGATCAGCCGCTTTGCAACCTGATGCTATTGACTTCCCAACAGAGAGGCCGCCTCGATGATTACCTGTTCATTTCGGTCCATGCACAACAGATAAATAACTGCATTGAATCGTATCAAGACCATAGATGTGCTATACTCATTATGCCATCATCATGGATCATGTAATTAGTACTCCTTTTACGAGACTGAGACATTAATTGAGAGTTACCTGCGTAGAAGAATCCAGGTAGATCTTTCTCCATCTTGTCAATTGCTTCCATGACTGAGTCATAGCTGCTATCATACAACGGAAATGCTTTGCTCCAATAGAAATGGCTGCAATTATCATAAATTGTTGATCTGTAAGGGTAATTTTCTCTTTCGTATACTAAAACGATCAAATGAGAAATCTCCAAATTCCACATACTTGACAAACACGGGTTCACCTTCAACCCCCAACAGTCGCTGAAGGTCAGAAGTCACAGCTTGTTTTAATTCATCTCTACAAAGGGAGAACCAAAAAAGAAACAAAGTCCGAATCAGGTGAAGTGAGAAACTAAAAAAATTGGCATAAATACCTCGATACTTCGCAGCTTCTAAACGATCCTGCATCACATTTGTTAGTGACGAAGGAGCTTAACTTAACATGGTTAGGTTCTTGTTGGACTGCTTTAATTATTTTAAAGCAGCTATATTTCTCTTACGTGGAAGCTTTGGCTAGTTCCTGGTTCCTACTCCCACCAACAAAAGTTGTATATAGATGAAGGTCACTAGGGCAACGATCTGGAAACATCATTGAGGAAAAGAGTGTACCTGTGTATAGAGGAGTATGAAGGGTTAATAATTATAATAAAAGAAATTTAGGGGTATTTGTTTAAACTATGGCCTAAGACACCAACAAATTACCCAGAGTTTTGAAACCATGCTTTTCCTCCTTTGATGGAATGAGTACACCAAAACCTTCGAGAGGTCTCTTTACTTTCTCCTTTGTGAATGTGGTGATTATAACCGAGAGGGGCATATATTTAATCTGAGAAATCAACAAAATCAACATCGTGATGCAATTATCTTGGAATAAATAGTACATATAGGAGACAAGAAATCATGCGAAGGAGTTCTTTGATGTCACATTAAGACTCTCATTATCAGTATCTGGAGTAGAAAAATCTTAAGACAACCCGAAAGGATGGACTGAATCTAGATGTAGGCCTAATTCTCTCGAACATTAATTTCTATAAGCTGGATAAGACGCAATTACCTCGGGGATAAAGTTTAGTTGAAAGGGTTGTCCTCCTTTCACAACCTTCATCTCCTTCACATTGCACAAAGGAGCCTATGGTACATAATTTTTTTGTCAGTTGCGAGGTTCTGTGAATTTCATCACACATCCGACAAAAAACCACTCACCGTCATAACTACGGCATCATAATGGAGGTTTTGTCTCAACGTTTCATTATGAGAGACACAGGATAGTGACCAGTTCTCCTGTCTTGATCCAGAATTGTAAGACAAAGAGAGAACCTTGGAGTCTAAATTGAGCTCATCATGTGAGAGGTCTTTGCACAACATATCAGGAAGAATCTGCTATATCCCAATGTGGAAACATACCCACAACAAGTGGTGCAGGAACATGAGTATCGGTGGAAAATCGTCGTTTGTATGATAGAAAAAAACTGGCTTTCATGGACAAAGCATCACCTGCATGCCCCCCTTGAAAGAGAATGACCCTCGCGAACCCTTTTTGGTGCCAGGAGAAGTCCTTGTTTCACCGCTTTTACCACCTTTAGCAGCAAACTTTGTTCTGATTGCACCGACTATAATAGAGCCAAAACTGAAAAATAATATGATTTATTTAGCAACTAACCGGAGAACAGTTAATGAGCTCATCGCCATATTATCAGCATAGAGAAGTACTGAACCAGGTAAAAACTCAACCCAATCCTCAAATAAGGAAGCTAATGATATTTACAATAATGGTCTTTGTCAGTAAACTTTTCTCCCAATATTATTAAACGACAAGGGACCAAAAATTGTTTGAAATGACATGATTAAAGGCATGACGAACTCAAAACCTGATTGCATCACCCAGAAAATTCGGAAGTATTCTTCAAACGGAACTCATTGAATATAGTATAGTTATATGAGTAAGTACCTTTTCTCTATATTCCAGAGATCTGGAAAAGTATGCTTCATCTGATCATAAATCGTAGGGGAAGGGTATAAAAAAGAGTACTATCAAACGGCAACTTTAAAAAACAAAGACAATATGTAAGTGCAAAGTTGCTCACTGAAAGGGAGTCAGGATCCGCAGCACTTGTTCCACCAACAAAAGGATCTATGAGATAATCCACAACCTTACAAATCAAATACATAAAAAGGGACACATGAAAGAAAGATCACGGTTAATAAAGAGAGTCAACAATTGGTGTTGACACAAGCAGGGAAAGGTGAAACAAAACAAAAGGGTAAGATTAGGTAGCGACAAACCTCTTGTCCAAAATGGCGTTGGAAGAACCCGCTTACACTACAACAGAGAAAATGGAAGTGAAATTGAGTTACAATCGTATGTGATTGAGATATTGCTGATGGCCTGGACAAGCAAATTATTCACCTTTCTACTGTAGATGCGTCAGACACTTTTGAGGACGAGTCATTTTTCTTCCATAAAAATGGTTCCAACAAGATTTGAAACTGCAGGTAAGACCTAGTACTTTTAGAGGTTTTTGAGATA